TGATGTGAAGATCTAGATAGCTAACATCACCATAGTCAAGGATAGTAATGAGAAGATATTGTGCTTGAGCGATTTTGGTGTCGGTGGGCAGGAAGTTACGAAGTCTTCGCAATGACCCCTCTGCAGCAAATCATTTTCGACTTCAACCTTAGTGAGGTTAGTCGAAAATTATTTGCTATTATTAAATAATATTTAAAAAAAAATTAAAGTATTACGTGAAAACAGCCATGAGTACGGAAAGATTCGGGTATTTTTCGGACCGAGACGACCGTCAAACCTTCAAGAAAAGAGCGCACTCTCTATTCAAAATCCGGCAACGCGCTTGTGACGCGTGAGTTGCAGGCGTTCATGAGCGGCGATAGTCACTTTCCATCAGATGACCCTTCTGCTCGTTTGAGCCCTATATCATAAAAAAAGTATTATACAATGACATGGCAACCTACTCCCGCCAATAGAATAAAATGAAGAAAAAAATTGTGTTTGAATTTCGACCCCCAGGCGTTTTCTCATAAAAATGTAAATGAACGATCTCATTGAAAAAATAATATATTCACTATTTATTTTATCTTCGATAAAAATACGCGAAGAACATTCTTTGTACTTACTATTCAAACAAATATGTCCACGGAAACATACCTACCTATAATCTATACTAATATTATAAAGCTGAAGAGTTTGTTTGTTTGTTTGAACGCGCTAATCTTAGGAACTACTGGTCCGATTTGAAAAATTCTTTCGATTCTTTCTTTCGAAAAGTGTTAGATAGCCCATTTATCGCGGAAGGCTATAGGCTATATATCATCACGCTAAGACCAATAGGAGCGGAGCACCAATGAAGAATGTTTCAAAAACGGAGAAAATTTATTACTATTGAGAGACGCAGACGAAGTTGCGCGGGTCAGCTGGTATTTACTATAGAGGTCCAATATTTATTGTGGCCTGTCCTATTATAAAAGTCTATACAATGAGAGTTCGAGTTATGTCTAGCAAGTAAAATTGAATGTAAATTGAATATCAAAAACGCTGACAATTCTAGAGTTTCTAGTTATAATAAATTGCTATTTTGATGGTTCCTTGCTGTGTTCGAACCGTTTATTCGAGTTTCGCAGGTTTACCCTTGAACCGTTTCATGTAGATATACGTTTCATATATATAACGCAGGACACTAGCACTGCAAAAAGACGGAAAACTTGACACAAACCCTATACCAACCCGCCTGGCCAGCGTGGTATAGTAGGCCAAAACCTTCTTTCTAAGGAGAGGCCTATGTCCAGCAGTGGACTATTAAAGGCTGTTGATGTGATGATGTGATTCAACTTTTCTGTATGGTACTTTGTCGCTATCGGTGTCACGGTAACATTAAGTCTTAGATAGTTTACCACCCACTTAGGACTGCACTCCTAACCAACCCGACTCTAGGGAAAGTCCCTCTCGCCACACTCCTCCGTCTACGTTACGGGCCTGGTCCTTCGGTCATACGACCCCGTTCAAGATATACTTGAACAGAGGCGAACGAGAAATTCTATCTAGTTATAATAATAATAATACGAGTATACCCCCACATTTGACAAGTGACCAGACTGCTGATAAACATACTTATATATTTTTAAATACATACATATTATAGATAAATTACACACAGACACAGAACAAATGATCATGCTCATCATACAATATTTGTCCTGGGTGGGAATCGAACCCACGACCTCCGGCTTAGCAGTCAGGGGCACTAACCACTCAATTAACAGGCCCGTCAAAGTTGTTCTAAAGGATTCGTGACGCTTGATTACCTGGTTTTAACCTGGTCTGCCAGATCCTGGTTTATGATGTAAGGGTTATTACTATGTGAGTAGTACGCCACTCGCCAACTGGGAGCGTCAGAATAAAAATGACTATCGCTAAAACCAGCCTTCTTATTTACCATCCTGAAGAACAAAGCATCTTATCTGGTGAAAGGTTCATCAAAGTTCTTTATCAGACAGACAGGTAGAGGAACTATTTTCATGATTTTTCTAACTGTCCCAAATGGAGATTGAACCCAAAACTTTAGATGTAATAGTAGCTATTGGCCACGTCAGTCACAGTGCCATTCGGTGATCCTTATCATCCTCATGAAATAATACAATTCATTGTATTATTGATAAAAGCGATAAAGAGCGATACGATAACCTTTACTTGTTGTTTTGAATCGTTTATTTAGAAATTTGTACAATTTTATTGATAACTTCAATATATAGGTCATCATTGCATAAAGAGATAATGCGTCTTTTATTCTTTCTACTGTGAAGTAACGCGTTGTTGTCATCCTCCAATACAAAACGAAAATCCTTCACCTCCTATCATGCCTGACCTAGCATCAAATGTTGGCAAGTTTCAAAACTTTAAATGCGCGATCCAGAATCGGTGGTTACAAAGTAGTTCGGTATGACTTTGCGAGATGGCATTAGGTGCATATATACGTACTTGCTTATCGGGCAAACGTTGTTCATAAGAAATGAAATCGAGATTTAAAAATGGGGTTGTGGTAGGAAGGTGAAAAATCCGCCCGTCCGGGATTCGGAGGTAGGGGCGGCTGTTCTACGGATCCGTTCCAAGAACACCGCCCCTGGGCCTGACGGGGTACCGGCCCGAGTGCTGGCCCTGGCCCTCAACCACATGGCAGACCGCCTCGGGGAGGTGTTTGACGCTAGCTTGGCGTCGGGACGCTTCCCTGAGTGCTGGAAGAGCGGGAAGCTGGTCCTATTGAGGAAGCCGGGACGGCCTGCCGATTCGGTCGCGGCCTATAGGCCCATCGTGCTGCTGGACGAGGCGGGCAAATTGTTTGAGAGGGTTCTTTCTGCCCGCATCGTCCGGCACCTCTGCGAGGTGGGCCCCGATCTGTCGGACGCCCAATTTGGTTTTCGGGCGGGGCGTTCGACAGTCGACGCCGTGTTGCGCCTGAGGGCCGTGACCGAAGAGGCCGTGAGCTGTGGCGGCGTGCTGTTGGCGGTGTCATTAGACATCGCCAACGCATTCAATAGTCTGCCATTCAGCTGCATCAGGGAAGCACTCCACTATCATGGGGTGCCAAAGTACCTGAGGCGGCTAGTGGCAGACTATTTAGAGGAGCGTACCGTCGTGTACGAGGACCGAGAAGGTAATTTGAGGTGTCGGCTCATGTCGTGCGGTGTTCCACAGGGGTCTGTTCTTGGACCCCTCTTGTGGAACATAGGGTACGACTGGGCCCTTCGCGCCGATTTCCCCCCCGGGCTGGGTGTAATCTGTTACGCAGACGATACCCTGGTGACAGCCCGGGGGGCAAACTTCCAAGAGGCGGCGCGCCTGGCCACAGGGGGAGTCTCCCTGGTGGTCGGGCGCATTGAGGCGCTGGGCTTACGGGTGGCCCTAGATAAGACGGAGGCCCTGTTATTTCATGGGCCCCGTCGTGGTCCACCAACTGGCGCCTCAATCGTGGTCAACTCGGTCCTCGTACCGGTTCGGGCCCAGATGAAATATCTGGGCCTGATCCTCGACGGGAGGTGGCTCTTCGACGAGCACTTCCGACAGCTTGCTCCAAAGCTGGTCGGCGCTGCGTCTGCCCTAGGGCGACTTTTGCCCAATATGGGTGGACCCAGCGTCGCGACAAGACGGCTGTACACGGGGGTTGTCCGGTCAATGGCACTGTACGGTGCACCGGTGTGGGCGGCGGCTCTGACCGCCCAGAATAGGGTACGCCTCTGGCGCCCTCAGAGGGTAATGGCGGTCAGAGCCATACGCGGTTACCGCACCGTCTCGACGGAGGTGGCATGCGCGTTGGCCGGAACTCCCCCGTGGGATTTGGAGGCGGAAGTGCTCGCCGAAGTTTATCGGCGAGTGGCTGACTCCCGGGCGGAGAGCGGATTTCGCCCTCCGCCCGAGGATGTGCGCGAGTGGCGCGAAGCCGCTCGCCGAGCCACGATGGCTCGTTGGTCGTTCCGGCTGGAGACTCCACGCGCTGGCTTCGCCGCCGTGGAGGCTCTCCAGCCGGTCATCGCCGAGTGGGCAGGGCGGCAGTACGGGACCCTTTCCTTCCGGCTGACGCAGGTGCTTTCCGGGCACGGTTGCTTCGGAAAGTACCTGCACACGGTCGCTAGGAGGGAACTGAGTCCCGCCTGCCACCACTGCGACTGCAGTGAGGACTCAGCCCAGCACACGCTGGCGGTCTGCCCCGCATGGGCGGCGCAGCGCCGGGCCCTCACTGCAGTCATCGGAGTGGATCTCTCGCTACCGGCCGTAGTACGCTCCATGGCCGGTAGCGACAGTTGTTTTACCGCGGTCGCAACCTTCTGCGAGGTAGTAATCTCGCGGAAGGAGGCGGCGGAGAGGGCCCGGGAGGACGACCTCCACTCGGACCCGATCCGCCGGCGAACCGGGCGGCGGAGGCCCGCCTATCACAGCCTCATGCCGCCCTGAGTGTGGCCGCGGGTGGACGGGGTGGGTTTCCCCTCCACCCGCATTAGTTTGGCCAGCCGCGAGGGGGCTGCGTCCGCGTGTGTCGGACGTCGCCTATAAAGAGAGGAAAAACATTGAGACGGAGCCCGCACCAGGAGCGGGCTGGCGCTAAGAGGGGTCCGGATGTCTTAACAACAGCTGTTCCCGGATCCCTCCTGTTACAGGCGCAGAGTGGCACACCGTGTGGTTTTAGTCGGTCCGAGTCCGACACACCACCCCGCCGCAAACCCCGGAGGGGTGAAGGTCCGAGGGGATTTCCACACGTTAAAAAAAAAAAAAAAAAAAAAAAGGAGGGTGAAAAATACTTTACTAAAAAAAAAACATTAAAATCGGTCGAACCGTTTCGGAAGAGTGGGACCACAAACACCCCGACACATGATATTTACATATATATTAGACTCTTATACATGAAGTCTCATAATTCCTATATATAGCTATAAAGAGAATAGACAGGCATCCCAGCGTTGTTAGTTTACAATCTTTGTAAATATTTTCAAGTTTACGAAAAATCTCTAACTTTTAATTTACAGGTTCTTCCACTGAAATTCCTGGATGACCTAGCAGCTTTGTGTAAGAAACATTCTCTCCCAATCCACATGGACGGTGCCCGACTGTTTAACGCTGCCGAGTCTTCTAAGGAGACTCCTGCGAGAATCGTTCGGGACTGCGACAGTGTGTCTGTGTGTTTTAGCAAGGGACTTTCCGCTCCGGTTGGTTCAGCTCTAGTCGGATCCTGTCACTTTATTGGACAGTTAGTATTTTGCAAATTTATTTATTTAATCTTTTGCCAATTTATGAAACCAATTCCGTATTATGTTCAATCTGTGTTGACGGAGAATATGGAGTGTCACCACCTTTATACATCCCGTGGGTGTCGTAAGAGCCGACTTAGGGACCAAACTACGCAGTACAACAGCACTGTAAAGAGAATGAAAACTTGAAACAAACCCTGTACCAACCCGTCTGGCCAGCGTGGTATAGTAGGCCAAAACCTCCTTTATAGGGAGAGGCCTACGTCCAGAAGTGGACTACTAAAGGTGATGAAGATAATGAATTAATGTTACTTTACATTTGCATATCTTATAAGGTCTTAAAATTGTGAATTATTTCATCAAATTTAGATTTTAGACATGTAAAAGACTTAAATAATTAAATGAAAGAAACGTAAATTTAAATTAACGTTTCTTTCATTTATATATAATACAATAATATATATATATTATATTAATAATAATAATAATTTTATTTATTCAATTCCATTGTTTCAATTCAACCAAGTACTTGTGTTTTGTTCCTTAATTTTGGGGGGGGGGGCATTAAGAAACTTGTGACTCTTAGTTGCAGGTGACCTGCTTGGCCTCCTTTACCATAGAAAAAAGAACAAGGATGAAGGAAGGCAGGAATATAAATTGACTAACATTTGTTGTCTAAGGACACGATAAACAAACATTTAATTAACTTCACACATCTAACACACGGCGTCTGATCGCAAACTAGTCAGACCCTGTATTATGGTAACCAGACTGCTGATAAACATACTTATATACTTTTAAATATATACACATCATAGATAAATTACACCCAGACACATAACAAATGACTGTGCTTATCACACAATATTTGTTCTGGGTGGGAATCGAACCCACGACCTCCGGCTTAGCAGTCAGGTTTACTGACCACTAGACCAACAGGCCCGTCATCATTTGTCATTAATCTTTCAGAGCTCGTCGCATGCGTAAGATCTTGGGTGGTGGGATGCGTCAGGCGGGAGTGTTGGCGGCAGCTGCTATAGTGGCTTTGGACGAGGTGGTTCCTTTGTTGAGTCTGGATCACAAACGAGCACAGATTCTGGCTAAAGGTTTACGATTTCATTATTCATCAAACTTATTTTTTACGACCGGACGTCGTAGTGGTTTGTGTAACGGACTGCTATTCTAATGGTCGCGGGTTCGATTCCCGCTCAAGTCAAACATTTGTGTGCATGAACATTTAATGTTTGATTTGGTCTGGGTGTTTCTATGTATAATATGTATGGCTAGGCTATAGGAATCAATAATATAATTATTTATACGGAAATTACCAGGATTAGCTGATATTACATACCTTTAAATTGCCTCATCAGGTTTTGGCTTAGTGGTGAACGCTCTCTGTCATCAAATCAACGAGATAGATATTGGTATTTTTTATATTTTTTTTCACTGTACACCCTCACAGCAGAGTCCCTACTACACCCCCTTTTCGCTTTGCACCCTCACATCAGAGTCCCTATTACACCCCCTTTTCGCTTTGCACCCCCACATCAGAGTCCCTATTACACCCCATATTGTAAGCAAACTGATGTGTTTGCTTACCCAATAGGGAATATGCACGTGACACCAAAATGGACAAAATATTTTTATTTGTAATTTTTATTGCTAAAAAAAGATACCCATACAATTATTTTTGAAATTTATTATAATTTAATAGTGAAATTTAATCATCAAAAATTGGCTTTTTTAAGATTCCCTTGCAAATTTCTAAAACGGAACGCTATTGGTTGAATAAAACGTGACGTCAACCTACACTGTCAAGAGTGTCAACAAGTTGTGTGCATTTGTAATATTTGGTTTCTGGTGATTATTTGTTTCATTTTAAGTTAATAACTAATACGTTTTCAGTGTTAAATTATTAAATTCCCGTGTAGAAAGACTCAACACAATGACTGAATATACTTTGTCAGGTGCAGTTTTAATATTATTATTGCACAAAGGAACGGCACAATATTTATAATAAGTTTTTATTGGTTTTTCCATGGTAATAAGTTAATTTTTATCACTCACTTTTTTAACTTCCACAAACTTTGTGAACTTCACTCCGTTGTTGATATCGAATTCGTCTGAAAGTGTAATCTGACGTCACAAAAAAAGCGCGCCAAAATGGACGTGTTCAAATTGCCCCAAAATGATAGTGATTTTAATAAAATTTTTTTTTGCTTAACGGTTTATATTTCGGATGTGTTATATTTATTTTTGGTAATGTAATAACTAGTAGAATCGTTTAAAAAAAAAAAATACATGCATATGCCCTATTGTTGCAAATCGTCAGTCTGAGGTTACGGCCACTGCAGCTTAGTGCAATCTGCTCAAAATGCTAGCCAATCTAAAGTTATGTAATAACTATTGATGGAGTTAATACCCGTATTAATATTTATAACGTCACGGAACGTTGACATTTTTAAGTTAGGCTAAATTCCTAACTTAAAAATGTCAACGTTCCGTGGCATGTGAAAAAATACATTTTTTTTTATTCTTTTTTAAAAAGACGACTCCTGCATTAGGACTATAATTATCCTGTGTCGCGGGGAACTTTACAAACATACATGAAACGGACACAAAGAACACCCAGACTTAGAACAACAATTTGTGGATAACACAAAGTGTCGTCCCATAACACGAAGGGATCGAACCCATAACACTCAGCGTAGTAGTAAGCGGCGTGGCGACCGCTTAAACCACTACGCCATCCGTGCAGTCGGAAGTTATTAATATTACCTACAGTAAAGAGCTTTAGAAATATATTTTTAGTAAAATTATATTACCGTGGTTTGCAGTGATCCAAGGTATGTTCCTGAAGACGTTCACGGTAGAGGAGGACAGCGTCCAAACTAACATAGTGCTGGTCAAGATACCGGAGCACAGCCACGTGACCGCTGAGCAGGTGATCCAGCGGTTAGCGCAGGTCAGCCTGGCCGAGACACAGGTGAGTAGTGGTACTCAGATTGGACGTGAAGCATCCACACTAACTACTGGAAAGATGTTTTTAATGGTATAAGGGGGAAAACGAGCAGATGGGTCACCTGATGGTAAGCGACTACCATCGCCCATGGAAACCTGCAACTCAAGAGTCACAAGTGTGTTGCCGCTCTTTGAGTCCCTAACCTTGGAAAAATTCACAAATTTAAAGCTATGTACTTAATACCTATCGTAAGCGTGTTAATTATCGTAAACATAAAAGTCTGTAGGTGTGTATTCAAAGGATATTTCAAAAGAAAATATTATTATATAGGGGAGAGTAACCAATATTGAACCGGCGCTTAAATTGGACCACTTCTGTATTACTACCAAAATGGCACTATTTGGTATAGTATATTGGCACAAAAAGGATCGCTACAAAATGGCAGTGTTAGTGGCGCTGCTAGCGCTTCTTTTTGTGTTGATAGTGTAAAAAATAGTGCCATTTTGGTAGAAATTCAGAAGTGGTCCAATTTAAGCGCCGGTTCAATATTGGTTACTCTTCCCTATTAAAATCTGCTACTTGTGAAGTATCATATGCGGCTACTGTAAATCTCGCTCTTCATTTTGTCCTCAGGGCGACTGCAAAACCCCAAACGACGAAGGCGTTATTTTAAAAGCTATATCGTTCAATTCTAAGACAATTCGCTTCACAATACACCGGGAGATCAATGACGAACAGCTGTGGCTCGCCATCATGAAGATCACTTTTGTGTTTAAGGAGTTTGAGGGAAGTGCGTAGAGGTCTGTATTTATCAGAACATACAGATGGACCTAAAGGTGCTACTGTATGTTTACCTTTTTTTTTTGTTGACGGGGTGAAAAATCCCTTCGGATCTCCTGCTCCTTGGGGACTCAGTAGCCAGAAGTATTTGGTGATTCCACAAAACACCAGCCTCAGGCGCTCTACTCTGGGAAGACTCGGGCCATGTGATTTCATGTCCTCCCCGAATCGATACTACGCCCAAATTGCTTTTTAAATAAATTATTAGCAAATTATATCTTTTTAATTATTATTTTTTTGTTAACCTTCACAATTAGGTTAGTCTTTTTTATGCCACATTGAGATCTATGATCTTAATTATCTCATCATCATCATCATCATCATCATCATCATCAATAGCCTTTAATAGTCCACTGCTGGACATAAGCCACTCCTTAGAAAGGAGGTTTTTGCCTGATTTATTATCTAGGTTATTTATCTGTTAATTATCTGTTACTACTCGTATCTTATTATCTGTTATTATCTGTTACAGTCAAAACTCTTTACCGGTCAAAAGTAAAATTAACTGAACAGTTAGTACAATAATTTGAACTAAAAATCATTGGTTAATGCCAGATATTCTCCAAAAGTTATTGTACGTTTTAAATATTTCACATTTGATTGATTGTTTACATAAAATGTTGACTGCCACAGATACACTTGTAACGAGAACAGTCAAATACTACTCGACCAAGCGTTTTAGACCAACGCGTGGACTAGCAATGGTTACTAGACAACGGACAAATATACTTATATACTTTTGATTTATAGATATATACTTTATTATAATACATAGAAGCACCCGGATTCGTAATATTTCAATATCTGTAGATAACGCAAATAACTAATTTTTATAAAAATATTTTCTCGTGTAACATTCTAATTCTTTATACTAAATGCTTATAAAGATTAGCGCTCACTTGGAACATTAGTTGAACTAATAATAAATAAAGCGTAATACTTAATACGCGCGCTTAATACTTTGGGTAATTTTATATAGCAAAAAATAACACCTATCGTTAATTCGGATTCTTCTGCTATCCGTACCCGAAGTCAATGACGTCACGTTTGACAGTCGTCTAGTTCGCTTGGTCGAGTAGTACCGTTATATATTTCTGTCTGCCAACCAACTATTTTTCTTTGGATACTGCCGAGCTTGCGCAGTAGTAGATAATAAAAAGAAAATGTAACATTTTTTCCTAAGCTTCCTAGTAAGAATAGAAAAAATGATAAAAAAGCGTACTATATAGGGGAGAGTAACTAATATTGAACCGGCGCTTAGTGGTAGTGTATTTTTGTGTTGCTAGTCTAAAAAAATAGTGTCTTTTTGATAGAAATACAGAAGTGGTACAATTTAAGCGCCGGTTTAATATTGGTTACTCTCACCTATGTGTTTTGCACGCACACGATTTTTATATAAAAATGTTAAGTTGGTTTGTGATGTACTCGTCAAAAACTCAAATAGTTCTGCACAGATTGAGCTCAAAATTTTAAACGACTTACAAACCAGTTCAAAGATAGTTTTTAGCTATTTTTCAGTTTTGCCACAATGTGTCACAAGGAAGCGTAGCAGGGTATGGCTAGTGTTGTATAAAATATATTGTAGTGTAAATATACATTGTATATACGTATATAAGTATATATATATATATATATATATATATATATATATATATATATAAGATTGCTACTGTCGGGGCGTACAATATTGACCACTTACCGCTCACTCTCGACTCCAAACACCTCACCTGTCACCCCCAGGCCTGCGCTTATGGAGGACGGAGGTCGCCTTCTCCTTCGCAAGCATAACTTGCTCGCAGAAGGAGACGGCAGAGTTCCACGCACTCTCGCTCCAGGCCTACCCCCCTGACCACGTTACATTAGGTTATAATAAAATATTGATAGCAAACTAAAAAATAAAGAAGACTGTATATGTAGTCGACAAATTGTAATGAAAATATAAGTTATAATCGTGTTGTAATAAAACAGTCTAAAAGACAAATATATAAATGTGTATGAGTATATATACGGGCACATGTATATGCCTACTTTGGTGCCTAATAATTATAAGCGTTGTTTGTTATATTTTCACAAAAAAAGTATGTATGTAAATAAATAAAAATCTAAAAATACGAGTTTTATTTTAGAGTTTTTTTTACATCTCCGATCGGCTCGATCCTTTGGCGTTACGTACAGATGTGGCTTCACTCTGCATTCTCTATCGCATAATATCATGGAGAGTGCTCCGAGGAATTGTTCGGACTAATACCAGCCGCAACTTTGCACCATCGTTCCGTTCGTTGGATAGTGTGCGCTCCACTACTGTGCTCTTTTCGAGACACTTTTTGCTCCGCACAGGCAATCTGTGGAACGAGTTATCGTCTGCGGTATTTGCCATGCCATTTTTGTCTACTTATTTAGGAGATTTTCTAGAAAACCGTTCTATAAAATATAGCCTAAGCATTGTTACTACTGGTATAATAGTTGTAGGTGAGCCCGTGATCCTAAATGAGGCTTTACTGGAGCATCATGGGGATCTATTGCATTTGAATGATTAAGTAATAGAATGAATAAAAGTCATATAATGTTTCCACTTTCAGCGGTGGGAAAAGCTTCTACAGATTTTCAAAAATGTAAAGGGAGGAAAAAAGGAGGAAAACGATCGCATCAGATATTTTGGGGATATGTTATTTGGATGTCGAACATCCTCCCAATGAAAGGTCTGACGATTTTAAAGTGACACAAGCTGGTAGCGAGTTATCGAAATGCAAACTGCAAATTCGTAAAATCGCCATTTCGAAATACCCGAGCGTGTTAGATTTTATACAGACGATTCAGCTTGATGTTCCTGTCACGCTAGCCAACAATCTGACGATAGCTTTGCAGGGTATTTCAAATTTGGCACTTCGAAATATTTTTATATTTTACAAAATGTGATAAATAAGGGCACAAAAAATTACGTAGACATTAAAAGATTTCTTGCATTGTTTGCTTCAAAATAAAAAAAAATGTCAAGGTCATGCGATTTTGTATCTGGGAATTTTTGACCCTCCCACTGCCTTATGTCACGCTCTAATCGTCAGATTTAATGACACACACACTAATGTGTATGTAATTTACCCAATTTAAATCTTACAATACTTTGACCTTACGCGCTCGAGTATTTGTGTCAAGTTTTCCTTCTTTTTGCAGTGCTGGTGTCCGGCTTAGTCGGCTCTTACGACACCCACGGGAAGAATTGGGGTAGTGACATTCCGTATTCTTAATCCGTCACTACACGGACTTAATACATCGTATATTTATAAATAAATAGGTAAATTTACATTTTTATCAAAGGTCAAAACGCAACTAGTATTTTCTCACATTTGATTTTGTTTTAGACTTATCAGAAAATTACTGCCAGATTTCCTTTGCAGCTACGAATTCTAGTAATATAATTAAAAATGAACTCAACATTAAATTCTTTCAGTAATCGTGTTAAATAAAACAACTGTTTCATGCTAAATTTTATTTTGCAAAACTAAATAATTTGGTTTAATGAAATGAAAAAATAGTAACTTGTAGACATTAAGTACAAATTGACACTTAATAGATAAAGCTTAGCTACAAATAGATGAGAATCCTTAAGCTTATATACAACAGCGTTACTATCGACCTAAGTCCTCTAACAGCCAATATGAGATAACATACAATGGAAAAAAACAATTTTCCCAAGACTGTGCTTGATAGAAAAAAGGTATGTTGGAAACGAATAACGCATTGCATTAAAAAGTAAAAACTTATGTTTTTTTCGTCAAGAACGAATGATTATATAGTTGAACTAGATAATCACTACCACGGATCCCGAACTGAATTTCGACAAATCATTCAACGATAACATTTGACTTCGAAACGTGGAACTCGGATACGTCTTCATTTTGACAATACTTTATAGTTCGAAATACCTTAAGCATGACACTACTGTATTTCGAGAAAGCGTTTCTTCGACGTGACTCAACTAAGAAACAATGCGAGTCCGACAACATTCTTCTTAAATAACAATGCTAGTCTACTATATTACGACTATATCAATCAATATCTAAGACACGATGCTACTGCGAAGATATTACATAGGATAATGGTACACCAACAATTTGAGGGGGATCTGGAGCTCGCATTTTAATGTTCGCTCTTATAACCTAACATAACCTAAATGTGGCGGCAGGTAACGGAAACAACTTGTGACCCCAGTTTCCCCTTAACACTGAAGGGACAAATTTATAAAACTATTATCAGACCTGCCGTCCTGTATGGTTCTGAAAGTTGGCCCATTAAGAGAACGGATGAGAGACGTCTGAACGTAGCCGAAATGCGAATGCTGAGATGGATGTGTGGCGTGACTCAGATGGACAAGGTTAGGAATGAGTATATACGAGGGAGTCTGAAAGTAGCGCCACTGGATGCAAAGTTAAGAAGTAATAGGTTATCTTGGTATGGACATGTCATGCGGAGGGATGAGGCAAATATGGCGAAGAAAGTTTTAGGTATGGGAGTTGAAGGGTACAAGAGAAGAGGCAGACCGAAGAAAAGGTGGATGGACTGCGTGAGGGAGGATATGGCTAGGAAGGGACTAAACAGTGAGATGACGCATGACAGAGTAGAATGGAAAAATCATACATACTGTGCCGACCCCAAATAAAATTGGGAAAAGTGTAGGCAGATGATGAACCTAAATAATACAATAATCGTGTCTTATCTTACATCACGTCGTAGAATTATTTGTCGAAATTCAGTTATGCAACGAATCACCACTGTTAACTGGACTCTTCATCAATCGCAACGAACGCGATCACCGTGACGATCAAGTAGAAGTGAAATAAATTCACACTTGGGCTTCAGATCTAAAGTTTATCCTGTTTAACGCGAGTTTTAAAAGACTATTGTACTTTCGCAGTGTTCAATTTGAAGAAGCAATCACAGTCCGTTTTGCTAATATAATAAAACAAAAAAAATACTAATTAAGAGGTTACATTACAATAACATTTTATCGCATTGTAAAAACTAGTTATAATATTACTTTTACATCAGTACATCACACACACAATATAGGGGAGAGTAACCAATATTGAACCAGCGCTTAAATTGGACCAATTCTGTGTTTCTTCCAAAATGCACTATTTTTTACACTAGCAACACAAAAAGGAGCGCTAGCAGTACCAGTGATACTCCGCCATTTTGTAGCGCTCCTCTTGTGCCAATATATTGTACCAAATTTTGGTAGAAATACAGAAGTTGGTCCAATTTAAGCGCCGGTTCAATATTGGTTACTTAGAGAGTAACTTACATGCCTATGTAAGTTACATAATATTTTGTACTTAGTATAAAATTACTTAAAGGATTCTTAAGCTATCTTGAGAATAATTATCACATGTAGGTACATAATATGAGTATATTAATTATAAAGATTATTTAAACTTCTATTGACCTCGAAAACCTTACGTAAAAAACTAAATATGAACTTAAAATACAGATCACGATAGTTTTTTAAACAAAGAAAAATAGATAATTATTAAAATTGCTTATATTTTCTTAACTTGTTTTAATAGTTAATAGCATTATTATTCAAAATACATCTTGACGAGAATCAAACCTCGATCCTCGATATCGCGGCCGGTGCTTTCAACTGGCTGAACCGCTAGCGAACGGCATGCGGCGCAGGTGCTGGGGGGAGGGGGGGGGGGGCAACGGCTTTTTAAATCAATAAGAACGAGCATAGTGTTATAATATTACCTGCCATTAAATTTAAAAAAACATACTTATTTCATTCGCAACTGTTTGTATATAATCAACTTGTTTATAAACAAGGTAATTACTGAAAAAGAAAAAACAAAAAACCCGACTTTTTGAAAATGATGTATAGGTATTTAAAATTAAAAAACCGGGGATTTTATTTAATTTAATTTTTAAATATCCAGTGTCAATGTAACGCCTCGCCTCTCGGGCCTAAATCTATGAAGTCGTTTAGACTACAGAGCGTGCGAATGAATTATACATATGTATATGCATACACTCTAAACACATTCTCAGCAGTCGGGTAAAAATGGGTACTTTACAAAAAAAAAGGGAGTGTTAAATAAGATTATTATGAAAATTGCATCTTTTAACAATAATAACTGGTTTTTTTTTAAATAAAATTAGATGTCAGCTCTAAGAATCTTTTACGAGTGATATAGAATTTTTCCATTACTATTATTTAAATGTACAAATGTGATGATTTTTTAGTAATTTAACCGCAGTGAATGTTGAGTAACATACAGCACAGGGTGTAAGGGACAGCCTACCGAAAATACAAATAATAGATAGAAAAAAAGGGAGTGTTAAATAAGATTATTATGAAAATTGCATCTTTTAACAATAATAACTGGTTTTTTTTTAAATAAAATTAGATGTTAGCTCTAAGAACCTTTTACGAGTAATATAGACTTTTTCCATTACTATTATTTGAATGTACAAATGTGATGTTTTTTTAGTAATTAATTAACCGCAGTAAATGTTGACACACATACAGCACAGGGTGTAAGGGACAGCTTCCCGAAAATACAAATAATAGATTAGGTATTCATTCTAAATATGAAATCATTGGAATTTCGTCAAAAAAAACACACATTTTAATTTGTTTAAAAATTTAAAGATAATGAACAAATAACTAGGCCAAAACCTTCTTTCCAGGAAGAGGCCTATGTCCAGCAGTAAACTACTGAAGGCTGTTGACTATGATGATGAACAAATAAGGTTTATCAACAAAAAGACGTTGGTGTTGTTTTTTGGCACTTGTGACTTACACCCTGTATGATACCAACCACACAACTCATTAACGAGAAGCTAGTCTTAGGAATATTAAACCAATAAATGCATGACTAGACAGTCTATTCGACAACATCAAAAGCGATGGCAGATTCGAGTCTGCTTTGGTGTCAAATTAAATTTTGTTTTGAGCATTTTAAAATTTTTCAAGATTTAATCTTGAAATAGAAAATTAATTGCTTTGTAAAGCGCGCTAATATTGCATATAACTTTCATAGTTTTTTTTTATACCACATTCACACAACGCCATCTAGTCCCAAACTAAGCAGAGCTTGTACAATGGGTACTAGACAACCGATATAAATCCATATATACTTTTTTTTTTGTAAATACATACATATTATATATAGAAACACCCAAACCAAATCAAACATTAAAAGTTCATGCACACAAATGTTTGACTTGAGCGGGAATCGAACCCGCGACCTGTGGAATAGCAGTCCGTTACACAAACCACTACGCCATCCGGTCGTAGTAAAAAAAATAAGACGAAAAACAAGATGTCTTAAAAAACTTTGATTATTTGAACAATGTTCAAATATTTTTATTCTGTTCATTCCACACCTTCACCAACTCGTCATGATTTCCGTAACCGTGAGACGCTATAACACTCCTATAATCCTCCTTAGTATACTTTTTCTTATAAAAATGGAAATCGGGACAATGTATCGGCTTAATACCGACCTTTTTAGCCACAATGCCAAGATATATATCGTCAAAGCGAAAATGTTTGACAAACAGACTAGCAATGTACATAACCTTCATACTTTTATTGGAAAGCACGTACGCACCGGCTGTAACATACGGCGGCCATTTATTCCAACGGTATTCGTCTAAAGAAACTCTCCATTTCGATGTCCTGAACCTCTGAGGGGCAGACTCGAACACGTATCCAGCAAAAAGATTTTCATCTCTCTCTATTTCAGGGGTTTGTATCATGAACTCGTCTTCCTCGTTCTTAGAAACAACATTTGATTTTCGTCCTTCGGTCTTATCGTGGACGTAATCGAACAAGTTATTAACAGAAATGTACATGTCATCATCCGTGAATAAGTAGAAGTCTGCCGTTGAGCAATGTTCATAAACCCATCTAAACGACATCATAGTTTTAATTGTGTTATTGTAGTAGTCGTCTATGAAATCGATTTGTATAATATCCTTGTATTGGGACATTTCTTGGTCTATTTTCTTCTGTAGATCTGTTTTAGGCTGACGATCTATTCCTAAGAAGAATAACGTTTTGACTATTCTGCCTGGCAGGTTCTCTTGCCCAAACGTCTGTCTTATAGCATTCCTGTGACCGAAATGGGACCTAGCTGACTTCACTACAATAAAGAGGTCTAATTTCTCAATTGTGGAACATTTTCCTGAGTTGGTGAGAAATCTGTAAGGGTAGAAGTTGATAGGAGTAACGGTGGACTTCTTCCCGGCCATTATATCGTCAACGATAGTCTTGATTTTCACATTTAAAGGGTAGTCAAAGTCCTCCTCGAAGTTTTTCGAAAACAAATAGTCACTCACACCAAAAAAATAGTATATATACACTAGCACACACGCGCATACAAAGTATTTTAGTTTTTTTCGCTTCATTGTGAGCGCAGGTTGTCTTGAGATTTCTGGGATATTCGTATGATTTGATCTGTAAATAAATAATAATTTAAAAACGCGCAAATTCCGCGAACCGTGTGTTAAGTTCACATTTAAGATATTCTGTCTTTGGTTCCCTTCCTAAGCGGGACAAAAACTAAAATTCTCAATACTAACTGAACAAATGCTAATAATGATAATTTAATTATTTTTTTCACAAAAGGATTGATTTTTTTACTTAATCTGTGGAACAATATTACATAAATAAACAAAGTGCGTATTTGGGAGAGACTGGTATCGAAACTAGGAAGGTTCTGTCAGACAGATTACCAGGTTTCCTACATACAACTTCCTCCGTTCTTCCAGCTGAGGAATTCTATGATCTTTGCATGCAACGAATGCAAAAATTTGTTATCCTCCTTAAGAATAATATACTACTCGTAGAATACCTTTTTTAATCATGTTTTTTTCAGGCTTTTGAAAATGTAAATATTAATTTGCGAATCCTCGACGCTAGAAGGGTTAAGTGTTGTTTGAAACAACGGTTCTTGTCAATTATAACCTCTAAATAAGGCTCCGCTAAATATAATTTATTTATTAGCACTTTTAGAACCTTACTACTGAGTAGATAATCATAAAATTTTATAAATACGTTCGGAAAGTTACAGAAAAAGGCAGAGTAAGTGTATTCTCGAAAAAGAAATACTGATACATAACTAACGCCGCGGGTGAATGTTAGCACCTAATACTTTATATATAAATAGCTGGTACCCACGGCTTCGATGAATTTTTAAAAACAACTGCCTTAGTGGGCTCGACTCCCGGACTGGGCAAAATTTTATAGGGTTTTTCTGAGAGGATAAATAGCCTAAGTTACTCCTTATATAGATAGCTACTTGTTAATAAAATATTATCAAAATCGGTACAGCCGTTTAGAATATTACCCGGAACAAACAGACAAACACACAAAAGTATTTAAACTTGTTTTTAGGCATAGGTATCGTGCAAATACCATGAAAATAACATTTTATTTTGACATTACAAACAGACACTTCAATTTTATTTATTTGTATAGAAAATTCCTTATTATTTTTAACACGCGAACTTTCTACATACATAGAAAACTTATTTTTTTATTTATCCATTACTTGGTTCCAATGTTACCCAAAAAAAAAACTGCCTCAAATCTAATTAGTATTATAAGCGATGAATCATGCCACATATATATGTATGTTTACACTCATTAGTGATAATACTACCTTATCGTGAACCATCACCGGTGATAAAACAGGGAAATGACGTCATCGCATTATTTATCTAATCTTAATAGCACAGGAAGTTCAATAAAACTTATAATAGAATTACATGTTTATTCAAAATATAAATGAGTATATTTAAAGCATATTAATACATGTTTTGTATAAAATAGTCTTCGCGTTCTATGTGCTTTCGACGGCTCATTGCTTGCTGCACATCCAGCAGCCGGCAGCCTCCTAAAACAATTATTTTTTAAGTCAGTTATATCTTATTTGGCTTTTAGATTTTGTTTGCATATTGTAGATACAGAACTCGCGATTAACCTATTCCTAATTTAAATGACTGCACAGATGGCGTAGTGGTTTAAGTGGTCGCCACGCCGCTTCCTACTACGCCGAGTGTTGTGGGTTCAAACCCCACATGAGACGACACTTTGTGTGATCCACAAATTGCTGTTCTGAGTCTGGGTGTTCTTTGTGTCCGTTTCATGTATGTTTGTAAAGTCCCCCGCGACACAGGAATATATTCCTAATACGGGCGTTGTCTTTTTAAGAAAAGAAAAGAACTCTGTTTTAAATTTAGTTGAATGCAGGTTGCAGTAAGAGGTCATAACATACTATGGTTAGCTAGGTTTGAAAGGAAAATGGTATTTCGTGTAAAATATTTTCAAGTTTATTTGTTTAATTCAAGAAATTGCATAAATTCTGGCAAATAATAATAATAACAACCTCACACATCTCACACACGGCAGTCTGATCCCAAACTAGGCAGAGTCTGTGCTATGGTAACCAGACTGCAGATAAACATACTTATATTTCTAAATATATACATATTATAGATAAATTACACCCAGACCCAGAACAAATGACCGTGCTCATCACACAATATTTGTCCTGGGTGGGAATCGATCCCACGACCTCCGGCTTAGCAGTCAGGGTCACTAACCACTAGACCAACAGGCCCGTCAAATAAATGTAAAGCTAAACTATTTGGGCAAGACTGTGCAACCTAAGTTAAATAGGTACCTCTTATGTTTTATAAAAAAATACTGCTTGAATAGCTTAGGACAGTATAATTGAATTTCTATCGACTTGGTGAATCCGCAACTAGATATAAACTTATGGGGTGTCAGAGAAACAGTACTGATGTGTATTTGGTACTTAATCATCAACAGCCTTGACTAGTCCACTGCTAGACATAGGCCTCTCCTTAGAAAGGAGGTTTTGGTCTACTATACCACGCTGGCCAGCCGGGTTGGTATAGGGTTTATGGCAATTTTTCCTTCTCTCTGCAATGCTGTTGTCCTGCGTAGTTTGCTCCCTTAGTCGCCTCTTACGACACCCACGGGATGGATAGGGGTGGTGACACTCTGTATTCTTAATCCGTCGCCACACGGACTTTAATTATATATTTTTGAATAATTTTAAGACTGATAAGTTTATATGAAACATGATTAATTTAGGATATTGACTGAGTAGATACGAGTATGTTTCTTAATCTCTGTCAAAAGCACATAGAACATAGTAGGTTACATTAACGGAAGGTTTCTGAAAGGCTAACCGACGGAAAAATTATTATCAGAAAGTATATTAAGGCACTTTGATGTAATCATCGGATCATTTCACAAAGCATTTTGTATGTTTGAATGTTTTTTGTAGTACATTTTTGTGTTGCAATGTTACAGAAAGAAGAAAGAAAGAAATGCATTTATTAGTAACAAAACACATTACAAAAAAAATGTAGAAATTTAACATTAAAGAGAAAAATAAAAGAAACACTTCGCTAAAGTAAAGAGTAGCACAAAGAATAAACTAATGAACAATTACGAAAGAATAAAATAATCACTGTATGTCACTAAAAGGCCTACTGAGCCAATAAAAGTGACCACAGTGCTGATTTTCAGCTGAAGCACAAAGGTACTTCAGGGACGAAAACTCGAACTAATTAAAATTCTGTAAGTTGAATAGTGTTTTGACCAGTCTTAGAGAAACCGGTGTAGATGTACCATAAGTAGCTCATAAAAAGGGAAAAGTAGCTATAGATAAAGACTTCAAAAAATACTTTAAACCATAAAAAATACTAGTGCTGCCTTTGATGTCTGTAAGAAATTGCAATAACTACCCAACACTGCCTGTTATTATTATGTACTTCTTAAATAATAAAAAATTAAAACTTGTTTTAAAAACTATTTTTTTTTAATACTAGTACTTCTTTTCATATATGTATATAATTGGTCGCAAAAATGGCGGCATTGATCTGTGCAATACTTTTATGTGATTTAAGAGATTTTTTAAAAGTATACTAATAATAAAAATGTTATGTTCTCGTGAATAAATATTATACATTATAATTAGACTTGCAACGAATATTCGGTTACTATTCGGTATTCGGCCTATTCGGCTGCTTTTATTATATTCGGCCGAATACCGAATACTTAAATAATATATTTTGTCATTGAGAAATAATTGGTAAAATGAAAAATTAAAATCGATTGATTACGTATATATTCATATTTTCATTTCTGTTATAATCATTTAAGTAGTCATTGGTGCATAACACAGGTACATAATCATCTTCTGAATTGGAAAAATGGAGGATTCTATGTATTTGAATTATTGTGGTAATCAAAATTTAGAAGGGTAAGGTTCTCATTTCTTTTATAATCATTTATTAAGTAGTCATTGGTACATAAAACAGGTACATAATTTAATTCACGTCTGTACAAGTTTTTGGCGCTAAAATCCAGCCGAATACTTTTGCCTAATATTCGGCTATTCGGTCAGGGGCCTCGCCGAATATTCGGTATTCGGTATACTGCCGAATATACTATTCGTTGCAAGTCTAATTATAATATTTATTTCAGACTTTGTCCATATTTTGCACATATATCTTACAATTTTAATTTATAAAAGGTTGTTATTACACAATGGTTTTTATTAAATTTGTTATACATGCTAAAAAATCTAAAATATTACTCACACTACGTCAAAATCAATCAAATCAAAATCAAATTAGCTATGCGTTCCATTTGTCTCTTGTTTTGTTCCCTTAGCCCCCACGACTAGCATTGTCGAGGTGTTACTGGGTAAGATTTAATCTTTATGTGAAATATAAGACCGATATAAATTAATTGCCATATATATCGATGTAATAAAATTTTTAATGATTTTCATTTCTTGTTAATATTTTTAAACGGCTAGGCTTTTTATGATATAGGTATCAAACGAACAGACGGGTCGGCTAATGGTAAGTGGCTAGTATCGCACGTTTATATCGACAGTGACAATTATGTTCCTTTGAGGTGTTCTCTAAATTGAAACCATAATGTAAAAATAAAAAAAAAAACGCTTTTCTAGGGAAGTCTCATTAATTCCTTTTTAAATGTTAAGTGTACCAAGCGGTGAATTTTTTATTTTCTTATGTTACATTTATTACGATTTTTAAATAGTATTACTGTCATTTACCTGTAATATGGATCCTGTTTACAAAGAAGTATCAACAGTGGAGCTGATAGAGACTGGTGGCAGATAGTGGCTGCGGATCTGAGTGTGGAGGCGTGCTACTTCACCATCGAGACTCTCCATCTCACGAACTAGTTGAGTGAACTGGACAATACCTGGAAATAGACCGTTGGCATTTTAAATATCCGTGTTGTGATAGATTAAGAATACAGAGAGTCACTACCTCTATTAATCCCATGGGTGTCGTAAGAGCCGACTAAAGCAGCAAACTACAAAGGACAACAGAGCATTGCACAGAGAAGGAAAACTTGAAACAAACTCTATACCAACCCGTTTAGCCAGCGTGGTATAGTAGGCCCAATCCCCTTTCTAAGGAGAGGCCTATGTCCAGCAGTGGACTATCAAAGGCTGTTGATGATGATGATGATCTCAAATATGTTCTGCCCGAATAGAGAATCATCATCACTACATTGAATAAAGTGGCAAAACTGCACTATATAATAACCAGCAGAAACTTCATTTACAGGTAAAGATACCCACTATATGTATCTGTATATCTGTATAAAACTTTATTGCATTTAAAATTACACTCACTGTTGAGGTACAATATCACAATAGTACAAAATCTATGACACTGACGGTACTAAATGCTGTGTACCAAACTAGGCGAGGCCTGTATTTTGGATGACAATATCCAGCCGCAGGAAAATTTACATGTAAGATTACGCTAAAGTGAAATATAGGGCACTTGCAATACAAATACAGATACATAACAATAAAAATAAAATAGGTATAATAAAAACTGTGTAGCGTAAGAACGTAAAGGTGTGTGTGTGAGTCTGTGTGAGTGTGTATGTGTGTGTGTGTGTGTTATCGTGTGTGCGAGTCGAGTGTGAAAAACGCGAAGATACCCAGTTTATCACAAGAGAGTAGAATGAAATGAAATGATTTTCAGAAGTATTTTTTAACTTATATCCCTCAACGAATTTGAAGATGTTACAAGAGCTCTGGAATATTAACCTGATCCTACTAATGGGGTAGCTTTCAAGTGAAATCCCTTTTTGTTTATAGACATCAAAATAATAGATACAGTACATTTTTGTATCAAATATTATGGCGTGACGTCATTCCCAGTTATTCTCAAATCATTGATGTTGATTTGAAGATATTAAAACCATGTAATATACAATGGAGGATAATGTGCAGTCTTTGGACCAGTTTCACGCAGAGGACATACAGCGTCCAATATAATAACGCGTTCAGGATGCTGTTGGGGCTGTCGTGGCGTTGTAGTGCGTCTGGTATGTTTGCGGAGGCGCACACAGACGAAATTTTATGCAATTTTAAGAAACAGGACCGTTTCCATGGCCGGCCGGTTGCGCACCGCTACTAACAGTGTCCTGAAGGTGTTGACGGATCGGTAGGACTCCCCTCTAACCCTATGGACTATCATCATCATCATCATCAGCCTGTAATAGTCCACTGCTGAACATAGGCCTCTCCTTAGAAAGGTTTTGGCCTACTATACCACGCTGGCCAGACGGGTTGGTATAGGGTTTGTGACAAGTTTTCCTTCTTTTTGCAGAGCTGGTGTCCTGCGTTGTTTTGCGCCCTTAGTCGACTCTTACGACACCCACGGGATGAATTGGGGTAGTGACATTCCGTATTCTTAATCCGGATTAAGAATACGGAATGTCTATGGACTATATCTGACATAAACTATTTGAATTTGCATTCAGCCTGTCGTTTAGTAGAGACTATCTGGAATGTTCTGTATCTGGAATGTTCACCTATTGTGACACCAGTTACATATACAAAGAGAATTAGGATCAAAAGCTAAATACCTTCTCTAGAATTAGGGAAACCATGATGTTTAATAGTCTCCATCTCAATTTGTACAACCATCGGGAAGACTATCTGCATCATTTTGAGCATCTCATTGCCTGCGGCTTCCTTGGCTTCGTCGAGCTTAGAGGCGTAGTCAGGAGACTCCAAGGCATCAAGAACTTCAGTCAAAATCTGCCTCATCTGGTCCACTGAGATGTTTTGTGGCGATGCCATGCTGATGGGAACAGCATTTAGTTTCTGTAATTATTAGAAGACATCATTTATATCTATACTAATATTATAAAGCTGAAGAGTTTGTTTGTTTGTTTGTTTGTTTGTTTGTTTGAACGCGCTAATCTCAGGAACTACTGGTCCGATTTGAAAAATTCTTTGAGTGTTAGACAGCCCATTTATCGAGGAAGGCTATAGGCTATATATCATCACGCTAAGACCAATAGGGGCAGAGCACCAATGAAGAATGTTTCAAAAACGGAGAAAATTTATTACTATTGAGAGACGCAGACGAAGTTGCGCGGGTCAGCTAGTGTATAATACATGTGATTTTATACCATCCCTAGTTTCAATCATTAAAGTCCTAAAGGGCCCTCCTTACTACTTGTTGCTAACAAGTTTCTGGTTGTCCTTGCACTTTTGCACCGACTATGGCACTACTTGCACTTATTTCAAAGAATTACGACGGGTCTGGTGATCTGCTGGTTAGTGACCCTGACTGCTAAGCTGGAGTTCATGGGTTCAGTATGTTTATCAGCAGTCTGGTTAAGTACAGGCTCTGCCTAGTTTGGGATCAGACGACCGTGAGTGAGTTGTGTGAAAATATAATCAAAAACAAATAGTTCAAACCAGGAACACACAGCCTTTTTAAAATGTAGTTCTTTTTTTATTTCACAACTCTGACATCCGAAAATAGCAATCAGTATATAGGATCATCATTTAGATCTTTTTAGAGCCATCTAATATTTTTTCATATTATCTAAATTTTAATAATAAACGTCCCTATTAAAATATGTGTCTATAGAATAGTGTCTATAATAATCTTAGCGTATTAATATATAGATAATATCATTATTAATATATAGAGGGGCTTGTGGTTAAATGTTAATCGAGTAAGTTACCACATTGCAAAGTAAAGCAATCCTAGCCAGGTCATTCTATGGATGGGTGACCATTCTTAACGGTAGTCATCGCAGTTGGAGCCCAACCATGTTCAACAATAGTCTATCTCCAGAACTTCAATATCACCTAGTAGTTGGTTTCTGGAGGTCTGATGTCGATCCACGTAAAAAACCAAAGTTCACGCGTGCCGTAGTAGACAGCAAGCTGTCCCAATCTAGTTTACGAAAAGCTTTCAAGGATTACGATGGATAATATTATTTTGGATATCCCATATTTGTAGAATCCGATTGGTGACATAAAAAAGTGTGTGTGTGCAACTCACACGCGGCAGAAGTGAAAGAAAAACCCTAAAAAAAAAAACCAAATTCCACGCATACGAATTCGCAGGTACCAGCTAGTATTACATAAAATGATAAAAACATTCACACTGTCAAAATATTATATTAAAAATAATGTGTAATGTATTCTATCTCATTCCCTCGCCGATTTAATCCTATACAATTATGTGTTTGTTTCTTTATCGTGACGCATTTTCGTTACATCGAGTTTCAAAGCATTTTCAAAAATGTGAGAAATTTTATTTTTTATTTTTATTACATTCCTCAATTCTTCATATAATAGTACTCATATGCATTGTGGAACTAAGAATGTATGAGGTCAGATTATTTACGCAGATAATAATGTAAGTGCCGCACCGCTAACTGCCTACATTGATAATGTCATAATGGCAATGTTGATTCAAATAAGGATGTGTTACACAACATGAACTTCTAACACACAGCTTATAGAGCTCATTACTCATTCAATTTGTAATACTGCAGAATAAGTTAGAAACTATAAAGTGAATCAATTCTGTGGGTTTTATAACTTAGATAGAATTTTAAACAACAACAGATGGTAAGGAGGACCCTTTGGGACTTTAATGATTCAAAGTAGGGATGGGATAGAATCATGAAACATGCAATAAATCATATTATCACAACTGTGACTAATTTATAAAACCACTGTGACTTATTAATTACTATTACGCTAGGCTCCCGAAAGGTCTAAATTAAAAAAAGAAAAGGTTGTAATCTTCAATAAAAAGAATTTTAATTGATTTTAATGCCATTCTTAATTTAATGATTTTAATAATAATAATCATCTTTGGCTATGAAGAAATCACAATTACATTTGAAATAATTTCTTAAAATGAATATGATTTAAAAGTAGCAACAACAAGCATTTATTTGGCAAATGGACTTATATGAGGTTATTTTGCATGTTGCAATCCTTTCTCTACCTGTTGAAAAGCAGTTACACAAGAAAATTAACAGCGAAAAGCCTCATATGTTGAATTTTCCTGCTTTACTTCTTTTCAAAAATATTACTGTTTTTAAAGAAGTAAATTGATCAATTTACAAATTATAATGTACAGACTAAACTACTATACACAAATTCTTGTTCCATAATCTTGTAGTTAATAGTACTCCTTTTTTAACAGACAGGATTTAATGTGCTGTTTATATAAAAAAAAAATATGTTTAAGTAAGTTTTTGCCTGTTAGCTTTATGTGCTATTTTATACTATAATCTATATCTATTCAAATTTCATTCGTATCTGCTTAGCTTTTCTTGTGTAAATGATAACTAACACTCATTTATGGGAAGCTATAAAATAAATTTTAATCTAAATAATTGGCTTGGTTGTACTGAAGGATTGTCCTACTTAAATGTGAAAGGAGCATTTTGTTTTTAAAATCATTTTACTCCTTAACATGTGGAGTAATAAAAAACTTTAATTGAGTCTTCATATTGTGTAAATCTAACAAGTCTTCCTGGCCAAGATTAGGTTTTTTTTTCAGTTTCAATCCATACAATATTTTAAGTAAAAGGATTAGTAAAAGAACCAATAAGAACTTATGAAATCACTAGTGGAATCACTCTGTTATTTTAAAAATGGTGAAAACATAAAGGTAAATCTAACAAAATTGTGAATATTCTGTTGTATATGGCTGGAACTTTAATAACATCGAATTAAATAGGTATAAAATCGTCATATCGTAGGTTTAAGTAGGTTATTTGTGAGTCATGTAAAACAGGGTAAGTATTTAAAATACAATTTCTACTTTACCCACTATAAGGCAAACATTGTTAATGCGCTCACCTCGTTTTCCACATAGAAATTACAGAACTTTGTGTCGTAATGATTCTTTATTATTAACTATTTATATTTATTTAACCATAGAAAGATAAACTCGAAAGATTACTTTCGTAAATACAAGAAAAATGTTTTTGCACACACAAGCTCAAGTCAAGCCCCCGCAAAACAGGAGATAAAAAAATATGATTTAAATTTAGTGTTGCCAATAGACATAGGACAAAATCACAGTGAACCGTGATTTATCATTAGTTTTTTGCGTAAAGTTACCGGCACCGATCTTGAGAGCTGACCGTCACCTACCATACCTCTTTTGAGGTATGAAGTAGGACGGGTGGGCAATTAAATAATAACGTCAGCCAATGATTGGCTCACCGATATTGTCGCTGCTCATGATTCGTTTTCTCGCACTTAAGTACGACGAGTACACTTCCGAGCAAATTAATAGGGTATAAATTTTTTTATTAATAATTTAATCATTTCTACTTTCGCTATTAATCAATTTAATTTTATGTTGGTTAAAAATTGAGATTTTTATGAGTGTGTATTAGATAGCGTAAAGTATTAAGTAGTTGATTTTGTCCCATGCCTAGTTGCCGATAGACATGGGACAAAACAAAGTTAATTGTGAATGATAGGTGATTTAGCATTCGACTTTTTCGTACGTAGGTTAGAGTTACTACTTACTTACGCGTTGTTGCCTATAAGCTGTTTCCAAAAATGCATAAAGACCCTATTTCGCCTATTTAACAGTAAATCTACGTACGCAAAAATCTAATCATAAATCACGGTTCACTGTGATTTTGCCCCATGTCTAGTTGCCAACCTTTTTGCTACATATTTCTCACACTACCAGGACAAGCGAGACTTTCGAGGTACTGTGAAGTTAGAAGAACCTTGACCTTAAAGTTGAAGAACTTATGACCTTAATGATACTAATAGTTTATTTTAGTTTTTTTTTTGTTTTTTTTTTATTTTATATTTTTAGTCCATACAATTTGTGGGTAACAATGTTTTTGTTTGTTAATACTGGGGTCTTAATGGTAACTCAATTTTTTCAACAGTAATGTTTGAAAAATAATGAAGATTTTTCTTATAGGAAAAAAAATAATATTTTTATTTTCAAAAGGAATATTTTTATAGCATTTTCGGGATTTCCTTCCTAGTAATGGTTCCTAGAAGATTGTGTTGCTAGCAACACCACCCTGTTAAGTCATTGCTAGTACTAGATTTGCCAGTTGTTTTTATTTTATTTGTTTACAACACATAATACATTTTATTAATAATTTTTATTTGAAACTAATTATATTAAGTGAGTAATGTTCTGATAAATCTTTGTAAACAAACACTTAGTAATGAATGTTCTAGTCAACTAGAAGCTTTAAAGCAGATATTGCTGTTTATGAGAGAAAAAAACTTTAGGTAAATTTTACGAAAAATCAATAATATTAAGCTTTTTGTTGCTTTTTTATATAAATGAGACTGTTAAAAGAAATCTTGGTAACTTTTTTTACTACCTGATATATGATATTTACATTTTTTATGTAGTCACCTTTGTTGCTTATTTGCTATACAATAGTTACTTGCTGTACTTATTAGTATAAATAAAATAAAATACTTCTAAAATCTTTTATTAGTACCTAAACAGTCACGTATTTATCACGGTAGGCTTGCTCAAACACGCCGAATCATGGTTCTCCAAGGGTGAAGTAATCACCAGTACTATTTTATACAGAAGAAAGAACCCAGTATTTAAAATCAGAACTTTAAGAGATATTGCAGTTATCTCTTTATTGCCTCATCAGGCAGTCGCTTTGTTTCATCGCCATATAAACAGCAATTCCCATTAAAAGATAAATATTATCTTATCATATCTTTGATTACAATGTTTTATCTTTTCATTCGTTTTTGTTTTCCTTTCATTATTGATTTTTCAGTCTGTTGTTTAATGTTATGTTTAGCAAATGATATATTTCCTGTTATCTGAAATGTTCATTTATTGAATTAAATAATAAGTGATTGTTACTGTTAAGTCTATAACTATTTTATCGGTAAGTTTTGGAATGAAATGTACGTCTTCTGATTAATTGTAACTAGACAATGTTTTACCATCAAAAGACAGGAAAGATAGGCTCTCATGTTTTATCTATTTATACACTTCATTTTTTAGCCATCAATGGGTTATTTTGGAGATCCAGGTAGTCAGAGACAATATAGACTGTTAAGTCAAATCCGTTCTTCTTTGTCAAACAAAAAGTATGTCTATAAAAATTTGTATGCAGTAAAGAGTTATGACATCATAATTAACTATTGTCAAAGCATTGACTTATGACATGTAGTTAAAAAAAAAATAAACAGGAAAACAACAATAAATAAAATATTACACAGCCTTATCCTCGATTTCATAAGGACTGTTGAACTAACACTTTTACTGTTGACTGTACACTTTAACTATATTACAACTATGAAATTGCATACAAATAAATTTACAGGCCTATCTTTTTCCCTGCAGTATCACTCACATTATGGTGATTGTAAATTATTTTTTCCAAATTTTTTTTTACATAATCTATTTATTTGATATAATCTACCGCTCTCATCCACATCTACTCCGAAGTTCTACCGTGATTGAGTTAAAAACAGCCTTCAAAACTTTCGCATTTATACCAATTAATTTCTCCGTTGCAGTTTTTTTTTTTTAATAACTTTAGTTCATTCGCGTTAAGAAAATAGCTACGCATCGATCAAGTCCCGCATCCTGACCAATTAGGTTTCAAGCTTTCGTACAAGAAATTATCTCTTGAAACCTGATTGGTTAGGGGGTGATGATGTTCGATGCGTCACTATTTTCCTAACGCGAATGGACTATAACAATATTTAACTTTGAATTATTCCAGATAGACGATGGATGACGAAATCGAGGCTATGGAACAGAGGCCAGTGAGTGCCCGACGAACTTATACTATGAGAAACAATGCCGCAAGGCAAGTGGCTGTCAACTTCATGCCATCGCGACAACTACCATACAGTGAGTAGAGTGAAATTATAACCTTAAACCACTGGAATTAGGCTTTAAATTCCAATCTTTAATCATTTATGTCTCAAAGAAACGTCATCTTGTTCCTCCGGATAGATAAAAAATAGATAAAACTGACAGATAAAAAAATATTTTGGCTGCTTTTAACTTCAAATGGCCATATACGAATCTTACATTATAATAAGTAAGTAGGTAAGTAGTAGGCCAAAACCTTTTTTCTAAGGAGAGGCCTTTGTCCAGCAGTGGACTACTATTATAGGCTGTTGATGTGATGTGACATTATAAAATCACAGACACATTTAATGTATTTGCATATCTATTAGCTGCCATTCGAAACTCCTACCGGAATACCTATTATAATTTAATAAGGGTTCATTGGTTCATTACACGTTATAAACCACGTCACTTGCTAACTATCTCTAATTATTGTAAACGTATTGTTCACTAGAGTGTAACGATACTTCTAGTAGATATGTTGCATTTTGTTGAAAGAAGTTTTATAATAATGGTTTATTCTTGAAAAATTACAGTAGGATGAATCAAGTATTTTTGATAAAATACCTAAGAACAAATCGTATTTCTTACTGAAGTGTCAAAAATCATTTCTATCCGTCCTTACTGAGTAGCACAGAAAGTAAGCAACATTAAAGTATTTTGAACAATAAATTAGCTGTAAAAAACAACGCCGACACGTACGGCGTCTTTCACTTACCGTCGGGTCGGGTACTTACTAAACACAATCCTTAAACAATTTACTAGATAATCTCAATTTGATCACACTGTTAACACCACATTATTAACGTACACTGCACATAAACAACTAAGCATTTACATTACACTACAGTGACTTACAACCTTAACGCAGAACTTAATTGTTATAATTACGTATATTCAGTGCAGTATCTGTTTTACTTTATGCTACATTACCGCACTCGGCCGGTTGGCATTCATGTTAATACTATTTTCGTGCTAATCCGTTATAAATATTAAGTAGTGTTAGTGGTACGACGTGTTTAGTAATGTTGTGAATTATGTCTGTGTTATCACATGATGATGTGTTTGCGGTTCATAACTTGAAGACTGGTATCGTATATATATGTAATTTTTTAGTTTAATTAGCCACGAGATTATTCAAAAGTATCTAAGTTAGTATTTGGAATTTCTCTACAATCCCGATGTTAGTATTTTCTGAGATACCCTACCTGATACTGTTGTCCTTGCTTCACATGACCTGCGTGCGAAGTTTTGTGAAATACTCCAGGAAAACGAAGTTAATAGCCAGTATATCTTTAAGAGTATCACTTTCAAAGCAAGCTCACTTCTTTGGGGAAACAGTTAGGTCTAGTACGTAACTGTTTTCCCCAAACTGGTGAGCACCAATATCTACCGTTATCGAGTTTGCCCCACCAACTTGTACAGATTATTAAAAGAAAAGAACGTTTTATGTAAACAATTGTATTATATTGTACACAAGATAGTAACAATTGTTTACATCCAGCGGCTAATTCGTCTGGAGAAACTAAAGTTCATTATTTATTAATAACTCTATGCACTTTTGTACATCGGCGGACTTATTGCCCAAGGGATTCTCTTCCAGTCAACCTCGATCTCGACTATATCTCGATAATTAAACAATCATTACTAGGAGTGTCTTCAAAAATAATTAACCTTTTTCTTTATTTAAAAAGACATTAGGAATATATCCAGTGTCTTTCATCGACATTACAAACATACATGATACGGACACAAAGAACACCCAGACTCACAACAACAATTTGTGGATCACACAAAGTGTCGTTTCATGTGGGGATTGCACACATAACACTCAGCGTAGTAGTAAGCGGCGTGGCGACCGTTTAAACCACTACGCCATCCGTGTAGTCACCCATATAATTCAAAATTGGGCTCATTTCTTTACTCAAGTATTGGCGAAAGAATAGAATTAGTAAAAAATAAATTTACTGGTTTACTCATGTGTGATTATCCGACTAGCTTCGGGTCAATTATCAAGATGTTAAACAACCTATCATACCGAAGTCGAGTGTGGCTTTGTAGGTACTAGTAAAAGATTAAATGCCGTCAAAATACTGAGACTCCAACTCCTGACCTGACACTGCTGGTAACGTTATTACAGTTTCAGCATGATGTAACAACTTCTCTTGTTCTAATGAAGGTACTCTTCGTCTGAGACGTAACAACTCTGAACACAATGCGTTACTCGACGAGGTGTGCGAAGCTGTTGATGCTCCCGACGCTGTCGACAAGCAGGCTGAAATCATTGTCCGAGAGATGGAACAACACCAACAGCTAATGGATGATTCTCCTGTCGCTGAAGAGTTAAGGAGGTAGGTTTCTTTGAGACTCCATGAATAATGTTATGATTATTTTCAAAGAAAACAACTGTATTTAAGTATATATGATTTTATTTATGTGTAAATTTTGGGGACGCGTTTCGACATAACGGAGCACCTTTAGAGGTTGTATGATTAAGGGAAGGTTGGACTACATCCATTACCACGTCTACCACAACTTCTGACGCAAACTATAAGCTTAGCTTAGCTTTTTTATTTTTTATTTTATTTAGTACCTATACATGTGTCCTCACAATTTCAAAAATGAGTAAAAATCTCTGCTAGTGAAGTATTTTATTAAGAATCAATAGAGACGTATCATCATCATCATTAGGCAATGATGATGATACGTCTATATTCTGATATCTAACGAAAGGGGGTAGGGAGGCCCCTACCCCCTTCCGTTACTACTCCCTATTGTATTGTGGGTCATCGCAAATTGTGATATTTACTTACGCCAAACCTCCTTAGCGATGTTATCGTTTTCAGGATTAAATTGGGGTAGGCACATCGAATATTGCGAAACGGCTAGGATATAAGATATCCCAGCTCTCGGAGTTAATCTCAAAGAGCTGGGATATCTTATCCCAGGAGTCCCTTATCCTTATCCGGCCTTTGGTTGAAGGGGTCACTAAAACGGGCATTTTCTTGTATACTCCAACTATGTTTTGTTTTTACAAGGGTACATCAAATTAATGGCCACAAATGGCGGCTTTTATCGTTCAAAGGCAACCTTTGGTTGGACAATTTTGTTTGCTCTTTAGTTCCCGCACTAGGAATATATCCTGGGTCATTTCAAACATTCATGAAATGGATACAAAGAACACCCAGACTCAGTAAGAATTGAAGCCATAACAGTTGGAACTGGCGATTTGAAGTAGAAATTAAATGTGCAGTAGAAATCGAAAATCGACTGTAAATAGACGAATTCATGCATAGTTTTGGTGTAAAAAGTGTAAAAGGAAACACAAAATATTTATACAGCAAACGGTATTTATTTTCGATAAAAAATAAAAAATAAAAGTAGTTGAAATTATATGCAATCAGTCCTAGCAATACACATTATAAGTAATCTTTAAAATATATACACATATACAATGTAAATAAATACATACATAAATACGCAACCACTCAACTTAAGAATGTCTTTATTTTGCTTCATCGGTATACGATCACGACACCCTAAGGATACCCTAAAGGTGCCTACAAACTCTGTGTGGTGACGGATTAAGAATACAGAGTGTCACCACCCCTATTCATCCCGTGGGTGTCGTAAGACCCGACTAAGGAAGCAAACTGCGCAGGATTGCAAAGTGCAACAGCACTGCAAAGAGTAGGAAAACTTAAAACAAACCCTATAACAACCCGTCTGGCCAGCTTGGTATAGTAGACCAAAACCTCCTTTCTAAGGAGAGGCCTATGTCCAGCATTGGACTAGTAAAGGCTGTTGATGATGATGATTGTGTGATTGTTTCAGAGAAGCTTTAAGAGATCTGCCTCAAGGTCTTACAATGAAGAGAAACGTGCGCGCCAAGTTATCTGCCTCTGTAAGCCTTAGATCTAAGAGAAGACCTATCTCTTTCTTTAGGAGGATGAAGTACAGAATCAGCTTTGCAGGTAAAAAGGTGAGTGTGGAAAAAAAGAGGGTTATTGCATTCTCGTTAATGATAGGTACAACACTTTTTTTTCGTGTAATGTGCCTTATTACAAGGTGTAAAAGTGCTTTTTGCAATGGTTCCAATCGATTAGGAATTCTTCAGATATATTATGGCTTTTGTTTATCAGCTGACAGTATTAAACCTCCTCAGTTCAAGCTGAGCTAACTTATTTGGTTATACTAAGCCACTATTTGGTGGTCGTTTGATAAAAGCTATAACAACATACCTTTGTATAGTTCGCTATCCTATATCATATGCCTCTTAGCTAAAAAGAGTGCGGGACAGTAACAATAACATCCTAAGAATCATACTCGACGGTAATGAAAAGCCTGGTCAGAAGGTTTCGACATTAACCTTAACAATAAATAGTAATAGTAACTGTAGACTACTAACATAGGTTAAAAAAACTGTACACTAACACTATGGACTCTGTCTGAATAAATAAAAATTATTATTATATATAGTTTTAAAAAAAATAAGCGTCTGTAATAGCAAAATAAAAGGTTTTCATGCTCACACGGTTATTTGCACTATTGTGCCTATGCCTAAAATATATTTTTTGTCTGTCTGCTTATTCCGGGTAATCCTTGAAACGGCTAGACCGATTTTGATAATATGATACTACCAGGTAGCTGTCTGTATGAGGAGTAACTAAGCTATTTTTCCTCTAAGAAAAACCCTATAAAATTTTGCCCGGTAATGTATACGAAAATATTTTCAGTTGTGTTTAATTAGGCAGTATTTTTTACATATTGCATTTCTATGACAAAGAATCATATAATGACCCTAACAAAATATTTTAAGGTGGCCCTATTATTAGACACTGCGATCTTAACAGAACAGCTTTAATCTCTCTACCTTCTAGATGCATGACCGTCTTCGAAACCTGATCTTCTCCATCGAACTCTGGTACGAAGCCATTCGCAACATCGAGGGTCACTTTGGCTCAGCAGTGGGATCATACTTCTATTTCCTCCGCTGGCTGTTCGCCATAGACTTGGTGCTGGCCATTTTTGTGGTCGCCTTTGTGGTCATACCGCAAGTGTTCCATGATAAAGAAGGAGATTCCATCAAGTTCGGCTTCCTGGATTTCATAAGTGGTACGGTCAGTATTAAGTTGTTTACTTATTAGATAATAAATTCACAAAAAATCTATGTAATAATCACGCCTTTATTCACGAAGGGTAGTCAGAGACATATTAGAAACTCCCATTTGTATAACTAAAATTTGATGCAACTCAGGTAATAGAGAAACAAATAAATCCAAAATATAAAGTAACGTTTATATCCCCGAAGGAGATTCATTCATTCATAATATTATTTAAATTTTCTATTATTACCGAATTGAATTTTATTGTAGAGGATAAGTGGCATGAAGGAGTCACGTTTTGAAAGAGTCACTTACATTATTTTGGTAGTTTATGAACGGATTTGATGTGTAATTGTATTTTTAAGCGGTAACACTGATTTCCCTTCACCCACATTTGACAGTCCGCCAAAACCAAAAGACACATCGATCGAAATGAATTTTATTGTAGCTACTCGTAATTTAAAGTAAATTAAAATAATAATTTAATACAATTGATATTTAATACAAAATTTAACAATTAAGCATGTTATGTAAAAACGAATATTTTGAAAGAATTGTATTTTTTTTTTTAAAACAACTCCCGCATTATTAATAAATCCTGTGTAGCGGGGGACTTTACAAACATACATGAAACGGGCACAAAGAACACCCAGACACAAAGAACAACTATTTTTGGATCACAAGTGTCGTCCCATGTGGGGATCGGACCCACAACACTCAGCGTAGTAGTAAGCGGCGTGACGACGTGGCGTAGTTGTTGTGTCCGTTTCGTGTGTGATTGTAAAGTCACCCGCGATGCAGAAGTTATCTTTAAAAAAAATATAAGTAAGTTTATCAGCAGTCAGGTTTACATAGCACAGGCTCTGCCTAGTTTCTGGATCAGACGCCCGTGTGTGAGATGTGTGAAGATAATATTACTATTATAATATTATTAAATTTCAGGGTGCTCTAGAGGATTCGTTGTTGTTCTATGGTCATTACCATGACGGTGACGTGTCCGCTATACCGAACCTCACGTACAACATGCCGTTCGCTTACTTCTTCACCATGGTTTGCCTGTATATTATATTCTTTGGGGTATTGTGCTACAGGTTAGTATAAAAACCATTATATTAATTTGTATCAAGACAATATTTGTATTAAATTTTTTTGCTCATTATAAAAAAAATTGTGTCTGAAAAATTATAATAACAAGTTAATAAGCATGTATGTGTCCACTAATAACAAATCGCTTGGTTTATAGTTTCAAATTATAAATGAAGAGACATAGATAAGAAAAAACCAGTCTATTTCTCACAAAAGTTAAAGATTAAACCTTTTTAAAATATAAATTCGAATAAAATAGGCATTAAGTCACGTGACAGCGAACACCAATCAGAAAGTGTTACGTCACGCCACGCGCATTATCATTGTTGTTGTTGACGTTTTCATACAACAGAGCAGGTTACTCCTTATTGTTTTTCGTTTTTAGCATATTTTCTCACCTTAATACAGTTTTGTTTAGCAGACTGTGACGTCATCCAAGACGCCATTAAACTATTTAGCGTTTTCAAGGGTTTTTTAATTGTTTAAATACAAAATACGTAATGTAAATATTGCTTTTTCTTCAAAATATAGGTTTTTTGGAAAAAAATTGATATTAAAGTATAAAATTAACCAAGTTTTGAAATTGAGTCAACTAGCCTATTATAGGAAAGACAAAAACGCTCGTGTTACAATAGTACAGGCTCCTCTCAGTTTGAGTTCAGATGGCCGTGTATTACATATACCAGTTACTATCAACGTCGTGCGCGACCGACCTGCGGGGTGACAGACGGTGGCGGGGACGAGGTACTCAAGATGTCAGCGGGTAGCGGGTGGTGTAGCGGGGAAGGGAAACGCTTCTCTTCTGTGTAGCCGTGTGCTAGAATGACGCACTACCTCGCCCCCGCCACTGTCTGTCACCCCGCGGGACTTGAGTTATAGATTGCCGGGAGATTGCCGGGTTATAGTATTATTCTGTATTCAGGACGGCATACTCGTACCGTTTGAACTTCATATACACGGCGGGTGGGCTGAGCCATGTGTACGCCAACAAGGTGTTCTGCGGCTGGGACTTCGGCGTGGTCTCGGAGCAGGCCGCTGCGCTCACCGCCAACAGTCTCTACAACGAGTTCAAGGTACACTCACGTTCAGAATTGCATTGATAGCTTAAAGTCTAAAATAAACAATACACTAGATGGCGTTAGTAGTTTTACTTACGTTTACACCAGTCTTTCACCGCCAACAGTCTCTACAACGAGTTCAAGGTACACTCACGTTCAGAATTGCATTGATAGCTTAAAGTCTAAAAAAAACAATACACTAGATGGCGTTAGTAGTTTTACTTACGTTTACACCAGTCTTTCACCGCCAACAGTCTCTACAACGAGTTCAAGGTACACTCACGTTCAGAATTGCATTGATAGCTTAAAGTCTAAAAAAAACAATACACTAGATGGCGTTAGTAGTTTTACTTACGTTTACACCAGTCTTTCACCGCCAACAGTCCTCTACAACGAGTTCAAGGTACACTCACGTTCAGAATTGCATTGATAGCTTAAAGTCTAAAAAAAACAATACACTAGACGGCGTTAGTAGTTTTACTTACGTTTACACCAGTCTTTCACCGCCAACAGTCTCTACAACGAGTTCAAGGTACACTCACGTTCAGAATTGCATTGATAGCTTAAAGTCTAAAAAAAAACAATACACTAGATGGCGTTAGTAGTTTTACTTACGTTTACACCAGTCTTTCACCGCCAACAGTCTCTACAACGAGTTCAAGGTACACTCACGTTCAGAATTGCATTGATAGCTTAAAGTCTAAAAAAAACAATACACTAGATGGCGTTAGTAGTTTTACTTACGTTTACACCAGTCTTTCACCGCCAACAGTCTCTACAACGAGTTCAAGGTACACTCACGTTCAGAATTGCATTGATAGCTTAAAGTCTAAAATAAACAATACACTAGATGGCGTTAGTAGTTTTACTTACGTTTACACCAGTCTTTCACCGCCAACAGTCTCTACAACGAGTTCAAGGTACACTCACGTTCAGAATTGCATTGATAGCTTAAAGTCTAAAATAAACAATACACTAGATGGCGTTAGTAGTTTTACTTACGTTTACACCAGTCTTTCACCGCCAACAGTCTCTACAACGAGTTCAAGGTACACTCACGTTCAGAATTGCATTGATAGCTTAAAGTCTAAAATAAACAATACACTAGATGGCGTTAGTAGTTTTAATTACTCACGTTTACACTAGTCTTTCTCGCAATTACGATATTTGTTAGATTTCAAGTTTCGGTCTTGGTACTTGATACTCATTTTGGTAAATTAGTAATAACTTTTAACAAATAAAATCTTCGAATAATAGAAATATGTAAGAAGATCGCCAATGATCATTATGTTTGATTATAAATAATAAATATATGTGTTTTTAATATTATTGTAATATAATTATTTGCGATTGGTGTTATTTAAGGTAATGGTTTAAAAGTAAAATCCAATGAGGAGGTACGCAAACTATAACTTAAAAGTATTTTATTGAAATTTGTAAATTCTTTGAGTAAATCAAAAGATATTTGTGGGACAGGTGACCCATCTGCCCGTATATATATAATATAATAATATAATATTCTACCACATACACACAACGCCATCTAGTCCCAAACTAAGCATAGCTTGTACTATGGGTACTAGACAACTGTTATAAATACATATATACATATTTTTTTTGTAAATACATACATATTATACATAGAAACACCCAGACCAAATCAAACATCAAATATTCATGAACACAAATGTTAAAAAAAACATATAAATATGTTATATATTTACTGTACAGGAGTTATTGAACGAGCAGAACAAAAAGCAAGTGTCAGTGTCGGCGCTCACCAGGCTCGGTCAGTACGCGGCCAACGTGGCGGTGACGGCGCTGGTGCTGGCGCTGATCGGCGCGGCGCAGTTCGCGCTGTGGCTGCTCGTGGCGCTCCGCCCCTCCCTGCCCTACTGGGAGCTGTTCGTCTCCTTCGTCATCACCGCCGTCATCACACTGTGCCCGCTGTTCTTCCATGTTGTTGTCAAGTAAGTTTGCTTGGGTACAAGATAACTCTTTAGGATATAGAGCATAAACGAGCGAACCGGTCACGTGATGGAAAGTGACCACCGTTGCTTATAAACAGCTGTAACTGCGGAATCTCAAACGCGTTGTCGGCTTTGCATTCAAAACTTGCATTTTCTATTTCCTATACTTAACAAAGTAAACCATTAAGAATTTATGTTTCTGGGGAATTAGAGAATAATTTCATTCTGGATATTATCTGAACTGATATTTTGAACGTTAAGTGTCACAGTATTAGACTCACATGACTACTATTAGGCAGCAAAACACATTAAACAAACTTTATAACGCTACTGTAAATATAATATTGCTAGAGATTTATCGGCTTCAGTCAATTGCACTAAACTAGACTGCACGGTCACCCGTTTATTTGCCTTAAATTCGTGATACAAAGGTGACCACGGGCCCTCTCTATCGAGTTTATCAACAAGTTTCTGAATTAAGTTTCCCTTGGATTTTTCCACAGCAGCTCTGTAGTGGGACCTGGCAACTCTAAGAGCAATGAGAGCATTGTTGTACAAATCTCCTGTTACGTTATGTTTTTAACAGGTTTAATGTAACAGGGTTAATGTAACAGTGTGGTTATGGTGTTTAGGCTGGAGTTCTACCGGCCGCGCATGGCGCTGTACGTGACCATCGCGCGCACGTGGCTCCTGGACGTGGGCACGCTCACGCTACTGCTCGTCTACTACACGCGCTCCGACATTCAGGTCAGACGCTCACTACTCACCTTCATACATATTACTATTTATCGAAAAGCGTTTTGATAATAATAATAAAAATAGGACTGCACTGAGTAAGTGAGTGTTTTTGTGATCCACATGTTGTTCTGAGTATGGGTGTTCTTTGTGTCCGTTTAAATAAATGTTTGTAAAGTTCCCCGTGCCATAAGACATATTCCTAGGGCGGGCGTTGTCTTTTAAAAAGATTTGGCCCATTTGTCTAGTACCCATAGTACATGCTCTGCTTAGTTTGGGGCCAAATGGCTATTATTATTAATAACTATCAGTAAACAATCACACGTTTTGTAAAATGTTATTCATCGATAAAAGACAAAATTAAATACATATCTAGTTTCCATTTTGAGTTTTCGCGGGTAAATTGATGAAAACACTAGGCGCCATCTTGTTTATGCGTCATGTTGGTAGTAAAATCACTAATAAAAACATAAGTACTGACAAAAAGACGTAGCGATATGTTTTATAATATCTAAAAATTTTTTTTGTAAATAAAGCCTAATCTTTTAACGAATAAATTAAATAAATTGTATTTTTGCGCTCGCGTCTTTTTACGACACTGCTTGTTATTGTATGTTTCAAACTGAGAACAATTTTTTGCACACGTTTTATTTGATGCACTTATTTTTTATTTCAGTGTTGGGAAACGTCGTTCGGACAGGAGACATACCGTTTGGTGTTGCTAGACACAGTTATTTCACTGTTTGTGTTGCCATTGTTTGAGTTCACTAGAGCTTTAGGTCATAAGTGAGTTTGCTTTTAATTTTTAATCACAGTTTTGTTATTCGAACTAAGTTTCATTGTAGCACTTCGCCTATAGGTACATATACTTTTAAATATATTCTATTGTTGTAGAATTATACTGCTCTTCAAATTGTATATATCATCAGCAGCGATAGCCTTTAATAGTCCACTGATGGTCATAGCCTCTCCTTAGAATGGATCCTGAGGATTGACCTACTGTACCACACTGGCTAGACGGGTTGGTATAGGGTTTTGTGTCAAGTTTTTCTTCTCTCTGCAGTGCGGTTGTCCTGCGTAGTTTGCTTCCTTAGTCGGCCATTACGACACCCACGAGATGCATAGGGGTAGTGACATTCCGTATTCTTAATCCGTCACTTCTTAATCCGTAAGTTTTCCTTCTCTTCTTTTTTTTTGTTAATATAATGTGGCCATATTACGAGCTCTACTAACTTTTCGTTCAGATAGGGATATAAATAATAGGGAATTTGTTACTTACAGATTTAGTCCATCAGAAAATGCTCCAACGTTCAACATAGCTTACAACTCTCTAACTCTGATATACAACCAAGCGGTGCTTTGGTTCGGGATGCTGTTCAGCCCACTGCTGGTCGTCTGTGTGACCTTGAAGCTATTCATCCTATTCTACGTGAAGAGGGAGTGTGCTCTTAGAGCTTGTCAGCCGGCTACTAAGGTAAAATTGTATTCTTGGCTGAACACAAATTTAGTGATCAGCGCCATCTATGTAAATGTTAGTAAACAAATTAGAAGTCACGAATTAATTGCTATTTATTGTAGGGTTTACTCAGTTTTAAAACACTTTAATTTTGTAGTAGACTAAACTGAAACAAATTGCAATCATAGAACTAATAACAAACTCACAAGAATATTATTGCAACACCGTAACAGTCAATAGTTAAACCGCCATCTATAAAATACATTTAGAACTAAAAAACGTAGCGAGGTCATTCGATCACTAAATTTTACCCGTTATATCTTTTCATACCGGGCGCCTTATATGGAAATCGATTCTCAATTAGTAAACTCCAAAAAGAATTCAGTATTAAGGGTATTGACTGCTTTTCAATTATTAATCAAAAATCGCCCCGCACCCTGGTTTCTAAGTTGGGGGGGGGGGGGGGGGAGCTCCAAGTGCGGAAATGCAGTTGTGATTCTCGTTTGCCCTCTTTTTAAAAATAAAAGTATGGTTACCTTGGTCCAGATTCTGTTTAGGTAGGGATCAGATGGCCGTATGTGAGATGTTTTATTATTATAGTAATCCTGTGTGTATATTAGTATAGTACAAATAATATTTTGGTTATGCTTTGATTTTTTGTCATCTTGAGTTGTTTGTGGGCAGGTGTGGCGCGCCGCTCAGACACAAACGATATTGTACATGTTCGTGACGCTGTCGATGTTCACCACGCTCTTTGTACTCGGATCTCTGTTCTTCAGGTGAGTTTGTTAGCTACTGGGATTTATATAAAATAGAGATAATAAGAGTTACAAAATGCTCCATCTATACAAATAAATAAAATTGGAGTGTCTGTTTGTAATATTAAAATAACCGGCTTTTTACTAAATGCATATGTATGTTTACACGATACATATGCCAAAATATCATTTTTTACAATTTTTGTCTGTCTGTCTGGCTGTTTGTTTCGGGTAATCTCTGGAACGGCTGGACCGATTTCGACGGGACTTTCACTGGCAGATAGTTGATGACATAAGGAGTAACTTAGGCCACTTTTTTTAGACTAGTTTCGCCCCGCGGCGTTGCCCGCGGTTATAACAACAAACGCGGGTAACACCGCGGGTCTCAGCTAGTAGATTATATAATAGGGATCTAATATACAAAAACTTACTAAATTAAAACCGTTTGGTGAACAATTTAGGTTAGGTGTTTAAACAACTATCACTACTCAGACTACTTTAAGCATACATCATCATCATCACACATCAACAGCCTTTAACAGTCCATTGCTGGACATAGGCCTCTCCTTAGAAAGGAGGTTTTGGCCTACTATACCACGCTGGCCAGACGGGTTGGTATAGGGTTTGTTTCAAGTTTTCCTTCTCTCTGCAGTGCTGTTGTCCTGCGTAGTTTGCTTCTTGAGTCGTTTCTTACGACACCCACGGGATGAATAGGGGTGGTGACACTCTGTATTCTTAATCTGTCACCACACGCATAATCAACTAACGCACGTTTAAGTATACATTTGACTATTATACTTTCCAGAAGAGTTTTCCAAGACAGTTTTTCTCCTGAAGTGTGCTTATCTATAAATGAAATTATTATTAACTAGAGTTTTCTGAACTATTACAGTCTAAGAAGTAGGTTTATAATTAAGAGTAAACATGTACAGTCTCAGTCAATCAGTTTTTTTTTTTTGACGGGATGGAAAATCCCTTCGGATCTCCTGTTCCTCGGGGCTAGGAGTTAGGAGTATGTGGTGATTCCACTAAAAACCACCCCGACGGCCGGCCTCAGGTGCCCTACTCTGGGAGGAACCGGACCATGTTATTGCAGGTCCTCCCCGAATTGACACCATGGGAAAATCACTTCCCCCCCTAAACATGTACTGTCTAAGAAGTAGGTGTATAAGTAACGTTAAACATGTAGTTGTTAATCGGTAGGACATCGTCGCACGCTTGCGGCCCGTTCCGCGGCTACGAGTTCGTGTACAGCGTGGTCAGCGAGGGCGTGCTGCGCCTGCGCGAGCGGGACTCGCTGCGGGCCGCGCTGCACTTCCTCGTCAGACCTGGCGTCATCGCCTTCGTCACGCTCTCGCTCTGGTAACTGATCAAAATCGCACCATCCGTTTAGGAGTCACGATGACGAACGTACTACAGTGAAATTAGTCTCGAGAAATTTTTGCATATGTAGTGGTGTGTATATTACTCAGATCTTAGAGCGCGTTTCCACTATATCGTTCTGGCCTATACAAAAAAATTTCGATATCCTAACATTACTATTTAATTTTATATTTATCCCTAGCAACACTCTGATTTTTGTTTTCAATAAAAATAAGTTTTTATTTTAAAGAAAAAGGTTTTGACTTTATAAAAAAAAGGTGTGTGTGCGATTCACACACGATAGAAGTGAAACTTCAAAGAGGAGAGACCGATATTTTTTTTTTTTTTCCTTTCATCTAGGTTTTTAAAACTCCGCGGGGTCTACGGGGGGGTCAAAATTTTTGTTGTTTTTGGCCTAGGACGCACCGTTTCCGAGATATTTCAATCTAAAGCAAAAAATCGTCACTTGATAGTGGAAAGTGGAAACACGCACAAAACCAGAATAAACCAGTTTACGCTGTCCGCTACCATACACTACTACAAACGCAAAAATTTCGCCAAGCTAATTTACCTGTACTTAAAACTTGAACCGGCCTGTTGGTCTACGATAGTAGTCCTACCTACTGAGCCAAATATTGCACGATCATTTATTTTGATATTAATTTATCAATAATATGTATGTATTTAGAAATATTTAAGTGTTTATCGGCAGTCCGGTTACTGTAGTACAGACTCTGTTTGGTTTGGAATCAGACGGGCGTGTGAAACATAAACGTAACACGAATGATATTCGGCAGTGTGGTGGTGTACTACGTGCGGTCCCGAGCCCTGGCGCAGCGGTCCATGGTGCGGCTGCTGCGGCAGATGCTCGTGCTGCAGGCCAAGGACAAGGACTTCCTGCTCACCGCCATCTCCAAGGTCTCCAACGGAGGTAACGTTCACTATAAAACATATACCACCGATATTAGACCTGCAGTCGTTAGCAGCAGAAAGTTTAGAACTGAACGAATGAGAGACACCTCCATATAGCTAAAAAAACAGCTTGAAAACAATGTTTAGATGTTGCCCATGTTAGGATATTAGACGCCATCTGCTATCAAGCAGTGGAATTTATCAAATGTTCTAGAAAAAACTCGAATATTTCAGAATGTTGCACCATGTTCTAGAAATTTCCCGAAGCGTGTCGAGTTATTACGAGATTTATTGTGTAACGAATCTCTTGAAACTGTCAATGTGAAAATGCCAGACTATTAAGTTAGACCGCGATCTGATGTGGACAAATTCCAGTTCTACGACACCACGTTAAGAGAGTGCGAAGAATAGCTCACAACACAAGCGAAAATCAGTGAAAATTTTGATATTTTGTGGCATATTCTTCTTGAATTTACTTAAACTTTATCTACTTCCTGCATCAATCGTTTTATTGATGTATTGACGAATTTCGGCTTATAATAGTAACTAGCGGATGAGCAAAATATGGAGATTATTTGATACACCACTGCATTCGATTATTAGATTCAATTCATTTTTATAATTAATATTAATAATGAAAACGTGTGATTTAGTAAAACAATTTTGTAGTACTTGCTACTAAATCGGAGTGCAACAAATGATGTAATTTGTGTAATTGTTTGTAGCAAATAGAGGCAAGTCTTTTATTATGTTTTCGTTGCTTCTTCTTTTGTAATTATTTAAATTTTTCTTTGTAGCTTTTGTATCTTTTTATATATTTTACGACTTAATTATAAATGGAAATGTTGTATAGCTTTTTATTAAATAATCTTATATATAAAATTCTCGTGTCACAATGTTCGTTCCCGTACTCCTCCGAAACGGCTTGACCGATTCTCATGAAATTTTGTGTGCACATCGGGTAGGTCTGAGAATCGGCCTACATCTATTTTTCATACCCCTAAATGGTAAGGGTGACCCATCCCTAATTTTTTTTTGTTTTGCAATACAACGTTTGCCGGGTCAGCTAGTACATTAAATAAATTATAAATCTAATAAACAATAATTAATTTAATAAATTTATTAGTAATAGATAATGATGTATTTGATATAACGTACCTCTAGTTGCCTACAATTCTAATCTCAATCCAAATTTAAATAGAGTAAATAAAAACTTGTCCGTGTTGTGACGGATTAAAAATATGGAGTGTCACCACCCCTATTCATCCCGTGGGTGTCGTAAGAATCGACTAAGGGAGCAAACTACGCAGGACAACAGCACTGCAAAGAGAAGGAAAACTTCACACCAACCCTATACCAACCCGTCTGGCAGGGTGGTATAGTCGGCCCAAACCTCCTTTCTAAGGACAGCCCTGAGAGAGATGTCCAGCAGTGGACTACAAAAGCTGTTGATGATGATGTGTTTAAAATAACATTCTTAATTGTCGAATTTAATACTTCTTACCGTGTATGAGCCATGTTTGTCACAAATAGGCCAGCTCTACCGGAGTGATACCACGGCTTTACAGAAAACGGGTGTTAAGCGATGCCTCCGTCGCTTCTGCCACTTAAAATAAACTTATTCACTATTGCGTGAGTTACCTACGCTATAAAAACATATAAATAATTCTAATTTAACTTTTATTACAACTAAAAATTCGAATTTCAGAATGGCTCTACAGTCCGAAGCCAGCGACCGAGGACGAAGGCCCTGACAGCCACACAGTCAAATACCTCCGGGATGTACGGAAACCTTCAAACGCGGGCTTTCATTTCGACGCCTCACGCCTCAGCCACTCTCTGTTAGAAGGTAGACCGAGGTCCTACGCCAAAGACAACAACAGGTCTTCGATAGCGGAGAGGAAACCCGAAGATGGAGACACAGATAGCTCGTTTAGTTGGCAAGGCTCCAATAATTATTTGAATAAAAGTGATGATGGTGATAAACCATGGATGTGATACGTGTAAAATTTTCTGCCAAATATTAGTTTTTTTTTTAATTGTAAGTGAGTTTTAAGTATGATTGAATTTATGTAGCGCTCAATATATCGGGCAAAAGTCTTCCTCTATATGTCTTGAAAAAAATCCTGCTGTGTGGTCTTAAATTCCAGGTAATTGATTTTAAAGCACAAATTACGCCGTCTTCCAGTTTCAAAGATGGCTGGCTGGTTGGTTGGCTTAATTCTTTGTAAAAGTTAACTTGACAAAGTGTAGTTATGTGTTGTGTTCGTGTTACAAAATATTAGGTAATATTTTAAGGTTTGTTTTGTTGAGTTTTAAATAGAAACTGACCTGGGTAATACAATATCAAAACGAATGAAATATTTATTTAAAATATATGGATTTTGATGGGATATTATGTAGAACACTATTTTTAATTTCTTGGATAGATATGACGTAAAAAGAATCACCACATCAACAGCCTTTAATAGTCCACTGCTGGACATAGGCCTTTCCTTAGAAAGGAGGTTTTGGCCTATTATACCACGCTGACCAGATGGGTTGGTATAGTTTGTGTCAAGTTTTCCTTCTCTCTGCAGTCCTGTTGTCCTGCGTAGTTTGATCCCTTAGTCGGCTCTTACGACAACTACGGGATGAATAGGGGTGGTGACACTGTATTCCTAATCTGTCACCACACGGTGACGGATTAAGAACGAAACGGATGGAACTAAATACTAAAACTAACGGAATACTAAATAATTAAAGTTGACATGAATGTTTATCTAGGAATCTACATGAAAAAAGACTTGAATTGAATTTGAAAGTTACCTTTCATAGTATAAAACCAGTTTTTGTAACACGTTACATACATAACTGCACTTCTCAAGTAAGTATACAAAAGTATTGTTATGATAAAATTGAATTAATTCTATAGTTCGGTTTTTACACGAGATAAAAATTGTGTGTCCCAAGTAAAAGCTGTCCCGAGTTCTTAATTTCCGCTTCTTGAATGTTTATATAGTCCCGCAATATGGAGTACTAGCTGACCCGCGCAACCTTGTCTGCGTCTCTCAATAGTAATATTTTTTTTCCGTTTTCGAAACATTCTTCATTGGTCCTCCGCTCCTATTGGTCTTAGCGTGATGATATATAGCCTATAGCCTTCCTCGATAAATGGGCTATCTAACACTGAAAGAATTTTTTAAATCGGACCAGTAGTTCCTGAGATTAGCGCGTTCAAACAAACAAACAAACTCTTCAGCTTTATAATATTAGTATAGATTACTTTATAAAGATAAAATATTAAAATTATAGTATTAATGTTCATATTGAAATAAGATGACTAAAACGTGTGCCAAATCATTCTAACAGAAACATAACATCTGACTGCCTCGATGGCGCAGTGTTAGATTATGCAACGGCTGTGCTGAGGTGTCGGGTTCGATTCCCGGGTCGGACCAAATGTTTGTAAGAACTGCTAATATTTGTTTCGGAGTTTGGGCATATTCTATGTATAATATGTATGTATTTATTAAAAAAAGTATAAAAGTATTCTATCAGTCATTCTAGCTTTCATAGTACAAGCTCTGCTTAGTTTGAAACTAGATGGCGTTGTGTGTCAGATGTCCGATGTATTATTTTTATTATAATAATAATACTGATTCTGATCTGTGTGTCTTACAAGCAATATTTAGATGAGGCTCAAACACTCTTGCAATATTAAACTTTATGGTGTTAAATAGAAAATTTAAAAGGCATGTAAATAATTGTGCTTTAATATGAATTAACGAAATGACTGGTTGTGGTTAATATATCTAACATGATATTTTTATATTCTCAAACATATTTGTGAGAATGAGTATCTCTATATTGGTTTCTTTTTGCGACAGTTTTTTAATTACATTTTAATATTTATTAAATTATATTTTTAAAACAGTTAAATTAAATTGTAATGTAGCTTTCCAGTATTACAAAAATTATACCTAAAATTAAAAGCGCTAATTTCTAAGTTTCCTTAAAATCTTTTCCTTTTTTTTTCTTATAGGAATTAATATTTATTTATATTAAATCTAAACTTTCGATTAGTTTATAAGCGCTTGTAATTCAAGACTTACTTTAAAAGGCAATATAAATATAATTTGAAAATATGTAAGAAAAACGTGCAGGAGTTACAATAGTCGCATATGATGTGTAACATCTGATGTCTCACCTATCATCTAAGCTAGAGGTCGTTTGTTCGATTCCCGACCAGGACAAATAATTGTGTGATGAGCACGATCATTAGTTTAGTGTCTGGGTGCAATTTATCTATAATATGTATGTATTTAGAAATATATAAGTATGTTTATCAGCAGTCTGGTTACCATAGTAAATGTTCTGCCTAGTTTGGGATCAGACGGCCGTGTGTGAAATGTGTTAAGGTATTATTACTATCTGAAGGCCAAGCATAGCACCGCGCAGGATATTTGCTCCAATTAAATAGCGCGCACTTCACTGGGTTCCTGTTACACATTTCCGTCCCTTTTCACTCACACACAGAATACAGGAAAGCGGAAAGAAAAATGTTACACAACAATAGCGAGACATATATTTTGTACAAATAACAATAGTGATAACATAGTTTAAGCTATTATATCTAACTGTTGTAATAAAACGAATCAATTGTCGGTGCTAAAATATATTTAACTGTTGTGATAAAACATTAAACATCATTTTATTGTTTAATTAGGTACGTAATAAGTTCCTACATCTGTCTATACATGAGAATTATACATAAATACAGCTGAACCACAAGAATAAAACTCAATTTTTGTCTTCAGATTAAATACACTTCAGATTAAATTGGCAATTTTGGAAATCCATACAAACTTTATTAAAGCGAAGGTAACTCTGTCGGTTACGCTTTCACGGCTAAACGGTTGAACCAATAGGGTAGATGACTGTCAAGTCAAATCAGTGTTTTTTTTTAAATCATCAAATTTAAGATATCAAATCAATAAAAAAATAAATTGAGAGTGGAGGACAATTTAGCCTCTACTTTGAGATGTTAGATTAAATGATATAGGTGAAATAATTCATTTTAAACCTAGGAATCCATCCTATTGTAGTGGCGAGGAGATACTTTGATTCTTGAGGAAATACATAGGTTACTTTTACCGCGATAATCGACGAACACGCGGGCGGACTTGCGGGCATTAGGCAAATTATTTGTAAAATGTACGTGAGGTACTCTATTCCGGTCCTTTCGAGCCGTTGCAGTCTCGGTCTCTATCCGATCAAAGATTTGCGGCATTCCTTACCCTAGCTCCCTATCGGTTTTCTTTATTCCAATTTATGTAATGTTAATGTATGTATTTACAAAAAAAAGTATACAAGTATTCTATCAGTAAATCTAGCTTTGCTTAGTTTGAAACAAGATGCTGTGTGTCCAAAATATTAATATTATTATTGTCCGGTCTAAAATTCATAACATTCCAAAGGGTTGGCGTCGGGTAAACAGGCGGCCATTAAAAAAAGGTAAAACCGTTTGTTCTGCAAATTGCGCTGACCCCAAATAAAATTGTGAGGAGGGTCGGATAAGAATAGCGACAGTAGGACATATAGATAACTAGCGTTTGCCCGTGGCTCCACCCGCGCGTATGTTGGTAGCCGTCCTTACTTATCAAAGTTTCTTCCATGCCAAATTTCATTAAAGTCGGTTTAGCTGTTTATCCGATAATGCGTAACAGACAGACAGAGTTACTTTCGCATTTATAATATTAGTAGGGTTGTTTGCTTTGGAAATTGCTTACTATCAGTAACGAATGACTCTTGTGGCCAGCAACTGTAGTTTTAGTGATATTTTGAGGAATTTTATGTAATCTTAAATAACTAATAAGTGAATATTTTTGACAATTTGTTTGTACTACAACTTTTTTCTAATGCATTTATAATATTTATATGAAGGTATTTGTGAATGAATTGTATTGTGAATGAAATTTTATAATAAATTATTGATTACTGATTATTTTTTGTTTCCTTTTAAATGACTACTTTCAGAGTGGTCGGTGTTACTGCTTTGTTTCTAAAAAGTTATGTAGGTACCATTCTTTTTAATATTCTTTAAATTTATACTGCTATTATTTATAGTAGGCCAAACCTTCCTTTCTAAGGAGAGGCCTATGTCCAGCAGTGGACTAGTAATGGCTGTTGATGATTATGATGATACTGCTAAAAGAAGAATGTTTAATTTATTATGACGTTCTCGTCAATTGTGCACAGTTTCAATATAAGTGTGGGGTTTCCAGCTTGTCTGTAAAGAACACAACCTTTAACTACCATTACAATTATTTTTTCATAGTATAGGGCGGCAAACGAGCAGACGGGTCACATGATGGTAAAGCGCACGCCACACCGCCAGCGAGCCGGGCGAGCATATTTTGACCTCTCTTCATACTTTGGTTCATACCCTAAACTACAGAGATATGCTACGTCAGCGGTAAAACCATTGCGAACAAAATATCCGACGATGCTTGCGATGCTATTCATTCACCACGTTAGGCTAACTTAGCTCTGGCGGTGTGAACCGCAGTTTGAAAAGTGTAAAATGTTTTTGTTACAATCTGTCTTGTTGAACGCGCTCTTTCTCGAAATCAGGACGGCAAAAACTCGACAAAGTTTAAATACCTGTTGTGGAAACATTTAAACACCATATCAAATCCAACTTAATTTTATACTCTCTCCTTCTAAAATTTATATCTATACAAATAAATAAAATTGGAGTGTCTGTTTCTAATATTAAAATAATCGCTTTTTACTAAATGTATGTTTACACGGTACATATGCCAAAATAACATTTTTTTTCAATTTTTGTCTGTCTGTCTGTCTGTTTGTTCCGGGTAATCTCTGGAACGGCTTGACCGATTTCGACGGGACTTTCACTGGCAGATAGCTGATGACATAAGAAATAATTTAGGCTACTTTTTTTAGACTAGCTTTATAACAACAAACGCGGGGTCTCAGCTAGTTATGTATATATTTGTGTGATCAGAGGGTTGAGTTTATTTCACATCGATTCGCTCTCAACGGCGAGCGCGTTTAGCGTTGCGATTGGTGGAGATTTCAGTGCGGGCCAATCGTAGCGCCGAACGCCGTCACCGTGACGATCGAGTAGATGTGCACTTGGGCCTCTGAGCTTAATGTGACACGGAACGCTCCCTCTCGATCTACCCCGTTCGCTCACCCGTCCGTCCGCAGTTTAGGTGTGAACTAGCATAGTTTAGCATCGCTTAGTATATATACGACGGGGCTGTTGGTCTAGTGGTTAGTGGCCCTGACTGCTAAGCCGGGAGGTCGTGGGTTCGATTCCCACCCAGGACAAATATTGTGTGACGAGCACGGTCATTTGTTCTGTGTCTGTGTGTAATTTATCTATAATATGTATGTATTTAAATCTATATAAGTATGTTTATCAGCAGTCTGGTTACCATAGTACAGGCTCTGCCTAGTTTGTGAGATGTGTGAGGTTATTATTATTATATATTCTCCCTCACATCGCTTCTCCCGCCATCTCGCTCACCCGTTGGCGGTGTCGCCTGCGCTTAAGTATCTGCCGCCCCTCATGGAACTGACAACTCAACAGGTGCGTTGCCACCTTTTTGAGTCCCAGTCATCAGAATCAGGGGGAGGTGGTTTGTACCAGGGCTTTCCTTTCTAGGGTATACCTGGTTCCCCGGCTAATGGTACCTGGAGACGGTCGGTTCAAGTCGGACATAACCACCCCACTGGTAGGTGGTATCCGATGGGAGTTCCGGACAGGAAAAAAGGAGGAGGTGATTTGGGCTTCGCAACCGTACGCCTTTAGCACCAGCACCCGTAGCTATAATAATATTTCGGACATCTGACACACAACGTTCCTCACTTTGTGACCACTGTTTTTCTCATCATTGGGCTGATTCTCATTTTAAGAGAACCAGTTTTCATAAACTCCACAGTCGTTTCAACAGAACTCTGTTTCGCCTCGGATGTCTAGAGAACACCTGCTAACCCCTTTTTTTTTCCGTGCGAAAATCCCCTCGGATAACACCTATCGGTGGCATGTCGGACTCGAACCGACTAAAACCGCACGCCGTCTCGGGTACTAATAGCCGGGGAACCAGGTATACCCTAGAAAGGAAGTCCCTGGTGCCCCAATATACCTCGGGCCATCTACAGACGAGTAGACGACCCCCCCCCCCCCCGTGTGGGAACCCCATGTGCCCTCTGCTCTCTGGAAGTCTATGCCCAACTAACAGTGTTGTTGAAGGCGGGAATTTGTATCTTTCATCATCATCAGGATTTTTTTTGCCAGATTGCAATTAATATTAAGCTTTTTTTTTAATGCAGGCTGCATTCATGCGGCCATTAATTATAGAGGACGTATAGAAAACTTTCTAAATATGTCTGTTACCATGACAACGCGTCCCTAGATACGTTTATTTATGAGCCGTCAGTTAACTTCTATAAGAACAGTGTGAACTACAATAATTTATTTTCTCTTATTATAAATAGTATAGATTATTCATTATTTTTAGTTATAGTGTATCTTTCTAGGAAAAACGTAAGTTTGTTTTTGTTTCATTTTTAGTAGTAGATTAAATGTATATAATTGTTTAAAACTGATTATATAGGAAACTGCGCGAAACTGCGTAATACTCCAGATCTGTATCCCTACCTACATACATACACCAAGGTCAAACAAGGCATGGTCATAATATTTTTTCAGGAAAGTTTTCAGACTATATGTAATTTAAGCCTATATTCAGCATCTGAGTCGCCCCGTGGCGGAAATGATAGTAGAGATTATTTGTATGCTGATGATATCTTATCTCACAGGAGTTGGCTTCGATCGCTTTTTCATGTTGATATAATCACAAAAATGTATTGATAATAGTACTTAAAATAATAGTAATAGTACTTAATAGTACTTTTATAAAAAAAACGTGTATTACACCAGTCGAATGCATTATGCTGTGTAGTAACTGACATTTTAACTTTTTTTTTCTCCTCTCCCTCTCTTTCTCCTCCTCTCTTTCTCTTTGGGGACGCAGGGGCCAAGAGAAGTAAAATCTACCCTGTCCGCCGGATTCAGGCCTTACTCTGGGGAGGACCCGGGCCATATGATTTTTAAGCACTCACTGAATAGACACCTATGCTACGTAATGCTGGCGGAGCCTAAACTGACGGATAAGGGATGAGGGGAGGGGCACTCAAAGGGGCGCATCGCACTCTTGATTCTTGAATTTCAGGTGTCTGTGGGGGAAGAGAGGAGAAGGAAAACTTGACACAAACCCTGTATAAACCCGTCTGGCCAGCGTGGAATAGTAGGCCAAAGCCTCTTTGTCAAGGAGAGGCCTATGTCCAGCAGTGGACTAGTAAAGGCTGTTGATGTGACGATGTGATGGGCGACAGAAGTTTTTTATTACCAGGCGACCCGTCTGCCCGTAGGCCTTCTTTCCCTATTCTTAATAACAGTGCCGTGATACGGTGCCGGCTGAATTTGCCAAGCTCCTCCTTTAGTTCCTGTTCTGAAGTACTTGACACTTTTATATTGTAACTTGGACATTTTGTCATGCCTTTATGTGATGATAAATCTATTATATTAATATCTCGTGTCACGGTGTTTGTGGTCGTTCTCCTCCGAAACGGCTCGACCAATTTTAATGTTTTTTTTTTGTATATTTAGTAGGTATGAGAATAGGTCTTAAATTATTTTTCACCAACCCCTCATTATCTACCTACTACCTACCCCTACCCCTCATTTTTTAATCGCGATATAGATTTTTTTTTATGAACAGATTTTTATATGTATAAAAAAATTAACAGAACAAAATTAGGGTCATCTGGTATAAGATAAACAATATTAATGCAAATTAATATCATAAATACGGTAAACAAAAATGAACCAAGTTTGAAATTCTACTGGTTGAGTATGTTTGCCCTTTCTTCTCATAAAGCTCAAACCCTTTGGAAACGGGCGGTTGCAGATCGGCACAGACATAATGGATTTACTTAATTTTTTTTAAACGTTTGATAAAACAGATTGTTGCTATTGTGTGTGTTGATCTATGACTTTAGAGTAAGACGATTTTAAACTTGTTTTTAATTTTTAATGTAATAAAGTTATTTTGAGTTTATTGTGGGTTCAATAACCACCAAAAAATATTAAGGCATTGTTATAATTACAATAGTGTAAAAAGACATTTCTATTATGTGTATATTTTATTTTAGGAGTACAACAGCAGTAGTTTTTTTAGACAATGGCCAGCGGTGACTCCAAACGGAAGAAAAAGCGGCAGGCACCGTCTGACGCGGTGCTATGCCCTTCAAGGTTCATCCCTCCGGCGAGGAAGCCTAGGACCCTGCCGTGGATGCCTAGGGCGGGGTATGATGCCGAGCTGGACAGGGACAGCGAGCTTCTCAGGGCCGCTAAAAACTATTATCCCGAAGGTACCGTACAGTTGAAAGTTGTAATTATTTATATCGTTTGAAAAGCATATAATTTTTCCCTTTTCGTTTGGATACTTCATAGAAGTTTTCCTTCATAGAAAGTGTCTGTTTGTAATATCAAAATAAGTTTTTTTCATGCTCACACGGTTATTTGCACGATACGTATGCCTAAAAAACCAGCTTATTTTTTTTGTCTGTTCGTCTGTCTGTTTGTTCTGCGGGTAATCTTCTAAACGGCTGGACCGATTTTGATAATATTTTACTACCAGGTAGCTGTTTCTTAAGCTATTTTTCCCAACTTTAAAACCCTTTAAAATTTGCCTGATCCGGGAATCAAACCCACGAAGGCAAACCAATTTAATCCAACCCACTTTTCATATTTCACACGAACAAAGTCGCGAGTAACAGCTTAGTTAGGTAGAAATTAAATCTGTAGTACCGAGGTACTTCCACAGTAGGACGCTATAGTACTTAGTATAATTTTTTCCAAAATATAGTTTAGAATACACAAGCAACCACTGCGATGCCATTAGCAAAATTTGTTTTTCTCCTACCAACAAAAAATGACTGTGAATTAATTAATTTATTGAGGATAATTTATTTGATTGTCCAATTAATGCAACTAGTACAAAAGGTTTACATACGTGTTTAGTTGCAAATCCACTACTGAATTCCTAAGTCTATTGCAGGAGAGAACGAAGGAGCTTGCAGCGAGTTCCCCCCATTGATGCACAACAGATCTTGGACGAGAGGGGTGCCGTATCGTGATGGTGATCAGAGTAAACCATCGGATTCCATTGGTAATACTTTACCTATCTTTTATCGTAATCTATCAATACAAATAAATAAAATTGGAGTGTCTGTTTGTAATATTAAAATAATCGCTTTTTACTAAATGCATATGTACGAGTATGTTTACACGATACATATAGGTTACGAAAAATTAAATCAAAAAAAAAAAAAATAATAATAAAAAAAAAATAAAAAAAATAAAAAAAAAATAATAAAAATTAAAAATTAATTAAATACGTTAGGTATAGGGTTCGATTCCCGCTCAAGTCAAACATTTGTGTGCATGAACATTTGATGTTTGATTTGGTCTGGGTGTTTCTATGTATAATATGTATGTATTTACAAAAAAAAAAGTATATATGTATTTATATCAGTTGTCTAGTACCCATAGTACAAGCTCTGCTTAGTTTGGGACTAGATGGCGTTGTGTGTATGTGGTAGAATATATTATATTATATTATAGAATATATTATATATATATTATTATACATATGCCAAAATAACATTTTTTACAATTTTTGTCTGTCTGTCTGTCTGTTTGTTCCGGGTAATCTCTGGAACGGCTCGATAGATTTCGACGGGACTTTCACTGGCAGATAGCAGATGACATAAGGAGTAACTTAGGCTACTTTTTTTAGACTAACTTCGCCCCGCGTCGTTGCCTGCGGTTATAACAACAGACGCGGGTAACACCGCGGGTCTCAGCTAGTAATATATAAATGTTTGATTGTTATTTGTATATGTCATCACTGGCCTCTCACGTCTATTCCAGACTATTTAGTCACTGTCTCGTAGCCATACAATTTGTTTCGTGGCTATGTAAGCCTATTCTAGAGCGACAGGTTCTACTGCATACCCTGCACTCAAAATCACCGGTTTGTGGGGTATTTGTTAGCTTTTTGACGCTTTACTCTCCTTTCTGCCAACTTCTGGAACCAGTTGTTGTCGTGAACTGCGCGCCCATCGATCACCCGCCTCCTCCATTTATCGCGATCTCTAGCGGTCCTCTCCCAAACCATATGGTATATAGTATGGTAGAGCGATCTGAAGGCCAATTCTCGTAATAAAAGTTCGGACTCAATTCAGTTCCGATCAACTTTCGATCTCACAACTGTCATAAAAAGGTGTTTTCGTAGTAAATTATAAAACATCTAACGTTGACTGTAATGTGATAATATCGTATTTTAACCGAAAATTAAATCTGTAATCTGCTAGTTTCAGTAATACTTTAATATTTTATTACGAAAATACCTTAAATGACGGTTGTGAGATCGAAAGTTACTCGAAACTGAATTGAGACCGAACTTTTATTACGAGAATTGGCCTTGAGACTCTAGGGCATTGAGTTAAAAACAACAAGAGTGTAATGCATTATATCAATGCTCAAGGGCAACAGCTAAATTCGTGTAACATATGACCTTGACCTATTCGAGCTTAAATTTCTCAACCTTTTTTTTTTTCTGTGCGTATCTCCCCTCGCATACCACCCACCATTATGTCGGACTAGAACCGACCAAAAACCGCACGCTGTCTCCAGGTACCAGTAGCCGGAGAACCTCATTAAACTCCTCAAAATAAATTCCTCAACCTAAAATCCATATAAACAATTAACTGTCCCGTTGTCTGCGTCTCTGAAAAGGAATAAATTTCCCCATTTTTGCAACATTTTTTGTTGATGCTCCCCTCCTATTGGTCGTGATGTTGCGTGATGTTATATAGCCTATACAACACTAAAACCACATCATCACATCAACAGCCTTTAATAGTCCACTGCTGGACATAGGCCTTTCCGTAGAAAGAAGGTTTTGGCCTACTATACCACGCTGGCCAGACGGGTTGGTAGAGGGTTTGTCTCAAGTTTTCCTTCTCTCTGCAGTGCTGTTGTTCTGAGTAGTTTTATCCCTTAGTCGGCTCTTACGACACCCACGGGATAAATAGGGGTGGTGACACTCTTTATTAAGAATATTCATCCGTCACCACACGGACTACACTAAAAGTCCGTCACAACACTAAAAAGATTTTTTCAATTAGAACTAGTAGTTTCCGAGATGAGCACGTTCAACCAAACAAACAAACTCTACAGCTTTATAATATTAGTACCTTAATGTGTGCATTTTATACGCCTATGCCTACCCTTTCTCTGAGTGTATGTATATGTATGTCTAATAATAATATTGCCACACATCCCACACACGGCCGTCTGATCCCAAACTAGACACAGCCTGTACTATGTTAACATGACTGCTGATAAACATATTTAAATACATACATATTATAGATAAAGTACACCCGGACACAGAACAAATGACCGTGCTCATCACACACTTATTTGACCTTGATGGGAATCGAACCCACGACCTCTGGCGTAGCAGTCAGGGTCCCTAACCACTAGACCAACAGGTCAGTCAACAGTATGACTTATATAAACATTTTATTAATACATTTTATCTTAATTCATCAGGTAATTGTTACACACCTGCAACCAAAACAATGCGCCTGGTCAACATGCCACCGAAGCGAAGAATTCCGCCAGTTTTATACGGTCCCCTGGGTCCCAATGGAGAGCTACAGTTCCCACCACTAAAGCCCTGGGCTGAAAGAGAGAAGGAGAGGCTTGAAGCGCTCGACAAGAACAAAAGGGATAAGAATAAAGTGCAGAAAGGTTTGTTTATTTTATAATAGTAGTGGATGGTTTCTAGGGCAGTCCATTGCTGTAGCAGAAGCAGGGCCCTGGGGCATGACTGCCTCGGTAATGTAGTGGTAACGTTTGCGACTGCTGTGCTGAGGTCTCGTGTTCGATTCCCAGGTTAGACCAAATGTTTGTATGTTTTTCTTTTGTATGTTTATACAAAAAAAGGAAATAAGTATTCTATCAGTTAATCTAGCTATCATAGTACAAGTTCTGCTTAGTTTGAAACTAGATGGCGTTATTTGTCAGATGTCTAAAAATATTATTATTATTTGCAACGTATTCTCTTTGAAGCTACTTATTACTGGTTGAGTAGTCGTGTGAGTATTCTCAATTTCTAAACGTTATAAAAGAGAGGAGAAGGGAATCAGTGTTTTTATATCACACAAACAAGTGTACGCGTACGGCTTGCTTGAAAGGACGCGTTTACCGTAGCCTACGAGTGGCTGAACTAAATGAAGTCAGTAGCTAAGTGTTGAAGATCCGGTTCTGCGTTGATGATGTATTTTTTTTAAGGAAGAAGGGGCAAACGAGCACACGGGTCACCTAATGGAAAGTGACTACCCCCGCCCATGAACGCTTGCAACTCACAAGCGCATAGCCGGCCTTTTAGGAAGGAGTACGCTCTTAACTTGAAGGTTGAAAGGTCGTATCGGTCGGGAAATCCCGCACACGATTACTTGTTCCACAAATTAGTTTTGCGAGGTAAAAAGTGGCTTGAAAAGCTCAGTGGTGAAGTGCAAATTTTCCAGGTGATGGGCATGAAATTTTAGCGTTGCTATTATGGTTTGGTGCCATTATGTAACAGTTCAAGGGGTATTGGTTGGTTGGTTTGTTGGACACGAACCTTCTTAGGACATGTTATTGTTTTTAGACGGTACATAGAAATCAGGTAGTTTGGTATAAGGAAAACGAATAAGGCGAGGAAGTTAGGGTAAGGTATAACTCAAGTCTTGGATGGGAAAAGAGATTGGGAGTAGTTTGATGAGGGAGAGGATGGAGAGAGAGGCCACTCAACTTTCAGTAGTCGGTCTATGAGAACGATTAATATTAAAGACTAGCTGTTACCTGCGACTTCGTTCGCGTGCAATTTGAAAAGCGCTGCCTTAGTGGGTTCGATGTCCGGACCGGGCAAAATTTTAAAGGGTTTTGCTGAGAGGAAAAATAGCCTAAGCTATTCCTTATGTAGACAGCTACCTGGTAGTAAACTATTATTGAAATCTGCCCAGTCGTTTAGAAGATTACCCAGAACAAACAGACAGGCAGAAAAAAAAACTGGTTTTTAGGCATAGGTATCGTGTAAATAACCGTGTGAGCATGAAAAAAACCTATAATTTTGACATTACAAACAGACACTTCAATTTTATTTATTTGTATAGACTACCGTTTGCGCGCGGCTCCGCCCGCGTGTATGTCGGTTATCGCGGTAAAAAGTAGCCTATGTTACTCGCTGATAATGTAGCTTTCTATTGTTAAAAGAATTTTTAAAATCGGTTAAGTGGTTAAGACGTATAACCGTAACAAACAAACAAACATATCTATACAAATAAATAAAATTGGAGTGTCTGTTTGTAATATTAAAAGAACCGCTTTTTACTAAATGCATATGTATGTTTACACGGTACATATGCCAAAATAACATTTTTTCCCATTTTTGTCTGTCTGTCTGGCTGTTTGTTCCGGGTAATCTCTGGAACGGCTAGACCGATTTCGACGGGACTTTCACTGGCAGATAGCTGATGACATAAGGAGTCACTTAGGCTACTTTTTTTAGACTAGCTTCGCCCCGCGGCGTTGCCCGCGGTTATAATAACAAACGCGGGTAACACCGCGGGTCTCAGCTAGTATAATATAAGTATGGATAATTCATAACGCAAATTTCCTTACTTTTTCATAGGTCTGGTTCTACTAGACGATTTGGTGTCAGGAGCGTATGACAAGAGGAAGGCGGCTGAAGCAGAAGCAAAAAGAAAACGAATGGAGAAGAGAAGACAGGATAAACTTGATGCAGAAGTTGCAGCCAAAGAGGCTCTGAGAAAGTAATATTTTTTTATTAGAATTTGTGTGACTAGACATAATTTTTGTGCAAAACTATTCATTACCAAATAAAAGATTGTTTGAAAATTATAATGTTATTTGATATAATATACCGTGGTTAACAGAAATATGATAAACTGTATGACAGACAGACTAAATAAACTAAATGCAGTTTGTTCGTTGGTTAGCCCAAAAAAAAAAAATTTAAAATACCGAACGAATAATTAAAAAGTAGGTTATAATGTCGTTGGCTGTTTCATTAGTTCCTGATTTTAAAATATTCAAGACATCTACTAATAATTTTTTATGTATTGTCCCGTAGACACTTGGAAAAGCTGATGTTTGAATTGCCCCGTGACCCTGATCAGCAGATGGAGGAAATGTTGAAGCTGACCGAGGAGGAGCACTACAGACCGCTACGTAATGACGAACCCGAACGAATTAACTTCTATTTAAACAAGGTATAGCTATACTTATTTTTTATCCAGAGCATCTCAGAAACAGGACTAGCTAGAATGCTTATAACCGTGGACGCACGTATGGCCCAGATCCACGGGATTGGTACCACGGCCCCTAGAATACCGGTGTTAAGAATTCGTTACATTTTAATAAGTGTAGTTATCAGGGGCCCAGGGTGTAGGAGTCAATGAGCGGGGTAGTCATCCATAGACACTTGAAAACTGGCAGCAATTTCCATCAAATTTCCCGTCTGCTTTACCCTTAAAGAAAATTGAGAGATAAATACATTCTTGCATTTATTAAGGCATTTATAAGATTTAGGCGCTTTGTAGTCGGTGACACTTTTTAAAGAAATTTTTAACTGCCTCAGTGGTGCAGTGTATATGACTGCTGTGCTAAGGTCTGGGGTTCCATTCCCGGGTCGGACCAAATGCTTGTATGATCTGCAAATACTTGTTTCGGAGTTTGGGTCTTCTGTATGTATAATATGGTATGGATTTACAAAAAAAGTATATAATTATTCCATAAGTGTATCATGAAACGGACACAAAGAACACCCAGCCTCAGAACAGTAATTTGTGTATCACACAAAGTGCCGTCCAATGTGAGGATCGAAACCACAACACTCAGCGCCGTGGCGACCGCTTAAAACACTACGCCATCCGTGCAGTCAGTGTGTGTGCAGCCGTGTGTTAGATGTCCGTAATATTATTATTGTTTGATTACTTATAGGCAATAACAGGCAAGCATCTCCCTGACTATCCCATGCACCTGTACCGTCGCGCTAAAAAGGAGGTAGATAAACAGACAGCACACATCAAGAAGCGCCTTCTTATTCTCACGTACCAGGCGTGCGTGAGACAGAGCGAGGCCGATATTAAGGAGTTTTTTATTATGGCTATGAAGAGGTAATTTTAACATTGTTTTAACATATTAGTTATCAGTAAAATAAAATTGTGTGTTGTGTATCTCCCTATAAATATTAAATATTACTTTACATCAAAACAAATAGTTTTTGTATAAAAGTCTAAAAAGTGGTAAAAAAGTTGTCCGTGTAACCACCTCTGTTCATCCCGTGGGTGTCATAAGAGCCGACCAAGGGAGCAAACTACAACAGCACTGCATGGAGAAGGCTAACTTGAAACAAGCCCTATACCAACCCGTCTGGCCAGCGTGGTATAGTAGGCCAAAACCTCCTTTCTAAGGAGAGGTCTATGTCCAGCAGTGGACTATTAATTCAAAATTTGATACTCGAAACATATTATTTAAAACTACAAATGTTAATATAATTTAATGAACAAGCGTTACAAAGTATTTGGAAGACGGAAATCAAACTTACTCAAGAAATATCTGTTTACTGTCCACTTTACTTACTTAAATAGTTATTAGTCAATTCGCGTTAAGAAAATAGTGACGTATCGATCAAGCCCCGCACGCTGACCAATCAGGTTCCAAGCCTTCGTATGAAACGATTATTTCTTGGATCCTGATTGGTCAGGAGATTATATATTATATTATGGCGAATGGACTAGCTTACAGACATCCTCAACCATATTATCTACTAATAAATAATCTTATGTATTCTCAGATGTATCCTCACCTACATCCTGGAAGATCCTAACGAACAGGCACGCTTAAAGATTAGATTTATCCCACCCCTATGGCCAGCCCACTTCGTCAGGGCTCCCATGCCGTGGCACACCAGCTTGCTGAAAGCTAAGGAGTCGGTGTTTTTTAGATATTATGAGGGTAATCCCGTACTTATCGAGCTGAGGCGATTGTGGGACGAAAGGTAATAACAAATATCATATATTAACGACTTCCAATTAAAAGAAATAAATGCCCGGAATAGATAGAACTTATTAAAGATGTTTTAATGAAAATCTTTATTGATAACTAAGTGTACATGTGGTCATTCTAACAGTTTGTCTCATTTTAGTAGCCTTTTATATTGGACTGCAAATTTGACAAAAAATTGAATAAAAAGATTAGTAGAGTACAAAAATTGAACAATTTCTAAATCATATACACAATGCATCTACAGAAATAAATAAAATTGAAGTGTCTATTTGTAATGTCAAAATTATAGGTTTTTTTCATGCTCACATTTTTTTGCAGGATACCTGTGCCAAAGAAACTGTTTTTTTTGTCTGTCTGTCTGTCTATCTGTTTTTGACTGTTATTCCGGGTAATCTTCGATCGGGCTTGTCCGATTTTGAAAATATTTTACTACAAGGTAGCTGTCTATATAAGGAGTAACTATTATAGGCAATTTTTCCTCTTAGAATAGCCCTTTAAAGTTTTGCCCGGTCTGGGAATCGAACCCACTAAGGCAGCGCTTTTCAAATTCCACGCGAACGAAGTCGCGGGTACAAGCTAGTATTAATTAAAATCAATCAGACATATTACATATTATTTGTCCTAATATTATTTTGTATTAAAACCGCTTTTTTTATTTGTGTTATTTGTATTTTGCTTGAATGTATTCTTCCACTGAGTAGAAACATTCCTCAATTAAAAATGCTTTCAGTTTTTGAATTTACAATGTAGTTTTAGTTTAAATGTGGATTGGTAATTTGTTGTATATTTGATGAGCACGATTATTTGTTCTCTGTGTGTGGGTGTGTAATTTATATATAACGTGTATGTATTACAAATATAAAAGTATGTTTATCAGCAGTCTGGTTACCATAGTACAGGGTCTGCCTAGTTTGGGATCAGACGGTGGTGTGTGAGATTTGTGAAGTTATTATTATTATTATAACGTTTATATTAAATTTTTATAAAATTCACTAATTAAACTCAAAAATTGACCTATGGAGAAGAAAACATAGATCGCTGATATAATTGAAACTATTAAAATAAAATAAAAACAAAAGAATAAAAATATACTCCTTATTTTCTAGATACCAGAACATATTCATTTGTGACATGGAAAAAATGCAAGAACAAACCCAATTTCCACAATACCCGTCTGAGTTCACGGAGAACCTGACAAGGCTGTGTAAGGAAACCAGGAAAGAGCTCTACGATAACTGGTTAATAGACGTCGCTGATACCATGATCAAGATGAGATCTCATTGGTCCGTCTATGTGGCTAAGAAGAAAAACGAGTCTACCTTCCAAGTGGAGCAGTTCTTTAGGTGAGTGTGGTGGTTTTTTGTGATAGAAAACCAATCAATTTATAACCTCATTCTCCACTAATTTTAAACCACAGCCATGCAATTATCCTCTGATATGCCGCGATACTTCGACACTTGTTATGAAAGGATACGAATGCGACTGCATGGATGGCGTAGTGGTTTAAGCGGTTGCCACGCCGCTTTCTACTGCGCGAGTTTTGTGGTTTTGATTCCCACATGGGACACCACTTTGTGTGATGCGCAAATTGTTGTTCTCAGTTTGGGTGTTCTTTGTGTCCGAGGTGAACGCTTAAACCAAGCGTAATACGCTATTTTGCGCTGGTATGAAATGACAACTAGGTTGGGCATCGTTCGGAAAGCTTCGTGAATTTCTCTCGTCCCAAATACCGCAGTATTTCAAGACAAAAGTATTTGATCAGTGTGTGTTGCCAGTGATGACTTACGGCAGAGAGACGTGATCGCTCACAATGGGTCTCAAAAGAAGGTTCAAAGTCACCCAAAGATTGGAGAGGGCAATGCTCGGAGTTTCTCTGCGTGATCGAATCAGGAATGAGGAGATCGGTAGACGAACCAAGGTCACCGTCATTGCTTGGAGAATTGTCAAACTTAGGTGGCAGTGAGCGGGGCACATTGCTCGCAGAAACGATAGCCGATGGAGCCATAAAGTTATCGACTACGCGTAGATAGGCTCCCCACAAGGTGGTCCTACGAGCTGGTGAAGGTCGCGGGAAGCATAGGACCGGTTGTTGTAACAAACCTTTGGGTAGACCTATGTCCAGCAGTGGACGTCTTTCGCCTGAGATGATGATGAAGTGATTCTGCGACACTCGCCTCTCCGTTTCGGCAATATTTTTAAAACACATAACCTTTGAAGTTTTGTACATAACTTATAAAATTTTATCTTTGCAGATGTATTCATTCGTTGATGTCAAAGCAAGTTCGTGATTTGGTTGAGAGAAGCGTCCGCCATTTCGCTGAACATTTTTCTTATTACTTTGTAAGTGTTTTTCTAGTTCTAAGTGTAAGGAATAATTACCAAAATATTTAATCACCATTACCGATAATCTTCCTCTGACTAAAACCGTATGGTATTCTGTGATTTTCTTATGAATAACCTGGTTATTGTATAGGCGCGTAAACAGCCCATGATTGGACGTGCCTTTTTGTTTAGTGGTTTGTAATCTTATCTGCAAAGCCAGATATCATGAGTTCGATTTCCATCCATTACTGAATCATGCAAATTATTCATTTAATTTAAATAAAATATTTATTGGAACGAAGTTCCTTATCGCGCGTTGTGAAAGGGGGCTAGACGGAAAAAAATCTCAAGAAAAGTTGTAACGACACCTTTTATGTCAGTCATTCAGCGCCATCTATCGAATAGATAGGAAATCATTACTTTTCATCTCAGTATTTATTTTGAATTTTCACTTGTCAGTCATTCAGCGACATCTATCGAATAGATAGGAAATCATTTCTCAAGGAGATTTTACGAATGTATAAATTGTTTTAATTAGAAACCAACTGTAATTGCGTTGTAATTAAAATCGAGTCGAATCAGTTTTACTCGATCGTCACAACTTCGTTCCTATCGGGTGTCCCACGACACCACACGGCTTTTTTTTATTACTAGCGTTCCGCCCCGGCTTCGCATGGGTACAATGTAGATAGGTATTACTAATACTACTAATGTGGTATTCATCATCATCATCATCAACAGCCTTTAATAGTCCACTGCTGGACACTGCTGCCTTTTCTTAGAAAGGAGGTTTAATGTGGTATTAGTGTAGAGTAATTAATTATAGTGTCCGTGTAGTGACGGACCAAGAATGCGGTATGTCACCACCCCAATTCATCCCGTGGGTGTCGCAAGAGCCGACTAAGGGCGCAAAACAACGCAGGAAACCAGCACTGCAAAAAGAAGGAAAACTTGACACAAATCCTATACCAACCCGTCTGGCCAGCGTGGTGTAGTAGGCCAAAACCTCCTTTCTAAGGAGAGGACTATGTCCAGGAGTGGACTAGTAAAGGCTGTTGATGTGTGATGTGAATTAATTATACTATTATTATGATAGGAATATACTACAGGACATCTTTAAATACAATATTTATATTCCCGCCCCGAACCTGCCGGCCGCTGCCACCCGTAAGAAACGTACGGCTCGAAGGTAGTTGGGCCCCGCATTTTAAACCTCTAATATCTTCCAAAAAAAAAAAAAGCGGGAAAGAGCAATTTTAATCTACATTAAATGCAAAACGTACCTAACGTATTTAATTGGATAAATAATAATAATATATTCTTTAAAATAGCTTTGTAAATAACCCATTATTTTATGTGAAATTTAAAAGATAAAAATGGTTATTGTGGGTTATCCTTGGGAGATATACATATACTATTACGGACTTTTTTGTAAATCTTTTTACGATATACAATTCCGTAGTACGTTATTTTGGTCTATCTGGTAACTTTTAGCCAGCGTTTGCAATATAAGCTCACAATAACATGTTTTTTACGACAAATCTTAAAAAAAAACAGATTTCATCTACTATAATATGCATGTATTATACATATAAACCTTCCTCTTGAATCAGGCTCTCTATTGCTGAAAACCGCTGCTTACTTTAAACCATCTAAGCGTACAACACAAAAAAGAGACTTTATTTTATACTACGTAAAGAAGTAATTATAATACTAACATGCTTTGTCATTTTTTCCTAATTGCCTGTAGGAGGGTAACAATTACTCGGGCAAGTACCGAGACTATTTGTTCATAAAGCGTCCACTCCTGCGCATTAAGGTGATCGGCCACCCTGGCACTAACAACATCACTTTCGAGCCCACACTCGAACATATGAAGACTTTCATCGTCAATTGGTTTAACACAATCATCAACGTCAACTGCCAGTTGCCCAGTGTTGACCAGATTATGTATCCTGGTGAGTACGCATCGCCTTTTTAATATTTATGCTATTTTGCCACTCTTGGGGGTTTAAATTTTCATTGGATAACATTGGACATGAACGATATCTAGGAAAGAAAAATCAAATGGCAAAAAGTAATTATTAGTTAATCTAGTGTACACAGAAATGAAACAGTTCAAATGAGAGTTTGATGAGAGTTTTTTAATTTAGTTATATATAATAAAACTAAAGGATCATCATCATTATCATCAACAGCTTTTGCTAGTCCACTGCTGGACATAGGCCTTTCCCCAGAAAGGAGGTTTTGCCCTACTATGCCACGCTGGCCAGACAGGTTGGTATAGGGTTTGTTTCAAGTTTTCCTTCTTTTTGCAGTGCTGGTGTCCTGCGTTGTTTTGCGCCCTTAATCGGCTCTTACGACAGCCACCGGATGAATTGGGGTAGTAACATTCCGTATTCTTAATCCGTCACTACACGGACATACGACACCCACGGGATGAATAGGAGCAGTGATATTCCGTATTGTTTATTGTTTATTAAGTTCATAGGTAGTTAAATATGTTATTTATTATTGCCACATCTAAGTATATCTTCGAGAAACAAATGGGCCCGTAAGGAAGTATAGCACTTTCTGAATACTCCATTGTTTATATGACCAATTTCGAGAGATCAACTCCCTTATAAAAATCTTTTTACTTTTATTTACCTTTGTTACATAATCTGAGTCGGTGCTTTTTTAATTTTTTTATGCTTTTTCGATTACGTTTTCACCTTCGTGGGTTTATAAAAAAAAATGTTATCTTTTTATTAACGCTTACATATCTTAACCAAACAACTGAAATTTTGAAATTTTCCCAGATCTGCCCCATTCGTAATGTTGCCCGTAAAAGTAACCATAATTAATAAAAAAAATTGTGTTCGTAGGTGTGAGACGACAGCGGCCATATCTCCTGGGCGTGTACCCTGAGGAGGGGTACCTCATGGACATCATTCAGAAGAGCTTGCATTACTTCAATATAAACAGACCTGGACCCAGGAGCTTTCTCAGCAGCTACGAAGATTACTTTTATATCTTGAACGGAGAAGCCAAACAAGACTTGTTACAATTCTTTGCTTTGGAACCTCCTCCGTATTTAAAAGTAAACCTAATTTATTCTTTTGCTGATCAAATAGAATAATTTTATTTAAAATGAATTACCCATCACTGTCTCAAAACTAAGCATAATACGACACTAAAAGCCACGTTTCATCATCATCAACAGTCTTTAATGGTCCACTGCTGGACATAAGCCTCTCCTCTCCTCTCCACGTTTCATACACACTAAAAACTTAATTTTTTTTTTCTGCCAAAGTTTTTTTTCTGATAAGCCACGAAAGAGTTGTTTAACACCCTAGTGTTAAACAACTCTTTCGTGGCTTATCACCGAGTGAGTGAGGTTACCGGAGACCAAACCATTCCCTCTCTCTCTGATTCTGGGTGGGTGGTTCAACACACTTGTGACTTTTGAGTTGCAGGTTTCCATGGGCAGCGGTAGTAGCTTAACTGCTAGTTTGTCCCCTTATACCATAAAAAAAGTGAAAACTTACATACAGAGGTGTCAGTAACGGTAACACCGTCGCGAGATCAATGGTTTTTTTTTCTATAAAATACATTATTTCGTTTGTTGTTCAAAAATGCCCAACGCGCCTAAAGAACTTTATACTTCAAAGAAACTTTAAATTTTAGAGTTTAGCGCGCTTTAAAAGCATACAATCGAAAAAAAATATTGTATTTTTAGGACTTTACGGCTCGCATCTACATGTACGAGGCCCTCCGCGACGAAATCCTGTTCCTCCGCCGAGACATACCCCTCAACATGGTGATGCTCGACTGCGGGCCCATCAACGACACGCTGTGGGACATCGTTAACGGCCTGCGGACCTATATCGTCGATCACTTCATCGCTGTTAATAGGAAGTGGAACAGAGCGTAATTATACATTTCATACTTTTTCCAGAGGTCCACAGAATGGGATATGTGAAGAAAGGATTGTACAGGTCTTAAAGCAGGTTACAAGAGGCTATAGGGTACGGTAAACGCGGGTCGTCAGGCGGGTTGTATGTAGAGGATTCGAGCCCGGTCGATTTTTATAATCCCGGGATTCCGGGATTATCTACAGTTAATCTCGGGATCCCGGGATAGTCCCGGGATTGTTTTGGCAATGGAAACTGGTAACAAAAAGACAGTAAAACATATCAAAATATTTTTTTGTTTATCATTTAGTTTTGTGAGGACATTTGGAGATTTAAAACTTAAATATTCTATTTAAGTTTTAAATCTCCATAAAGGCGGTTAAACAAAATTATACTTTCTTCTTATAAAATAAACAAACTAGTGCTTAGTTTGTTTTGTGTTTCGTGTAGTTGTATGTGCGGCTAACGTAGCGCGAAAGAAAAACAAAAATCCCTAACTAGATTCAAAACTAGCGTCACACGTTAAGTGGGAGGAAGGGGGTCGACGGTCACATTTCAAAACCTAATATATCGAAGTATTAAAACGCGAAAGAAATATTAACAGGAAATTTAAAAAGAAATTGAACTTCTGTTTTAATTTAGTTACATGTATAGAAAACGCGTATCATCCGTTTATATTACCTAGTCAGCCACTTCGCTCCGTTCTTTCCCGCCTATCGCTTAAGGTACCTTTCTAGTTAATTTAGACAGGTTATTTATTTTAATTCTAAATAAGATTTAAAAAAAAAATAGTATAACTTATTGCAGTGGTTTTAAGTGGCGTGTAGGTATAAGCAGATAAATTGCTAAAACATACACAAGATCAGTATACAATTGAAATTTTAAAATGATTGATTGAGTTTCGGTTTCGGTTAACTTTTCGGCCGAAACTGAAACAAAGACCGAAAGTTCGGTTTCGGTTTCGGCTAAAAACCCTATTTCGTAATTATGTACTTATAGTTATAATATGGTGGGGGCGTTTTAAGTTGTACGAACTGTTTACTTCTTTTGTTTATAGATACGTTTAGAGAGTTAAATACAGTTCCCAGAGATGTCACTGTACATTATATAAAGTAGTAAATTATGGAGGGTGGAAGTAATAAACACTATCTCTTTGAATTATGTGAATGTCATTAAATGAAATCGCGGTTCATTCTAAAAGAAAAACTTCCTTATTGCTTTTTAAATAGGAAATGCCGGTACTGATTACTTTAACTCATATTAATTGCCGCTCCGTGAACGGTTTAAATATTCGAAAGGAAATCAGTCCGTAAGACGAGTCTATCAAAGAATATAGTACTAGGTTTTGCCAGCCTGTATGTCAGTTATCGCAGTAAAAATACCCTACGTCTTTTCCTCAAGGATATACCCTACGTCTTTTCCTCAAGGATATACCCTACGTCTTTTCCTCAAGGACCAAACTGTCTTCATACCAAATTTCATTAAAATCCGTTCAGCGGTCATTCATTCCCGATACAAACTTCTAACCTCCTTGTCTGAGATAACTATTCTGTGTCCTTTCCCTTGACTCTAACTATCTACTTTAACTATCTGTATGTCAAATTTCATCTAATTCGGTTCAGCGGTTTAAGCTTGAAGAGTGAACAGACAGTCAGACAGACACACTTTCGCATTTATAATATTAGTATGGATTGGAAAACTTAAATGGTTCGTTCTACCTAGGTGTTGAAAGTATTTTTGATTATAGCTACATGTCATTTTACGTAAAAAGTATCATATCACTTTGCGTGTATATTTTTTTTTGTCTAGGCTGGGTTACATTACATTCATAATTTTAGTTGAAAGAATTGACGTGTCGCTTTATGTCGTTTCTCTCATTGGTCACAGATTAACTCAGATAGTTAAATACAATTTCAAGAGATGCAACTGTACTTAAGAATAGATAATAAGTAAAAATAACATAAAATATAAAGTAGAGAATGATAGGGGAATATCAAGTTTTACAAATATGATATGCCTGTGCGCCATATGTATTTCAACGGTACAAAGATTTTTCTTCGCTTATTAATGAGCGGATTTGTACATGATTCCTAATTAAACAATACTAATTGTTGCAAAAAAACACCTTGAACTTTTTAGTATTTCTTTTTCACAATTATATTTCAATAAACAAGTTAATGATATATATTTTTATAAGACCCTTTATTTTGATACCTCACTTAATGGATTTGAAAAAAAAATTGAAGACGTAAAGTGGCGCCAAAAGTCGGCCATTTCAATTTTTATAATTTTGTTATACCCAGTGTCACTCTCATGATTAAAACGACTCGTAACGACATCTCTCGAGCGCAAATCTATCAAGTCATCGAAGTCATAATCGTCACTTTATATACATAACGCATCTGCTTTCTATAACAAATTCAACTACATCCAAATAGAAACGACTACCTTCATCTGATATTTTACACGTAAATGATAAAATACTCGTGACTTCGGTTTTAATAATAAAAAAAATAAATGACAGGAATGATACTAGATGGCATTTTTTTTTTAATTTATACAAATCTTATTAAACATTACACCTCAGGATTGCTTAAATGTAAAATCATTTATGTTGTTAAGTATGTTTAAGTAACTTTTATAGTTGGTTGTTACTGTTTTCAAATTTTGCAAAGGGTTTCTGACGGTGTAGTCTCCTCTATAAGTAGTTGGGAAGTTTCTATTAATAAAATAAATGAATTAAAAACTTATGAAATCAAGTTTTAAATAAGATTAGGTTAATTATATTTTAAATAATCATTAAAACCCAGTTATGTACACTAATGAACAAACTTTTTATTATTGTTAACCAAATTTAAAGTTAATTATTGTTATTGTCCATAGATAGAACGCCATCTGTTAGGATTGTGACATACCTCTTTCACTTCTATCAGGCCTGTAACATTTTTATGCAATATTATTTCCAAGGTGTACGTGAGACAAAAATTACTTCAGGTTTCTGTTAACTTTAAAGTTATACTATTTGTATTTATCAGAATTTGCAACGTATACGAGTCTATAGCGGCGCGAGCATCGGAGACTCCGGACACCACGGCGCAGTTGGTTGAACTGATCGAGTTCATCACGGAGAGTCGCGACTGTTCAATGTTCGATCTCCGGGAGAAGTCGCGGACGACGGCCGAATACGTACTGTTCTTGATGGAGCACGCACACTTACACTGTAAGGATTGCGCGAAGTAACATGTCACCTAAGGCCGAACTATCATTTTTGGAACGAAGTTCCTTATCGTGCGGTACAAGCTCTGAGCGGATGCGGGCGAGGCCGAAAGATGTGTAACAAGATTTTTTCCTACACTAAGTTTAAAGTAAACGTAACGAAAAGTAACGTACGGCAAACGTCTACCTAAAAGCGAAAGGAACTTCGTTCCGACTGGGGGTCCATAGACCCCTCATGTTGTTTTCAAGTGTAGGGGTAAACGAACAGACGGGTCCACTAAAGGTAAGTAGCTACCGCCGCCCATGGTCAACTGCATTTCAAAAGTCACAAATTCGGTGCCACCCTTTGTTTCCTCCTCACAGAGGGGTCAAGGCAGAGGGGGTTAGGACTCTGGTCATCTAATCTCACTCACTCGGTGAAAAGCAAAGAAAGAGTTGGATAACACCAATAATATATGTATAATATTTTTAATATGTCGGATCTTCCTTAAAATATCATTGGCTAACACTGGCTTTCTGTGTAGCTGTGCGATGTAACCTGGGCCCCAATTCTGCTCTAATAGCGTGTCAGTGTTATGACAGTGGCTTGGCGTAAACATAAAATAGCAGAATTGAGGCCCTGGTATTCGCCGGGTGAGCTCCAGATGAGCCGGCCCATTTGTGCCGAATGCCGAAACATGGCTGTCCCACGATTATACGTATATTATTGTACTTGTATATTGTCCGGGTAGCCGAATAGGGAAATGGCAAATAATTGATACTCACACAACTAAAATTATCTCGAACATATTAAGTACCTCTACAACTTTCATAAAAAATTACATTCTGTGTCAATTTTAGTCGAAGACGTCAACTTAAACACCCGCGTGTTCCTTTGGCCCCTCGACATGGAGGAAACCATTGACCTAACCCTCAAAACCCTGAACACTAAAAGATCCATGGCGGAAGACAAACTCCGAAGTAGAAAGACCGTGTTTGAGAGCAAGCTGAAGAAGCACGAGAAAGACTTGGAGCTGTTCCGGCGGTTTGATCCACCGCTGCTGAATGTGGATTTGTTGAAGGAAGTCATTGCAAAAGTCGATGAGATAAACAGCAATTTGTATGTGAGTTGTTGGTATATGCTTCTAATACCTTGATAATTAATCAGTCACACACAGAGATATAAAAAATACACTCCATCATGTTAAAACATCAGTCAGTCATACATACATACATACAGTCACATTTTGCTAAAAGACTTATTTCTTAGCGTTCCATGGATTCACCGTGTGGGTGCCGGGTCCATCGCGTGATAGATGGGGACAACACATGGGACTTATATTTTAATTATACAAAAGGATCATAGTTAACGTTTATATAACGTTAAACGTTCATAATCATAATCATTATTTACTTGCGGAAACATAGGTTAGTTATAGGTCTTAGATTATGTTAGAAGTGCACTATGTCCTACCACATTATGTGGTGTACAAATAATTATACATACAGAAATACATAAATTAATGCAATTGAATACAGTTAAATTATCAAAATATGTCAATAGATATGCGCATTACAGTGCATTACTAAGACATGTCAGTGAATAGTTTTTTATTTGTCAAGCACATAGATTAAAATTGACAAAAATAAAAGGTTCAAAATTGCCAAAAGTAGATTATAATTGTCAAGATAGTAACAATAAAAACAATGGTAATAAATGGTTAAATGTGTTATAGGAAGACAAACGGGAAGCGGAAGATATAATAAATGAAGAAATATTGTTAGAGCAAGAACAGTCGGTGTACTACAGCTTGCAAACTATGCTCGCGGGCATCGAACCCTTCCATAAACTCTGGCACACCGCGCACGACTTTTACGAGGGATACGAGAAATGGTAAGTCATCACATCACATCAACAGCCTTTAATAGTCCGCTGCTGGACATATGCCTCTCCTTAGATAGGAGGTTTTGACCTACTATACCACGCTGGCCAGACGGGTTGGTATAGGGTTTTTGCCAAGTTTTCCTTCTCTTTGCAGTGCTGTTGTCCTGCGTAGTTTGCTCCCTTAGTCGGCTCTTACGACACCCACGGGATAAATGGGGGTGGTGACACTCTGTATTCTTAATCCGTCACCACACGGATAGTAGATAGGAAATGGTAAGTTAAGTAATAAAAAAAACTTCAGATCTCTTGTTATTCGATTTTTGACCACAATTAATTATTTTTTTATTCAAATTTATGCAGGCGTTCCTGAATGAGTGTTTTACGTTTATGCGTTAGGTAATTAAACTCCCAACCTCCACTGTGTAGGATTTATCCGTAAATTTGTGCTCTCATCACTGTGCTAACGAGCCTGAATGTGTTTTAAATTGAATCTGAGGTTTTTAGTTAACTATATTATGGTTTATTAACAATCGAAAGCAAAAAAATCAATGCCACCTGGGGAGGGGATTGAACCCTCGACCACCAAAATGCCGATTATATCCTTAACAGCGCTTTTAATAATACCTCAGCCTATGCTTGTCCACTGCTGGACATAGGCCTCTCCCAATGATTTCCAGCGGGGACGGTTGATTGCGGCCTGCATCCAACGGTTTCCGGCAACCTTTACCAGGTCGTCCGTCCATCGGGTAGGCGGTCGTCCCACACTGCGCTTTCCAGTACGTGGTCTCCATTGGAGAACCTTGCTGCCCCATCGGCCGTCAGTTCTCCTTGCTATGTGCCCTGCCCATTGCCACTTGAGCGCGCTAATCCGTTGGGCTATGTCGACCACCTTTGTTCTCCTGCGGATCTCCTCGTTGCGGATTCGATCACGCAGGGAAACGCCAAGCATAGCCCTTTCCATAGCACGCTGAGCGAATCTGAGCTTTCTGATTAGGCCCATAGTAAGAGACCACGTCTCAGTTCCGTAGGTCATCACTGGTAACACACACTGGTTGAAGCATTTCGTCTTTAAGCACTGAGGTATTTTGGACGTGAAGACGTTTCGTAATTTCCCGAACGCTGCCCAGCCGAGTCGGATTCGACGATTGACCTCTTTTTCGAAGTTGGACTTACCTAATTGGACCGTTTGTCCTAGGTAGACATATTCGTCAACAACTTTGAGGACAGAGTTTCCCACGACTATGGGAGTCGGCGCGACATGGACATTCGACATGATTTTCGTCTTGTCCATGTCGTCCATCAACAGCGCTTTTACCACAGAGCTAATGAGCCGAGACTTTACGAACACATATGAAACGGACACAAAGAACACCTAGATTCGGAACAACAATTTGGGGATCACACACACTACGCCATCCGTGCAGTCAAAATTAAATCAAAACTAAATCTTGAGCCCTCTATATAAATAAAAATTAATCCCCAAATGTATTGCTAAACGCAAAAAATTATCGAATCGACTGATTCCGCTATTTTTTTTTCCATATTTTGGTTAAGGCAAAAGGAAAGTGCTCATGGAGAGAAAAAACGTAAAGTTTGTGAATTAAATACTATAAACATAAAAAATCACAGAGTAAATTAAAACACCTATCCCTATCTGACAAACATTTAACGTCAATCGAAATTTTTTCTTTACTTATTTTTCTATTGAACTGGGATAGGTCATTATGATAAATTTTAACAATAAAGTCTGTTGGAGCAGCTAGTTAACCATATTTATAGTTTATCAAGGAAGAATATATCCTCAAGAGTGCTAGTGAGGGATTTGAACCCACGACCTCTATTGCGTAGGATTTATCCGCCAGGGGGTTCTTTCACCGCTGATGTAACGAGCCGATGTGTCTTAAATTTAATTTGAGGGTCTTAATTAACTAAAATTTAGATTATTGAAAACCTAAAAAATAAAATCAATACCAGCTCGTGAGGGATTTGAACCCCCGACCTCCAGTGCGTGGGATTTACCTCCAAGTGGGTGCTCTCACCGCTGGGCTAACGAGCCGATGTGTCTTAAATTGAATCTGAGGTTCTTGGTTAACTATATGTATAGTTTTAGAAACAAAAATAAAAAATCAATAGATCAGTACCAGCTCGTGTGGGAATTGAACCCCCGACCTCCACAAGGAAGATAATATCCTCAAGGGTGCTCTCACCGCTGAGCTAACGAGCCGATGTGTCTTAAATTTAATTTGAGGGTCTTAATTAACTAAAATTTAGATTATTGAAAAAATTAACTAAAATTTAGATTATTGAAAAAATTAACTAAAATTTAGATTATTGAAAAACTAAAAAATAAAATCAATACCAGCTCGTGAGGGAATTGAACCGCCGACCTCCACAAGGAAGATAATATCCTCAAGGGTGCTCTCACCGCTGAGCTAACGAGCTGATGTGTCTTTAATTGAATCTGAGGTTCTTAGTTCAATAAAATTTAAACATTATTGAACCCTAACAAAAATCTAAATTCCAGCTCGTGAGGGATTTGAACCCCCGATCTCCACAAGGAAGATTATATCCTCAAGGGTGCTCTCACCGCTGAGCTAACGAGCCGATGTGTCTTAAATTGAATCGGAGGTTCTTAGTTCAATTAAATTTTAATATTATTGAATCCTAAAAAATACATAAATTCCAGCTCGTGAGGGATTTGAACCCCCGACCTCCACTGCGTAGGATTTACCCCCAAGTGGGTGCTCTCACCACTGAGCTAACGAGCCGATGTGTCTTAAATTTAATTTGAGGGTCTTAATTAATTAAAATTTAGATTATTGAAAACCTAAAACATAAAACCAATACCAGCTCGTGAGGGAATTGAACCCCCGACCTCCACAAGGAAGATAATATCCTCAAGGGTGCTCTCACCGCTGAGCTAACGAGCCGATGTGTCTTCAATTGAATCTGAGGTTCTTAGTTCAATTAAATTTAAACATTATTGAACCCTAACAAAAATCTAAATTCCAGCTCGTGAGGGATTTGAACCCCCGACCTCCACTGCGTAGGATTTACCCCCAAGTGGTTGCTCTCACCGCTGAGCTAACGAGCTGATGTGTCTTTAATTGAATCTGAGGTTCTTAGTTCAATAAAATTTAAACATTATTGAACCCTAACAAAAATCTAAATTCCAGCTCGTGAGGGATTTGAACCCCCGACCTCCACAAGGAAGATTATATCCTCAAGGGTGCTCTCACCGCTGAGCTAACGAGCCGATGTGTCTTAAATTTAATTTGAGGGTCTTAATTAACTAAAATTTAGATTATTGAAAAAATTAACTAAAATTTAGATTATTGAAAAACTAAAAAATAAAATCAATACCAGCTCGTGAGGGAATTGAACCCCCGACCTCCACAAGGAAGATAATATCCTCAAGGGTGCTCTCACCGCTGAGCTAACGAGCTAATGTGTCTTTAATTGAATCTGAGGTTCTTAGTTCAATAAAATTTAAACATTATTGAACCCTAACAAAAATCTAAATTCCAGCTCGTGAGGGATTTGAACCCCCGACCTCCACAAGGAAGATTATATCCTCAAGGGTGCTCTCACCGCTGAGCTAACGAGCCGATGTGTCTTAAATTGAATCGGAGGTTCTTAGTTCAATTAAATTTTAATATTATTGAATCCTAAAAAATACATAAATTCCAGCTCGTGAGGGATTTGAACCCCCGACCTCCACTGCGTAGGATTTACCCCCAAGTGGGTGCTCTCACCACTGAGCTAACGAGCCGATGTGTCTTAAATTTAATTTGAGGGTCTTAATTAATTAAAATTTAGATTATTGAAAACCTAAAACATAAAACCAATACCAGCTCGTGAGGGAATTGAACCCCCGACCTCCACAAGGAAGATAATATCTTCAAGGGTGCTCTCACCGCTGAGCTAACGAGCCGATGTGTCTTCAATTGAATCTGAGGTTCTTAGTTCAATTAAATTTAAACATTATTGAACCTTAACAAAAATCTAAATTCCAGCTGGTGAGGGATTTGAACCCCCGACCTCCACTGCGTAGGATTTACCCCCAAGTGGTTGCTCTCACCGCTGAGCTAACGAGCTGATGTGTCTTTAATTGAATCTGAGGTTCTTAGTTCAATAAAATTTAAACATTATTGAACCCTAACAAAAATCTAAATTCCAGCTCGTGAGGGATTTGAACCCCCGACCTCCACAAGGAAGATTATATCCTCAAGGGTGCTCTCACCGCTGAGCTAACGAGCCGATGTGTCTTAAATTGAATCTGAGGTTCTTTGTTCAATTAAATTTTAGTATTATTGAATCCTAAAAAATACATAAATTCCAGCTCGTGAGGGATTTGAACCCCCGACCTCCACTGCGTAGGATTTACCCCCAAGTGGGTGCTCTCACCACTGAGCTAACGAGCCGATGTGTCTTAAATTTAATTTGAGGGTCTTAATTAATTAAAATTTAGATTATTGAAAACCTAAAACATAAAACCAATACCAGCTCGTGAGGGAATTGAACCCCCGACCTCCACAAGGAAGATAATATCTTCAAGGGTGCTCTCACCGCTGAGCTAACGAGCCGATGTGTCTTCAATTGAATCTGAGGTTCTTAGTTCAATTAAATTTAAACATTATTGAACCCTAACAAAAATCTAAATTCCAGCTGGTGAGGGATTTGAACCCCCGACCTCCACTGCGTAGGATTTACCCCCAAGTGGTTGCTCTCACCGCTGAGCTAACGAGCTGATGTGTCTTTAATTGAATCTGAGGTTCTTAGTTCAATAAAATTTAAACATTATTGAACCCTAACAAAAATCTAAATTCCAGCTCGTGAGGGATTTGAACCCCCGACCTCCACAAGGAAGATTATATCCTCAAGGGTGCTCTCACCGCTGAGCTAACGAGCCGATGTGTCTTAAATTGAATCTGAGGTTCTTTGTTCAATTAAATTTTAGTATTATTGAATCCTAAAAAATACATAAATTCCAGCTCGTGAGGGATTTGAACCCCCGACCTCCACTGCGTAGGATTTACCCCCAAGTGGGTGCTCTCACCACTGAGCTAACGAGCCGATGTGTCTTAAATTTAATTTGAGGGTCTTAATTTATTAACATTTAGATTTTTGAAAACCTAAAAAATAAAACCAATACCAGCTCGTGAGGGAATTGAACCCCCGACCTCCACTGCGTAGGATTTACCCCCAAGTGGGTGCTCTCACCACTGAGCTAACGAGCCGATGTGTCTTAAATTGAATCTGAGGTTCTTTGTTCAATTAAATTTTAGTATTATTGAATCCTAAAAAATACATAAATTCCAGCTCGTGAGGGATTTGAACCCCCGACCTCCACTGCGTAGGATTTACCCCCAAGTGGGTGCTCTCACCACTGAGCTAACGAGCCGATGTGTCTTAAATTTAATTTGAGGGTCTTAATTAATTAAAATTTAGATTATTGAAAACCTAAAACATAAAACCAATACCAGCTCGTGAGGGAATTGAACCCCCGACCTCCACAAGGAAGATAATATCTTCAAGGGTGCTCTCACCGCTGAGCTAACGAGCCGATGTGTCTTCAATTGAATCTGAGGTTCTTAGTTCAATTAAATTTAAACATTATTGAACCCTAACAAAAATCTAAATTCCAGCTCGTGAGGGATTTGAACCCCCGACCTCCACTGCGTAGGATTTACCCCCAAGTGGTTGCTCTCACCGCTGAGCTAACGAGCTGATGTGTCTTTAATTGAATCTGAGGTTCTTAGTTCAATAAAATTTAAACATTATTGAACCCTAACAAAAATCTAAATTCCAGCTCGTGAGGGATTTGAACCCCCGACCTCCACAAGGAAGATTATATCCTCAAGGGTGCTCTCACCGCTGAGCTAACGAGCCGATGTGTCTTAAATTTAATTTGAGGGTCTTAATTAACTAAAATTTAGATTATTGAAAAAATTAACTAAAATTTAGATTATTGAAAAACTAAAAAATAAAATCAATACCAGCTCGTGAGGGAATTGAACCCCCGACCTCCACAAGGAAGATAATATCCTCAAGGGTGCTCTCACCGCTGAGCTAACGAGCTAATGTGTCTTTAATTGAATCTGAGGTTCTTAGTTCAATAAAATTTAAACATTATTGAACCCTAACAAAAATCTAAATTCCAGCTCGTGAGGGATTTGAACCCCCGACCTCCACAAGGAAGATTATATCCTCAAGGGTGCTCTCACCGCTGAGCTAACGAGCCGATGTGTCTTAAATTGAATCGGAGGTTCTTAGTTCAATTAAATTTTAATATTATTGAATCCTAAAAAATACATAAATTCCAGCTCGTGAGGGATTTGAACCCCCGACCTCCACTGCGTAGGATTTACCCCCAAGTGGGTGCTCTCACCACTGAGCTAACGAGCCGATGTGTCTTAAATTTAATTTGAGGGTCTTAATTAATTAAAATTTAGATTATTGAAAACCTAAAACATAAAACCAATACCAGCTCGTGAGGGAATTGAACCCCCGACCTCCACAAGGAAGATAATATCTTCAAGGGTGCTCTCACCGCTGAGCTAACGAGCCGATGTGTCTTCAATTGAATCTGAGGTTCTTAGTTCAATTAAATTTAAACATTATTGAACCTTAACAAAAATCTAAATTCCAGCTGGTGAGGGATTTGAACCCCCGACCTCCACTGCGTAGGATTTACCCCCAAGTGGTTGCTCTCACCGCTGAGCTAACGAGCTGATGTGTCTTTAATTGAATCTGAGGTTCTTAGTTCAATAAAATTTAAACATTATTGAACCCTAACAAAAATCTAAATTCCAGCTCGTGAGGGATTTGAACCCCCGACCTCCACAAGGAAGATTATATCCTCAAGGGTGCTCTCACCGCTGAGCTAACGAGCCGATGTGTCTTAAATTGAATCTGAGGTTCTTTGTTCAATTAAATTTTAGTATTATTGAATCCTAAAAAATACATAAATTCCAGCTCGTGAGGGATTTGAACCCCCGACCTCCACTGCGTAGGATTTACCCCCAAGTGGGTGCTCTCACCACTGAGCTAACGAGCCGATGTGTCTTAAATTTAATTTGAGGGTCTTAATTAATTAAAATTTAGATTATTGAAAACCTAAAACATAAAACCAATACCAGCTCGTGAGGGAATTGAACCCCCGACCTCCACAAGGAAGATAATATCTTCAAGGGTGCTCTCACCGCTGAGCTAACGAGCCGATGTGTCTTCAATTGAATCTGAGGTTCTTAGTTCAATTAAATTTAAACATTATTGAACCCTAACAAAAATCTAAATTCCAGCTGGTGAGGGATTTGAACCCCCGACCTCCACTGCGTAGGATTTACCCCCAAGTGGTTGCTCTCACCGCTGAGCTAACGAGCTGATGTGTCTTTAATTGAATCTGAGGTTCTTAGTTCAATAAAATTTAAACATTATTGAACCCTAACAAAAATCTAAATTCCAGCTCGTGAGGGATTTGAACCCCCGACCTCCACAAGGAAGATTATATCCTCAAGGGTGCTCTCACCGCTGAGCTAACGAGCCGATGTGTCTTAAATTGAATCTGAGGTTCTTTGTTCAATTAAATTTTAGTATTATTGAATCCTAAAAAATACATAAATTCCAGCTCGTGAGGGATTTGAACCCCCGACCTCCACTGCGTAGGATTTACCCCCAAGTGGGTGCTCTCACCACTGAGCTAACGAGCCGATGTGTCTTAAATTTAATTTGAGGGTCTTAATTTATTAACATTTAGATTTTTGAAAACCTAAAAAATAAAACCAATACCAGCTCGTGAGGGAATTGAACCCCCGACCTCCACTGCGTAGGATTTACCCCCAAGTGGGTGCTCTCACCACTGAGCTAACGAGTCGATGTGTCTTAAATTTAATTTGAGGGTCTTAATTAATTAAAATTTAGATTATTGAAAACCTAAAAAATAAAACCAATACCAGCTCGTGCGGGAATTGAACCCCCGACCTCCACAAGAAAGATTATATCCTCAAGGGTGCTCTCACCGCTGAGCTAACGAGCTGATGTGTCTTTAATTGAATCTGAGGTTCTTAGTTGAATAAAATTTAAACATTATTGAACCCAAAAAAAAAAAAAAAAATCCAGCTCGTGAGGGATTTGAACCCCCGACCTCCAGTGCGTGGGATTGTCTTAAATTGAATCTGAGGTTCTTGGTTAACTATATGTATAGTTTTAGAAACAAAAGTAAAAACACAATAAATCAATACCAGCTCGTGAGGGAATTGAACCCCCGACCTCCACAAGGAAGATTATATCCTCAAGGGTGCTCTCACCGCTGAGCTAACGAGCTTATGTGTCTTTAATTGAATCTGAGGTTCTTAGTTCAATAAAATTTAAACATTATTGCACCCTACAAAAAATATAAATTCCAGCTCGTGAGGGATTTGAACCCCCGACCTCCACTGCGTGGGATTTACCCCCAAGTGGGTGCTCTCACCGCTGAGCTAACGAGCCGATGTGTCTTAAATTTAATTTGAGGGTCTTAATTAACTAAAATTTAGATTATTAAAAACCTAAAAAATAAAATCAATACCAGCTCGTGAGGGAATTGAACCCCCGACCTCCACAAGGAAGATTATATCCTCAAGGGTGTTCTCACCGCTGAGCTAACGAGCTGATTTGTCTTAAATTAAATCTTAGGTTCTTAGTTAACTAAAAAATAAATATTATTGAACCCTAAAAAAATATGAATTCCAGCTCGTGAGGGATTTGAACCCCCGACCTCCACTGCGTGGGATTTACCCCCAAGTGGGTGCTCTCACCGCTGAGCTAACGAGCCGATGTGTCTTAAATTGAATCTGAGGTTCTTAGTTAACTATATGTATAGTTTTGGAAACAAAAGTAAAAAATCAATACCAGTTCGTGAGGGAATTGAACCCCCGACCTCCACAAGGAAGATAATATCCTCAAGGGTGCTCTCACCACTGAGATAACATACTTTCTTTTTTAAAGAGTGGTATTTAGGGGTGTTGCTTTCCCACGGTACCGTGACTTTTACTAGTACTACTCATACACGCGTATTTTATTTTGCACGTACAAATATGTCTGACGCTGAGGCCAGATAACCTCCTCTATGCTGTAATGTTTTTAATTTCATTTGATGTGTCCACTAATAGTTTTGAGTCACTGGCGGTATTTATAATTGAGTACGGCTTTTGTGAAGTCATTGCGCCTTCCTTTAGAAACTGGATGTTATTTCTTGTTACTGATTTTTTTCGCTCTCTCCAGTGATAAACTTATATCTTGGCTTATGATTCATACTGTAGTGACGTCAATAATGACCCCGATCTAATAGCGCCTTACAACCTGTCAGTAAATGTCTTTTTTATTTATTTTTTACGTGTGTAAACCCCCTCGGGCCGTCACCCCACCGGGGTTTGCGGCGCTGCGGTGTGTGGGAAATGTGTGAGATAGGAGGGGTCCGGGAACAGCTGATATTAAGACATCTGGACCCCTCCCAGCGCCTGGATATATAGCAGATTGACGAGAAATCCCGTCCCGTCAACCCGCAGCCACACTCAGGGCGGCATTAGGCGCTGGTAAGCGCGCCTATGCCGCCCGGTTCGCCAGCGGCGAATTGGGTCCAAGTGGAGGTCATCTTCCCGAGCCCTATCCGCCGCCTCCTACTGCTAGATAACGTGTTCGCAAAAGAATGCGACCGCGGTAAAACATCTGTCACTATCGGCTATGGAGCGTATGACAGCCGGTAGCGAGATCTCTGATCGTGGAGGATTAATTGAAAAAGAAAAACATTTATTGACTAAATCAACATTAAGGCTAGTGTAGCTGTGAAAGGTCGTAATAATACAATTCTGTTTAGGTACCATGGCCCCTTTCTCGGTCTGGACGCTGAGCAAATTACTGAGGACGTAGAAGCATGGTGGAAACTCCTGTACAAGTTGGGCAAGCAGCTGTACGAGTATCCTGGAGCTAAGCGTATAGCGGACATGGTCAGGAATAAAGTGGAGAAGTTCAAAGTCCTGCTGCCAGTGCTGTGTGCTATATGTAACAGGGTGAGTCAGTTGTTACCGTCTTAAAGTTTGTTTTACTACTATTTTCGTGATGAATACACAAAAGGGTGATATCCATTTGTGGTGGTGTAACAGTAGGCAGCCTTAATTTTGGTGATGTTTTTTTTTCAGTCATTCACACAGTCATTATAATCAACAGCCTTTATAAGCCCAGTGCTGGACATAGGTCGCTCCTTAGAGAGGAAGTTTTGGTGTTTGCAATTTTTGAATTTTTATTACAAATATTTTTAAACTAGGAGAATGGTTCTAACACAATGGTTTTTGAAACCAATCACCAATATCACCAACAAAGTGACTTCTAAGTTTTGTGTCCATGTCACTTATTAAAAATAAACACATTTTGTTTTGTCAACTGTTTTTTTTGACATCGTAGTGTCATAAAAAAAACTAGTTCCTTTTATCTTTTTCACATTTTGATTCCTGGACCCGTGACTTCGGGGGTAGTCGTCTGTTCGGCAGAGGGCCGGCCGATTTGATCGTGCAAAATTTTTATCTACCTTCGTTTAAAAAAAAAGATGATAAGGTTTAATGTGATTATAATAAACATAAAACTTCGATGTTATGTTTTAAAATAAGAAATCTAATGTTATTTTATCTTTCTAAGGAGAGCCTACGTCCAGCAGTGGACTAGTAAAGGCTGTTGCTGATGATGTTAAATTAAATATAACTTATCAACCATGTTCACCTTAGACGACAAAATATAAATTTAGCTGGTGTTTAAAAAGGTCTTGCTTAAAAATACTTAAAACTAAGGTGGAGAAACAATAATCACGTGCGGGATGAGGTTGGGACTGCATAAATAACATCGCTTAAACCGCTGAAGTTAGAAAGAGATAGTTTGAGTCGGTAGATTGGTAGGACATAGGATAGTTTTTATCCCAGAAATTATCCTTTAAGGGCGTGAAAAGGGGGATGGAAGTTTGTATGGGGTAGCAATAACCGCTGAACCGATTCTGTTGAAATTTGATATGGAGCTAGTTTAGATAGAGATGGAGATAGCGGAGCAGCGGGCAAAAGCTAGTTAACAAATATTACGCAAAATAGAATTTAACTTGTAAATAATTTGTTAGGGTATGCGCGAACGCCATTGGGCCCGAATCAGCGACCTTGTCGGCGTAGAGGTGGTGCATGAGCCAGAGACAACACTGGCCGATATGGTTGAGCAGGGCATCCACGTATACGCTTCACAACTTGAAGAGATAGAACAGTACGCTTCAAAAGAATATGCTCTCGAAAAGGCCTTGAATAAGATGAAGGAAGAATGGATCGGCGTCAAGTTTGAAGTTATGCCCTACAGGTGAGATGGTGGCCAATGAGATCCCTGCCTCTCCTCCATCTTCTAAGTCCTGTCCATCCCAGCTACTTTCCACAGGTCTTTAGTCAATCTGGCTAGGGGGCGTCCCTTCGTTCTACGATTCATGGTAACATAGGTTATTAAAAATCTAACGTGAAAAATCAATGCCAGCTCGTGAGGGATTTGAACTCTCCAGCTCTACTACGTAAGATTTATCCCCAAGTGGGTGCTCTCACTACTGAGCTAACGAGCCGATGGGTCTAAAATTGAATAGGAGTTCCTAAGTTGACTAAAATTTAGATTAATGAAAACTTACAAAAAAACAATTCCAGCTCGTGAGGGATTTGAACCCCCGACCTCCACTGCGTAGGATTTACCCCCAAGTGGGTGCTCTCACCGCTGAGCTAACGAGCCGATGTGTTTTAAATTGAGTCTGAGGTTCCTAATAAAAAAATACTTTTGAATCTAAAGTAAAAAACAATTCAGCTCGTGAGGGATTTGAACCCCCGACCTCCACAAGGAAGATTAAATCCTCAAGGGTGCTCTCACCACTGAGCTAACGAGCTGATGTGTCTTAAATTGAATCTGAGGTTCTTAGTTAACTATATTTTAAAGTTTTAGAAACAAAAGTGAAAAATCAATAAATCAATACCAGCTCGTGAGGGATTTGAACCCCCGACCTCCACTGCGTAGGATTTACCCCCAAGTGGGTGCTCTCACCGCTGAGCTAACGAGCCGATGTGTCTTAAATTAAATCTGAGGTTCTTAGTTAACTATATTTTAAAGTTTTAGAAACAAAAGTGAAAAATCAATAAATCAATACCAGCTCGTGAGGGATTTGAACCCCCGACCTCCACTGCGTAGGATTTACCCCCAAGTGGGTGCTCTCACCGCTGAGCTAACGAGCCGATGTGTTTTAAATGAAATCTGAGGTTCGTAATTAAAATATTGTTGTAGAATTTTAAGGAAAAAAACGATTCCAGCTCGTGAGGGAATTGAACCCCCGACCTCCACAAGGAAGATTAAATCCTCAAGGGTGCTCTCACCGCTGAGCTAACGAGCTGATGTGTCTTAAATTGAATCTGAGGTTCTTAGTTCAATTAAATTTAAATATTATTGAATCCTAAAAAATACATAAATTACAGCTGGTGAGGGATTTGAACCCCCGACCTCCACTGCGTGGGATTTACCCCCAAGTGGGTGCTCTCATCGCTGACCTAACGAGCCGATGTGTTTTACTCGTAAAATGAGTCTGAGGTTCCTAATAAAAAAATACTTTTGAATCTAAAGTAAAAATCAATGCCAGCTCGTGAGGGAATTGAACCCCCGACCTCCACGAGGAAGATTATATCCTCAAGGGTGCTCTCACCGCTGAGCTAACGAGCCGATGTGTCTTAAATTGAATCTGAGGTTCTTTGTCAATTAAATTTAAATATTATTGAATCCTAAAAAATACATAAATTACAGCTCGTGAGGGATTTGAACCCCCGACCTCCACTGCGTGGGATTTACCCCCAAGTGGGTGCTCTCACCACTGAGCTAACGAGCCGATGTGTTTTAAATTGAATCTGTGGTTCTTAGTTAACTATATGTATAGTTTTAGAAACAAAAGTAAAAAATCAATAAATCAATACCAGCTCGTGAGGGATTTGAACCCCCGACCTCCACTGCGTGGGATTTACCCCCAAGTGGGTGCTCTCACCGCTGAGCTAACGAGCCGATGTGTTCTAAATTAAATTGGAAGTACTTAGTTAGCTAAAAATTTCGATAATTGAAAACCTAAAAAAATTAATACCAACTCGTGAGGGATTTGAACCCCCGACCTCCACTGCGTAGGATTTACCCCCAAGTGGGTGCTCTCACCACTGAGCTAACGAGCCGATGTGTCTTAAATTAAATCTGAGGTTCTTAATTAAAATATACTTGTAGAATTTTAAGTAAAAATTCGATTCCAGCTCGTGAGGGAGTTGAACCCCCGACCTCCACAAGGAAGATTAAATCCTCAAGGGTGCTCTCACCGCTGAGCTAACGAGCTGATGTGTCTTAAATTAAATCTGAGGTTCTTAGTTAACTAAAAAATAAAAAAATTTGAACCCTAAAAAAATATGAATTCCAGCTCGTGAGGGATTTGAACCCCCGACCTCCACTGCGTAGGATTTACCCCCAAGTGGGTGCTCTCACCGCTAAGCTAACGAGCCGATGTGTCTTAAATGAAATCTGAGGTTCTTAATTAAAATATTGTCGTAGAATTTTAAGGAAAAAATCGATTCCAGCTCGTGAGGGAATTGAACCCCCGACCTCCACAAGGAAGATTAAATCCTCAAGGGTGCTCTCACCGCTGAGCTAACGAGCCGATGTGTCTTAAATGAAATCTGAGATAAGATTACATCCTCAAGGGTGCTCTTACCACTGAGCCCTCGAGCTGATGTTTCTTAAATTGATTCTGAGGTTCTTAATTACCTAAAATTTATTTTATTTGAAAATCTAACGTAGAAATCAATGCCAGCTCGTGAGGGAATTGAACCCCGATTCGTTTTCATTTTCTCAGAACCAAGAACCAGTTTAATTTGTACGTCCAATCCTTGTTTGTGTACACAGAGACACAGGCGTGGGCATTCTCACTGGACTAGATGATATACAACAACAGTTGGACGATCACATTCTAAAGGCTCAGACAATGCGTGGCTCGCCGTACGTGAAGGCGTTCGAGGCTGACATGATAGCCTGGGAGGAGAAACTCATCAGCATGCAGGATATTCTGGACCAGTGGTTACAGGTAAGGTAACTACGGCTGCCTTCTTAAACTTAGATTCTCAAAGTAAACTCTCAATCGGTGCAAAACTTTTTGAGCTTTTGAAACGTACACAAACCAACTTGGTATTTATATACGTGACAAGACTTAACAATAAAATTTTCAAATGCCTACCTACATTTTTGTCATTTATTATTTCATGTGGAGGGGTATACTAATGGGTGGTATACGAGATATGAGATATAGGTTAAAGTTCTTTGGTTTATTAAAAAAAAAATGATAATGTCTGAAGTTAATGTAAAATATCATGATAACCAACCACCCTTAAAATACAAAAAAACGAACGTTGATCTTTGGGCGAGATCTTATAGTGGGGGCGCCCTAGAGCACCAGGGACTTCCTTTCTAGGGTATACCTGGTTCCCCGGCTTAGTACCCGAGACGGCTTGCGGTTTTAGTCGGTTCGAGTCCGACATGCCACCAATAGGTGGTATCCGAGGGGATTTCCGCTCGGAAAAAAAAAGGGGAGCCCTAGAAGGGATTTCGGGATTTATATTTTATTATTATTTAGATTTTCGGAAAACATGACATGAATATCAAGCTGAACCGTCTGTATAGAAACCGTACACGCTCGAGTATTTCGAAATGGCCATTTTTCTTTTGCATTTTTAGCATCCAAGTAACATATTCTCTAAATTTCTGCCTAAATATATATTTTTTATTTTTCCTCTAACATTTTCAAAAACCTGTAGACGCTTTTCTCACCGCTGAAACTAGAAACATTAAAACTTTTATTCATTCTATCACCTAATATTTCAAATGCAATGGAGCCCTATGACGTTCGAGTAAATTTCCAATTAGCATCATGGGTTCCCATTAGGGAAACGCTCCTGAAAATGAAGACAGACGATAGTATTATTGATGGATCAGAAAAAATAGATCCCAACGAAAAAACTGAAGAGTTTTTTTGTATGGTTGAACACACGTTAATATCAGGAACTACTCGTTCGAACTAAAGAATTATTTTAGTGTTTGATAATCCATTTATCGAGGAAGGCTATAGTTTGTTTGTTGTAACATCAACGCTACGACCAAAAGAAAAACAATGAAAATATTGCAAAATGGGGCAAATTATTCCTTTAAGAGATGCAGACAAGGGTACGCACCCTTGTCTGGGTCAGCTAGTGTATAGTTAATAAGAAGGTTGTGAGTTGTGTGTATACAGTAATGAGAATTAGTATGGTTGCTATCCTTAACGGTGAAATAGCTAGACAGTTTTGGATTGAATTCCAAATAGTTATAACTAACACCTAAGGCTGTGAGCGGACATCTATAGACTAAGAATCTACGTAATCAGTTGAAACATAAACCAGCATTTATACCGTTTTCTATACTTTTTTATTAAAACCGTATGTCTAAACCTTCACAGTGCCAAGCAACATGGATGTATTTGGAACCTATCTTCTCGTCTGAAGACATCATGCGTCAGATGCCAACAGAAGCGCGTAACTTCCGTGACGTAGACAAGGAATGGCGTGTTATCATGCAGGCCACCTCAAAGGATCCCATGGTACTACCTGCTACGGACTTCCCTGGCCTGCTGAAGAAACTGAAGTACAATAACCTTCTATTGGAAGACATACAGAGAGGACTTAATGATTACTTGGAGAAGAAGAGACTGTTCTTCCCCAGGTTTGTACTAGAGATCATCTAGGGATTTTAATTATTCCATTTAGATTATAATGTTGTTGAGCAGATATTTTCAATATTGTCAATAGTATATAAGCTCTGTAAATATGTCATATTCTCATCAACATCATCAACAGCCTATAACAGTCCACTGCTAGACATAGACCTCTCCTTAGAAAGGAGGTTTTGGCCTACTATACCACGCTGGCCAGACGGGTTGGTATAGGGTTTGTCTCAAGTTTTCCTTCGCTTTGCAGTGCTGTTGTCCTGCGTAGTTTGCTCCCTTAGTCGGCTCTTAGGTAGTGACATTCCGTATTCTTAATCCGTCACCACACGGATGTCTTATTCTAGTCGTATGTTTTTCACCTCGAGATAAAGCTGCAATTAGTAGAGGACAGTTTGGTCTGGAGTAAAAATTCTCAATGCGGATTTCAATAAGGTTTCAAAAATAAAATAAAACGGTCATTAGGTAGGTAGTATCTTTGTTTCACGTCTTAGAAGAATAAAACAGTTGTCCATTTAGGATGTACTGTGTTGTCTATACAAATAAATAAAATTGGAGTCTGTTTGTAATATTAAAATAACCGCTTTTTACTAAATGCATATGTATGTTTACACGGTACATATGCCAAAATAACATTTTTTACAATTTTTGTCTGTCTGTCTGTCTGTCTGTTTGTTCCGGGTAATCTCTGGAACGGCTGGACCGATTTCGACGGGACTTTCACTGGCAGATAGCTGATGACATAAGGAGTAACTTAGGCTACTTTTTTTAGACTAACTTCGCCTGGCGGCATTGCCCGCGGTTATAACAACAAACGCGGTTACCACCGCGGGTCTCAGCTAGTTATTAATAAACTAACTGGTGCCCGCGACTTCGTTCGCGTGGAATTTGAAAAGTTCGCTGCCTTAGTGAGTTCGATTCCCGGACCAAGCAAAATTAAATAGGGTTTTTCTGAGAGAAAAAATAGCCTAAGTGACTCCTTATATAGACAGCTTCTTGGTAGTAAAATATTATCAAAATCGGTGCAACCGTTTTGAAGATTACCCGGAACAGACAGACAAAAATATTTAAACTGGTTTTTAGGCATAGGTATCGTGCAAATAACCGTGTAAGCATGAAAAACCCTATTATTTTGACATTACAAACCGACATTTCAATTTTATTTATTTGTATAGAGTATAAATTATCTTTCTGTGTTGAACTTTCATATCTCTCACCGCCTCACATCTAAACGATCATGATATACGCTTATTATTATCAGTTTTTAATTTTTAAATACCTTAAACTAGGTCCGACCATACTAATCTTATTTTCTTCGCCTACCCTCAATTCAAAAAAAAACTTTATCTGGTCGTTGTTTATATCACGCTGTCTTTATTTCGTAAATGAAATCATAGCTTCTATTTAATGCCAATATTGATGGTGGTTACCAAGCCATGAAATTAAGTTATTTTATTTCGATAAAATTGATTTATTATTGTTTTAATTATTTTATAACAGCGTCATCTATTGGTCTATATAGAAAGTAAAGTGGATAGTACAAAACGACTTGACTTAATAGCTGTGTAATTTTATCTATTATCTATACAAATAAATAAAATTGGAGTGTCTGTTTGTAATATTAAAATAACCGCTTTTTACTAAATGCATATGTATGTTTACACGCTACATATGCCAAAATAACATTTTTTACAATTTTTGTCTGTCTGTTTGTTCCGGGTAATCTCTGGAACGGCTGGACCGATTTCGACGGGACTTTCACTGGCAGATAGCTGATGACATAAGGAGTCACTTAGGCTACTTTTTTTTAGACTAGCTTCGCCCCGCGGCGTTGCCCGCGGTTATAAAAACAAACGCGGGTAACACCGCGGGTCTCAGCTAGTTAGTTACTAAAAGGCCGGTGACATGTGTTAGTTGAGTGTTGGTTGATTGCGGTTGTGACTTAGTTAAAAAAAAATATATATATATATATTTCCTTTAAAGATTTAAATATACCTTGGGGGTGTTTGGTATTAAGTATATAAGTTTTTATTCGTAAATTAGTTGTTTAAATGTATTAACGTGGTGCTTAGGCGATCTTCTTTGCCCTCGTCCATTCCCGATACGCGGGGTCAGTTTCCCTTATCATGCGGCGCCATACATTTCGCTGGTGAGCATCCTCTGTGTAGCTATGGGAAGGCTAAAATTTCACAATTTGGTCATAGGGTCTTCCCCATACATGTCCGTAAAACTTCAGTCTGGCCTCCACAAGTGTTTCAGTGATAGGCGCAACCTTGAAACTGCCTGTTATGGTGGTGCTTTGACGATGTGAAAGATTTTTTTTTTTTCAATAAATGAACTCATTACTTAATTGAATCAACAACGACATAAATATTGACATAAAAAAAACACATTGACAAATATAAGAGCGTGGCGCAATTTTTTAGTATCATAATAAATTCTTCTTCTTCCAGTATTTATTGTTTTTGCATTTTGAAATGATTGTAATACAATTATTGTAAAGAATATGCTGCTTGTTTGGTGTTTTCTGAAAACTGTCTCGAAATCAATATGTAAGATCTAGTACTCCCAAGTTAGGGTAGATGGCGCTAAGTCTTTTGCGCAGAGGTTTAGGAATAAACTACGCGGGTTTTCTCCGTCCGATTAACACAGGCTCACTTGGAACACGTCACGTTTCTCAGGTCTTGCTAGTCGTCCTTAGCAGTGCTAGTTTGCTGCCACAGTGACTCAAACCATCTTCCCGCGTAAATATGAGTGCTTTTGTATTTGACAGCCAATAGCGCGACTGTTAACGAGGCTGTAAGCGCCCTCGACGCTGTTATTTCTAAGAGTTGTGTCGAGTAGTTCTACTCACGTCCGCCACAGCGCTGAGCGCAAGTGTAGTTTATTTTTAACTTCATCAATCATCATCATTAACAACCTTTCATAGTCCACTGCTGGACTTCTCCTTATAAAGGAGGTTTGACCTACTATACCACGTTGGCCAGACTTGTTGGTATTGGGTTTGTTTCTAGTTTTCCTTCTCTTTACAGTGCCGTTGTCCTGCTTAGGTACTCCCTTAGTCGGCTCTTATGACACCCACGGGATAAATAGGGGTGGTGAACGTTCACATTCTTAAACTTAAATTTAAGATACATCGCTGCAGCCAGCCAAAACTGGAGTGTGTCGATACAATTTAGCAGTGTTTTTATAATGCTAACAACAAAACAAATTTTGTACGTGTGCAATACTGATATTTTCGGCCTCTGCTCGTTATAGATTCTTCTTCCTGTCCAATGACGAGCTGCTGGAGATTTTGTCTGAGACCAAGGACCCTATGCGTGTCCAGCCTCACCTGAAAAAATGCTTCGAAGGAATTTACACGTTAGAGTTCAACGCTGCCAAGGAAATCATTGGAATGGAATCAGCAGAGTCTGAAGTCGTCAAACTGTCTGGCAGCATTCAACCTGCAGATGCTAAGGTAACATGGTTCTGAGATATAAGTATCACTCTGGTCCCATCCATTTGTGGTGAAGCGTGGACCACCCACGTATGAGACATACATATGGTTTTCACTTGTTCTGAGGCCCAAGTGCGAGTTTATTTCATACCAACTCGCTCTCGACAGTGAGCGCGTTTGGCGTTGTGATTGGTCCAGATTTCAGTGCGGGCCAATCACAGCGCCGAACGCGACCGTGACGATCGAGTAGACGTGAAGTAAACTCGCACTTGTCCCTCTGATTGGTATAAAGTACATCTATACCGCGGCTACCAGATTCTTTTATTGATTTCAAATAATATGAACCATGTACACTGAATCTGAATTAATCGTGCTCATATTTTTTTATATAGTAATATTACTTAAGTAAGATAAGTAAGGTTAATATCTGTAAGGTAGTATTAGTCAGATGTTTGGTTATTTAAAAGATTTTCTTAAAATATAGTATATTTTAATCACCAAAAGCGTACGAGAAGAATTGTTATTTTGGTACTATATTGCTTTTCTGTTAATTTATCTATTATTAGTACATCAATTTTTAATATTATCAAAAATATGGTTTACCCACGCAATTTAATAAGGATACACTGTCGTTTCTTCTATGGTTTTTTTTTATGTTCTACATTTCTAAGATGTGTGTTGTACTGTCATTATAGTATGTCGGTATACTGATAATAATCATATTTTCACACATCTCACACACGGCCGTCTGGTTCCAAACTAGGCAGAACCTGTGCTATGGTAACTAGACTGCTGATAAACATACTTATATATTTCTAAATACACACAAAACCCAGCCACAGAACAAATGACCGTGTTCATCACACAATAATTGGTCCTGGGTAGGAATCGAACCTAAGACCTCTGGCGTAGCAGTCAGGGTCATGAACCACTAGACCAACAGGTCAAACTGATGTTGTGTTCTCTTTTTTGTTAGGGTATGGTGGAGCGCTGGCTACAACAGCTGGAGCACCAGATGATTGTGAGCTTGCGCGACGTGAACATGGAGGCCAACAATGCGTACGCGACCACACAGCGCGAGGACTGGGTGCTGGTGTGGCCCGGCCAGATCGTGCAGGCCGGCTCTTGCGTGCAGTACACCTCAGAGGTAACGGAGGAGGGCTAGAGTTCAGTAATGCCACTAATTTTAATACTCTTATAAAGACAAACAAAGAAAACTAGATGCAAAGATTTCACGGGAATTTTCCACGCTTATCTTTTGTAATAATTTCAAACTCATACACTCTTGCTGTGTTTTATATACTTATTAACATAAGTGTACTTTTTTACAGCAGTCTAATTTACTAGCCTAATTTAGAAAACACCACACGTACTGACAATATAATAAAAAAAACGGTGATTTGAAACTTCTTTTCGTCATGGTGGCTGATAAACAGAATCACAAAAAACGATCGATATGCATGCGATGGTTCCTTTGTTAAGGTGCGAGTGTTTCCAGGCGATCGAAGCGATCCAGTCCAACACGCTGCCGCAGCTGGTGGCGCGCAGCACGGAGCAGATCACGGGGCTCGTGTACCTGGTGCAGGGCGAGCTCGAGCCCGGCAACCGCGTCACCATCGAGGCGCTCATCGTGCTCGACGTGCACGGTACGCGCCGGCCCTGCTTAACGTTACAAATAGGATATCTGTCTGTCTGTTACGCTTTCACGGCTAACCGCAGAACCGATGACATGGAGATACTTTGGTTGTTAAGGAAGGACATAGGATACTTTTTGATCAGAGTTATGATATCTAAGTTTCTTTTTTTATCTCATCCGCTTCGAAAATCAATCCTTTAAACTAATTTTAAAATCCATGACTTCCTGCACCGTCTGTAGGTTATAAAGCCATCTTATTCCTATTTAAAACTGATGACAACCCGCGAGACATCATGAACAAAGTGTCGTTTCTATAACAGAATTAGATGCAGATTATAATTAACAAACTGTTAAAAGCGTGTGTGTTGCCACCCTCTGTCGAACGAAGGGTTAAACATGAAATGAAAAGTTGTACAGGCATTTTTTAGGCCTGCACTGTTTTCGTACAAATCGGACTCTTCTAAATTTTGCCACGGTATAATCCAGTCCAAAGCGTTCTTCTTCTGGACAAGGGTTTATATTAATGTTACTCTAATTCATCATAGCTATCAAAAAAGTCTAAAATCTTTTTGCCATTAACCATTTTAAAATGTCCGTGTAATTCTGATGTCTGTCGTAAGAGCCGACTAAGGGAGCAAACTACGCAGGACAACAACACTGCAAAGAGAAGGAAAACTTGACACAAACCCTATACCAACCCGTCTGGCCAGCGTGGTATAGTAGGCCTTTTTTTTTTTTTTCCGTGCGGAAATCCTCTCGGATACCACCTGTCGGTGGCATGTCGGACTCGAACCGACTAAAACCGCACGCCGTCTCGGGTACTAATAGCCGGGGAACCAGGTATACCCTAGAAAGGAAGTCCCTGGTGCCCCGACATACCTCGGGTCATCTACAGACGAGTAGACGACCCCTTGGTATAGTAGGCCTAAACCTCCTTTCTAACGAGAGGCCAGCAGTGGGTTATTAAAAGATGTTGATGTGATGTGATTTAAAAATATTTTTTTACCCAGGTCGTTCAATTCTCGAAGAAATGGTGCAGAAAAATGTGTGTGACATATCGGACTTCAACTGGATCTCTCAGCTCCGGTACTATTTGAGAGCTGATAAGATGACGTGTTCCATGATCACGACCGACGTGGACTACGGGTTTGAGTACCTCGGCAATACTGGCAGGCTGGTAGCCACGCCACTTACTGATAGATGTTTCAGGTGATTGGTGGAACCATTTCTAATTTAAATTCTTTTTTTTCAAACATATAGTACATATACCAATTCGCGGCAAAAACAGGTTACTTTGTCAAATGTTTTCTACATTTAAATGACTAAACAAATGGTTTGTAGTAATAAAATTATACCCATGTTACAAGCCCTCTAATCGAAATTACACTATAATATAATTATATTATTTAAAGTAAAGCATTATTTTCTATCAGAATATTAATAAACAAACATTAAAACCCTCTTTAAACGTTCGGATCTGTACTCAGAAACTTTTAATCATTTTTTAAATTAATAAATAATAATAAAACGGCGTGAGGGGTATTTAGACCCCCGGGTCCATAGACCCCTCACGCCGATCTTCCTTTCGCTTCTTGGTAGACGTTTGTTATACAGTCATTATAATTTCTATTATAAAACATGAAGTAAAGAGAGTTAAAGTGAAAAATGTATGATAAATTTATTTATTATGTATAAAATAAATAATGATGAATTAAACACTGAATGATCTGGGATAACAAGGGTAACAAATAAAAAATTAGGAACTGTATAAATTTTATTTTATAAATAATACTTTTTTTAATTTTAGAAATAAACATGAATTATTTACTATAAAAGTTAAAACCATACACGGCTGTAACGATTGCTACACATTTTTCGGTCGCCTTCCCATCCACTCGTGTGAAACGCGCGAGAAGGAACTTCGTTCCAATAATAATAAATTGACACATCACACACACGGCCGTCTGATTCTCAACTAGGCAGAGCCTGTGCTATGGTGACCAGACTGCTGATAAACATACTTATATATATCTAAATACAAACATATTATAGATAAACCAAATCCAGGCACAGAACAAACGATCGTGCTCATCACACAATATTTGTCCTGGGTGAGAATCGACCCTCGGCTTAGCAGTCAGGGTCACTCACCACTAGACCAACTGGCCCGTCAAATGGTTATGAATACATATGAACCCAGGATTCATAGTCAAGTAGCGAGTTGGGTCGAGACTGATCTCTGATCTATATTAATAATATAATGTTATTCTACACAGTTTCAGAATAGTTTACTCCTTCGAGGCGAAAAAGATAGCTTCTGTTATAAATATTCTGAACAGATCGCAAGCCTGGGCGTTGTATTTCTTTCCAACAATTACAAATAGAAATTATGAAACCGGCAACCAAATCAGAATTAGTCTGTTTAGATACGTAGCATAATTGTATATAATGTTCGCTAGGACTCTAATGAGCGCACTGAAGTTGAACTTGGGCGGAGCGCCCGAGGGCCCGGCTGGCACGGGCAAGACGGAGACCACCAAGGATCTCGCTAAAGCTGTGGCCAAGAAGTGCGTCGTCTTCAACTGTTCCGATGGACTGGACTACAAGGCGCTCGGCAAATTCTTTAAGGTACGTCCATATCTGCATATTATTGCGTAAGTATGACGTAAGTCGCTTGTGACTTCACTAGATCATCAATCATCAACAGCCTATACTAGTCCACTGCTAGACATAGGCCTCTCCTTAGAAAGGAGGTTTTGGCCTACTATACCACGCTGGCCAGACGGGTTGGTATAGGGTTTGTTTCAAGTTTTCCTTCTCTTTGCAGTGCTGTTGTCCTGCTTAGTTTGCTCCCTTAGTCGGCTCTTACGACACCCACGGGATGAATTGGGGTGGTGACAATTTGTATTCTTAATCCGTCACCACACGGACTCTTCACTAGATATGTTTTAAGAAATCCAATTAAATTGCGATAATCTCAAAAATAAATACGGGAAAAGGGTAGAAGGACTTCAAGCTATATAAAACACGTCCGAAACGAAACAATAATAATATGTTACACGTACTCACATATACCCAAAACCTCCTTTCTAAGAAGAGGTCTATGTCCAGCAGTGAACTGTCAAAGGCTGTTGATGATGATTGACTCCACGGATAGCGTAGTGGTTTAAGCGGTCACCACGCCGCTTCCTACTACGCCGAGTGTTGTGGGTTCAAACCTTACATGGGACGACACTTTGTGTGATCTGCAAATTGTTGTTCTGAGTCTGGGTGTGCTTTGTGTCCGTTTCATGTATGTTTGTAAAGTCCCCCGCGACACAGGATATATTCCTAATGCGGGAGTTGTTGAGAAATAGAAAAAAGATGACACATGTAATAATTATTATGGTAAAAGAAATCGTAACAATATGGTACCTAAACTGTTTAATAACTTACCCCAAGGTTTTTTTTGAATAGTACCGATGCAAAGCAAATATTAAAAAGGGAAACACGTGAGTTTCTGTTAGAAAGCGTTAGCAACAAAATGACAAGTAAAAATAACTGGCGGTTGGTGTACGTGTTTTTTTTTGTATATTTACATCTGCATTTGCGTTGCATCCATCATCAAACTGCCAACTGTCTGCCATCATACAGTTTGGCACAAGTATGATATTATTATCATCTTTTTTCGGTTCGTAAGTATGATCATATTTCCTCCTTTCGTCTTAAATTAAATTGGCTCCCAATTCGTCAGCGTCGTCACCTGCGGGCTCTAACGACTCTACACTATTCTCAACTCTCCTAACTCGCCTACATACTTGACATCCTCCTTCCAGTTCTTGTGCTCCTATCATAACAGAACCCTTCGCTCTACAAATAATCTTCTACTCTTATGCCCACTTCTGCGTGTGTTCATTCTTCCTTCCTCACTCAATCTGTACTTCTATGGAATGCTCTTCCCCAGGATATCAGAATGGCGACCAGTCGTAATTCGTTTAGGGTGAAGGTGCGGGCTCTTCTTGACCGGAATGTAGCGAAATCATCACAAATATGATACTTTATATATTATGGTATATATGTATGTGTATATATATATAACACAATATATATGAATATGAATGTATGTATTCTTGTATGTATACGTTGTTATTTTTATATTATTTCATTGCTTTTTCTATTTTTTTTTCTCTTCTCCTTCTGTGCGAGACAGTATTACTAAAATTACTTCTTTTATGTCCACTTCATAATTCTCAACCAAAGGGTAGTGCACCTCCACACTCATTTCCACACCACCCTAAGGTAGACTGGTAGAGAATGCCTATGGCATTAAGTCCGCCATTGTACTTATGTGCATAAAGTTATTAAATAAATAAATAAATATTTCTGCAGAATGTAATTATGGTAATTAAAATATTTTTCATTCATTTTTAGGAAGAATATTAATAATAATGATGATATAACTTTATTTTCTTTGTTTAAAAAAGAATATTTTTCTATGGATAAAATTGTAAACAAGCAGAAGGGTCACCTGATGATAAGTGACTAGCGCCCCCTATAGGGGGATGTGTGGGAAGGGACTCTGACTATTTAACTAATTCACTGAAAAGTCAAAAAAATTTGGCCGTGATGTCCGAATTAGATTGTTTTGAATAAAGACACTTTTTGCCCCGCACAACCAATTTGTGGAACGGGTTATCGTCTGCGGTATTTCTGGATCGATACGACCTTCAAACCTTCAAGAAAAGAGCGTACTCCTTCCTAAAAGGCCGGCAACGCGTTTGTGACTGAGTTGCAGACGTTCATGAGCGGCGAAGGTCACTTTCCAACAGGTGACCCGTATGCTCGTCTGCCCCTCTAACTTATTATCAGTTTATGTGTATTCAATATTTTTAAATTACCGACACTCCATTTGGTATCAGGTTAGCATATTACCTAATACGATTATTTACTTTACTTCACCCTAGGGCTTAGCACAATCAGGAGCCTGGGCCTGCTTCGACGAGTTCAACCGCATAGAACTGGAGGTGTTGTCTGTGGTCGCGCAGCAGATCCTGTCCATTCAGTTGGCGATCCTCAGGAGAGAGAAGCGGTTTGTGTTCGAAGGCACGGAGATCAGTCTCAACCCGACTTGCTCTGTCTTTATCACTATGAATCCTGGGTGAGAATATAAACATTTAGAGATGTAATCATTGCCAGCAGATGATGTGGCGTAGTCGCTTAAGTTACTACTAGTTAGAAAGTTATTAAAAAATACAAAGAATGGTTGATAAGGTATCCCCTTCTTTTGTAATTTGTGGAGGTTTATTCTTACTTGTCGATTTTGAGGATTATAAGTCGCAATTTGAGTGTTTGGTTTCTTATTCATTAGATGTTTTTCTCTTTTCTCAACTCTTTGAATATAAAATATGCATATAATGCTGCTCCTACAGCTAGGTTTATCCTTTTCATTTTATTTCGTTGAGCTTCTTAAAATTGTTGTGTTTGATTTTTGTGTTAAAATTAAATTATTGTATTCTTTTGACTGCTTTCTGGAAGACATGCAAATGATGTCGTGTAAGTATGATGATGAATAACTAAAAAATCTACCACGAAATTTATCAGACAGAAGAAAGTAAATAAAGTATTGTGTGGGAATGAACTTATGAATGAATGTTTTGAATGTTATGTTCTTTAATATAAAGTTTAATATTAGTTGTATTTTGTTATAGAAACCACTATCATCTTACAGTTTTATTCGTTTATAATTATTATAAAAATAGCAATTACAATGATCAGCATCAATGTTGCACTAACTGTATGTAATATTTAAGACCAGCTGACACGTGCAACTTCGTCAGCGTCTTTTAAAAGGAATAAATTTTCCCCGTTTTTGCAACATTCTTCATTGGTGCTTCGCTCCTATGAAGAATGAAATCCTATGAATTGAAAGATTTTTTGAAATCGGACCAGTAGTTCCTGAGATTAGGGCGTTCAAACAAACAAACTCATCAGCTTTACTAACTCATTAGATTATTTAATATATCCGTGTTCTGGAAACTCACATATACAAGCTATAAATAGTTAATAGTCGTAATATGACATTAAAGAACATACAAAATATTTGACTGCCTCGTTGGTGCAGTGTTAGCGTATGCGACTGCTGTGTTGGCATCTCGGGTTCGATTCCCAGGTCCGACCAAATCTTTGTATGATCTATGTATAATATGTATGTGTTTACAAGAAAAAAGAAGTATTCTATCAGTCAATCTAGCTTTCATAGTACAAGCCCTGCTTAGTTTGAAACTAGATGGCGTTGTGTGTCAGATGTCCGAAATATTATTATTATTATCACAGATAACTTGGGATTACATCCCACCTATTTATATAGCGTAATGTTTTACAGCATATAGCTTCTTTCTAGCCGACTGCACCTAATAATGTATATTTCTTTGGGACGCTCTATAGCCTAAAAGTTTTAATGGATTTTGGCGTTTGAGGTGTCGCTAAATTGGTCTTAATAGTAAATGCCACTAGATATATGAAAATTAAAAAAAAAAATCGTCGGTTTGTTAATTTTAAGTATACATTTTTATTCAGTCGGGTTTTTTGTTTTTTGCCTCGACATGTTCGTGACGTATTGCGCCAGACTAGCGACGAGTATAGCGGCCTGTGAGTGTGTCTAATACGTTCAAATTAAAAAAGAACACAGTTATTCTATTATTTTGAGTTTTCATTTCTGTCGGCATTGCTTACGACTGCCTGCCTTTGTATTTTTTTCAATAATCAGCTCGTTTAAATTGACTGACTGACAACTACGAATAAATAATACATTCTATAGGGTTTTTGTTGGTTTAAGTCGGCTGGTCTGTTGAGCAGAAAAATCTTATTACTAAGAGAAAGAAAGAGACGTTACCTAGTTTTAATGTACGATATTGCACCACAGTTACGCCGGCCGTACAGAGTTGCCGGACAACTTGAAGGTACTGTTCAGGACGGTGGCCATGATGGTGCCAGACTACGCCATGATCGGCGAGATCACCTTGTACTCCAACGGTTTCGTCTGTGCTGGACCGTAAGTAGCATTAACATTATTTGAACTTTAGATGTTTTAAACTTGATATAAATTAATTCACAATGCGTACGCACTTGACTGTGACTTTGAACAATTAGGATTCATTATTTATTTATTTATTTTATACTGCCTGCATAAACATTGCAAAAGGCGGACTTAATGCCATAGGCATTATCTTCCAGTCAACCTTTCGGTGATGCAGAGATGTGTGTGTGTTTTGGAGCCGATGAGATACATTATTTTAAAATGTTGTCAGTTGCAAAATGTTACACTACATAGATACACTGGGTACACACAAAATAAAATAAAGTGGGGCCAACGATTGGATGGTTCCACCAGTGTAAGTGATGGTAAGTGACTACCGCCACCTATGGACACCTGCAACTCAAGAGTCACGAGTGTGTTGCTGCCCTTTCAGTCCCACTCTCAGAATCAGGGTCGGTTTGGACACCGGTAACCTCAGTCACTTGGCGAATCGCACGCCTAGATTCTGGTATAACTCGAGTCAAGCCACCCCATTATTATTGTGCCAAAGTTCCACCGCTTATTCTTAGGCTAAAATACTACGAAGTGTTGGCCCGTTGGGCGTTTTTGGGCGGACTGTCTTTAAATAAACGATTACGTCCAAAAAGTGTTAGCACTCAGTCCAATGTGAATGACTCTTGATATTGGTTTTGAAACATGACTCTCCCATGGTAAAGTTAATAGAGTTGTTTTATGATCCAGCTTGGCTCGTAAGATCGTGCAAGCGTACAAGCTGTGCTCGGAACAGCTCTCGTCACAGAACCACTACGACTACGGCATGCGCGCCGTCAAGTCGGTGCTGCTGGCCTCTGGGGCTCTGAAGAAGAACTACCCGGAGAAGGATGAGTCCCAACTTGTGTTGAGGGCAATCATTGATGTCAATATGCCCAAGTTTCTCTCACAGGCAAGTGACAATTCCACCTACTGTGTATCTACTGGTTAACTTGTTGTCAATTTTTTTTAATGGTTAATTTATTTATTATTATATTTTTATTTTGTTTTATTCTATAACATATTACGCATTGCTATCTAGATCCCAAATAAGAACTTTTGCTATGGGTCTTGGAACACGGATAGGCATGAGTTGATACATTTTTTTATAACTTAAACTTACATATATACATAGCAACACCCAGAGCAAACCAATACATATACTTAAAATACAATTAATCTGCACCATATTTGCCCCGAGCGTCCACTGCTGGACATGGGCCTCTTCTTAGAAAGGAGGTTTTGGCCTCCTATACCACGCTGCACGCTGGCCAGACGGGTTGGTATAGGGTTTGTGTCAAGTTTTCCTTCTTTTTGCAGTGCTGATGTCCTGCGTTGTTTTGCGCCCTTAGTCGGCTCTTACGACACCCACGGGATGAATTGGGGTAACATTCCGTATTCGTAATCCGTCACTACACGGACAAAACATACTTACTAATTATTATAAATTATATTAACACATCCATTACTAATTACACATCCAGTCATAAGAAATAATTTATTTTGTTTTATTTAATAGATACAGTAACAGACAACAAATCAGAACATACACAGTTACGTTGACAATATACAATACTTAAATCTGAAGTCCAATTATACACAACATTCTACTACAAAGCTTTTATAAGCATGTTGACAGACTAAAGTATTCACATAATAAACTGTTCAAAAAAAGTTCCATTATTTATTACAAAATAATTGGTTTAAGATTCACCTCTGGATGTGCAGCCATATCAACAGTGAGTGTGCTTGTAGGATGTGCCGCTCTTCGCTGGTATATATTCGGATCTGTTCCCGGGCGTAGAGATCCCACAGCCGGACCGCGCGGAGCTGTTGCGATGCATCAAGAAAGACTTGGATAAGAGGAACCTCCAGGGAACTGAATGGTATCTGGAGAAAATCATACAGGTAAGGACGAAAGGAAAGTAACATTAGTTGAAATAATTTATGCAACGTAGTGTAGGACGCCCACAAGCCACGTGGAGTGACGATTTGCGCAAGATGGCTGGCAGGAGCTGGATGCGAGAAGCCCAAAATCGATCTAAGTGGCGTGCAATGGGAGAGGCCTATGTCCAGCAGTGGACTGTGATAGGCTGATAATGATGATGATGGATTATACTAGCTATTGTCTGCGTCTTCTTTCGCGTGGTTATTTTTTGGTTCGTGTTTCTAACTTTGAAAATGACGAGCTTCCATACAACTGTACATTTCTTTTATATCGCCTTAGGGGTGAAATTTTCAAAAATCTGTCTTAATAGGTGCTTACAGCTTAACAAACATCAGCTGCCAAAATTTCAATTTTTTTAAAGAAGTTACTGAGGAGCAACTGGTTAAACTTGAGCGTCTTCAAAACCTCTGCATTAGATTCATATTTGATTTATAAATATATGATCATGTTACTGAATTTCGTAAATTGCTCAAGTGTCTCCCAATTCGACTTCGACGGAATACACATATTCTTTCTATAGTTTATAGGAGCTTATCCAATCCATCTACCCCACCTCTCTCTAGATTTACGAAATGATGTTGGTCCGTCACGGGTTCATGCTGGTGGGCTCCCCCATGGGCGGCAAGACTTGCGCCTATCAGTGCCTCGCGGATTCCCTCCGGGCGCTCCAGCTAATGAAACCGCCTCCGCGGCACAAGGAGTTCGGCGCTATATATCGTATCCTCAACCCAAAGGCGATTACCATGGGACAGTTGTACGGGTGTTTCGATCCTGCTTCGCATGAATGGTAAGTTCTGTATCTGTGTACCAGCTAAATATACTCTCATTTTGCCTAGCAAGCGTGTTGCCGTCAACCGGGCACTCTCGGAATAATATGGAAAAATTGGGAGTTTATTAAAAAGAAATCCCTGGCCTTGACCAATCAGGTTCCAAGAAATAATCGTTTCGTACGAAAGCTTGGAACCTGATTGGTCTGGGTGGGGGACTTGATCGATGCGTTACTATATTGACTATTTACTATTGAATTGTGTCAGGTCGGATGGAGTCCTCGCAATAGCGTTCCGCGAGTACGCCATGTCGGTGACGCGCGACCGCAAGTGGATCTTGTTCGACGGACCCGTGGACGCCGTGTGGATCGAGAACATGAACACGGTGCTCGACGACAATAAGAAACTGTGTCTCATGAGTGGAGAGATTATTCAGGTATTCCCCTCAACTCACTTTTGATTGCTTACACATTACTGTACCCCAAAGCGGTAGACAGAGTGTATTATAACAATATTTCGTTACCAATTTTTGTAGTTCCACATAATATGGTGAGCATGAATGCCTTTACAGCTCTCAACTCATATACTGAAAATTTACTTTTCTTTTCCATTCTATTCCCACACAGGATAAATAATTGTATGATGAGCACGATCATTTATTCTGTGTCTGGATATGTAATTTATAAATAACTAGCTGACCCTGCAAACGTTGTTTTGCTATTTACATTATTTAAAAATGTTTTATTTTTTTTAATTTCTTAAAATCCGTTCTTAGCTGAACCTCTACTCGGTGAAAAGAATATTCCTACGAAATTACAAGTCTTTAGCTCTACTGGTTCCAGGGATATCGTGATGAGTGACTATATACGTGGAAATCTCATATATATATATATAGATTTGTATGTAATAAGTATGCTTATCAGCAGTCTGGTTACCATAGTACAGATTCTGCCTAGTTTGGGATCAGACGGCCGTGTGTGAGATGTGTGAGACTGCTCATCTTTAAAGTTTCTAAATATAATGCCTACAGATGACAAACAAAATGAACTTGATCTTTGAGGCTGCGGATTTAGAGTTCGCATCTCCGGCCACCGTGTCACGGTGCGGCATGATTTACATGGAGCCCGAACAGCTCGGTAACGTACCTTAATTCTTATTTATTAGACAGTAAACAATCTATACTAATGTTATAAAAACGTTAAGTTATTTGTTTGGTGGAACACGCTAATCTCAAGAACGAATTGGTTCGAATTGAAAAAAATATTTTTGTGTTGTATAGTTTATTTATCGTTGAATGCTATAGACTATATAACATCTCGCTATCATCAATAGGAGCCGAGCATCAATGAAAATTTTGCAAAGTAAAATTTATTCCTTTTCTGAGATGCTAACGAAATTGCTCAGGTCAGCTGGTCTGCATATATAGGCTTGGTTGAACATCGGAAAGTGTGCCAGTCATCATCACTACATCTCCAACAGCCTTTAATAATCCACTGCTGGACGGACATAGGTTTTGGCTTACTATTCCACACTGGCCAGACGTACAAATAATGAGTGTATAAGAATAGCTTAGAAAAGGAAATAATAAATATAGCACAAATAAAAATATAATATTCAAATTGAGCATGGCAACGCGTCGCCACAACGCGTTACATGTTACATTCAACATAGCGTGGGGACGCGTCGCCACGCTATCAGTCGCCCTGCGCATGTTTCACATCAAAAGCGTGTTAGAAGATATTGTTATCTAAGCAAATTAAATATTATCGTCGCGCTCCTAGGTTGGCGCGCTTTCCTGATATCGTACAACGTGTATTTGACAAAGAAGTTGATCCCGGAGCAGTACGATTTGATCCAGGAGCTGATCGAGTGGCTGGTGCCGCCGATCCTAGAATTCCTCACGCACAGGTGCACGCATTTCGTCATCGTCGGTGAGATACATCAGTTCGATGTAAGTATTTGTTCAATGCTATTAGATTTCACCTCGAATTTTAGTGCAGTGGTTAAAGTATCTGTACTATGTGAAGTGGTGTCCCATGACGGAGATCGAAACCACAACACTCAGGCCAGCTTACAGTGACGCTTTAAACCACTACGCCATCCGTGCAGTCGTAGTTTGAATATTTACAGATAACTCCGACTCTAAATATTTGGCTCTCTAAATTTATTTTTTAATGAACTAAAGAGCTAATCAATTTGATATCCATATATTATAATGAAACAATTTTTTTAAGGATTCTGTACAAAGGTTTATAGGTTTACCGTGGGAGAGTCATGTTTCGAAACAAATGGACCAACTTGACCCGAGTGATAATACAAGAGAACATATTTAACAATAATGTTTATTTTTTATTTATTTATTAAAAAAAACAAGCCAAAGAACAATAATCATCTCAACAGTCGTTCAGCCGCCTTTTCACCTGTCTACTGGAGTCGGAGACGCAGTTCAGTACGATGTGGCTGCAGTGTACTTTCGTGTTTTCGCTCTTGTGGGGATTGGCCGCCACTGTCACCGGTAACAGACATTTTCTCTTATACTATATTAATTAATTATTAACACATAGCATCCCGCTCTTTCATCGTTCGTTTCGTATTATAAACGTGAGTTTTTACTAATACTTTACTTACACATACCCTCACAGGGTAATTTAAAAAAAAATACTTTTAACTGCATCCGTGTGGTGACGGATTAAAAGGAAGGAGTGTCACCACCCCTATTTATCCCGTGGGAGTCGTAAGAGTTAACTAAGGGAGCAAACTACGCAGGTCAACAGCACTGCAAAGAGAAGGAAAACTTGAGACAAACCCTACACCAACCGGTCTGGCCAGCGTGGTATTATAGGCCAAAATCTCCTTCCTAAAGAGAGGCATATGTCCAGCAGTGGACTAATGAAGGCTGTTGAAGATGATGATGATGATGATTGTTAACTGAAAGTATCTAATTTTTAAGCCAATGATCTCTTGTATTCTTAGCATCGAGTTGGGTGTTTTCCGAATATGCTCAAAACCCATTACATTCCAGGCGAAAGCCGCAAGGCCTTCGATGTGTTCCTCCGCAAGCTCCTCGAAGGCAGCAACGCGGCGTACCCTAAACCCAAGTCTTTCAAATTGACCAAAAACCAACTATTCCAAGACAAGGATACGGTGTACGACTACGTGTACGATAAGAGAAACAACGGCACGTGGATACCTTGGATGGAGTTGGAGAAGGAAGTTCCTCTGGCTCCCAATATGAAGGTATTGTACACGGATTGAAATTATATCTTAAGGTTGCAGAGAGGTTGCTATTTATGAGTAACTTACCATACATATAGTGGGAGAACCATTCTTCGGTGCCATGTGAGTACCACGTTATCACAGAAAACCGGTCTTACTTATTCAAGCAATCAACCATTTCACCGAGCTAGTGATGTTACCGGAATACACTCCTCCTACATTTCGGGAAAGGAGCAGTCAACCGCCAGCAACACACTTAGGACTCAAGAGTGGAGTTAGGAGTTGAAAGTGTCCATGGGATGGGCAACGCTACTAACATATCATCCGCTCATTAGCCAAAAAATCTGTAATGCCATCGATGACCTCTAGGACTCTCCTCGGTGACTCGGTGATATGTGAGGCCATTTTCTTCTACCTAGTTACCTAATCTCAACCCTTACAGGTGGGCGACCTGATAATCCTGACAAACGAAAACGCGTGCCTGCGCTACTTCGTCACAAAGATGGTGCGCGCGCGCATACCGATCCTCATCGTGGGCCCCACGGGGACGGGCAAGTCTTCGCTCGTCCTTAACTACCTCATGACCTTACCCAAAGAGAGATATATCACCAACACTATTAATTTCTCAGCGAGAACTACCGCAAACCAGGTATACGGAATTTAAAACGTAAAATTAGCCTAAAATTAAGCAAAAAGAAGGAAACACTATACCAATTCGTCTGGCCAGCGTAGCATAGTAGGCCAAAACCTCCATTGTAATAAGCCTGTATCCAGCATTGGTCTGTTAGGGGCTGTTGTTGAATATTTTAAGTTCGAAATTGAAAAGGTTTGTTTCTTAGTTACGATTACAAGCCATGTCTATTTAGCCGACCATACAATTCAAATTCTCCGTCACCCAGAAAAAATATTTTGCCAGAAGGTGGGCAAAGTTACTTCCACGCGAATGAATCACGAGCTTTAGCTAGCTGTGAGCTTTTTTTCTAAATTGGCTCATCCTTGGCATCTACCTAGATTCATAGCATAGTTATTTCAGCTTCTACTATTGAATACAAGGCTCCGACGGTCATCTATATACCCCTGATAAATCTAGCTATCTTGACTTTGAGCTTATATTGTTAATTAATACAGATTATATAAAACAGATAACAACAAATGAATCAAAACTGTAGCAAATAAAGTTCAATCTAGAGCAATCACTACCAGGTTACAACACGGTTCCCGTGACGTCCGCTCATGCAGCAAACTCATTCTTTAATCTACTGTTAGTGCTTTTGGCCATACTGATTAAGAAGACCACTTCATCAACAGCCTTTACTAGTCCACTGCTAGACATAAGCCTCTCCTTAGAAAGGAGGTTTTGGCCTACTATACCACGCTGGCCAAACGGGTTGGTATAGGGTTTGTGTCAAGTTTTCCTTCTCTCTGCAGTGCTGTTGTTCTGCGTAGTTTTCTCCCTTAGTCGTCTCTTACGACACCCACGGGATGAATAGGGGTAGTGACACTCTGTATTCTTAATCCGTCACCACACACTTAGCGTAGATAAATTATACACTGACTACGCAAGGTGACTCTGCAAATGTTTGGTGACCTTCGGAATATTACTACGAGTATATGTTTTCTTACTATGGATCAAAGCAGTTCATAACATTGTTAAATTCTATTGGTTACAGACACAAGATATCATCATGTCCAAAGTGGATAGGAGACGTAAAGGTGTGTTCGGACCATCTATGGGTAAAAAGGTTCGTATCAGCAATGTACTCAATGCCATTCGTATTGTTGACATAAGAATATTGTGACCTGAGGATCCGCACTGAACTCTTCACCAATCGCAAAGCCAAACGTAGACACCGTGAAAATCGAGTTGGTGTGAAATAATAATCTAATACATAAAATTCTCGTGTCACGGTGTTAGAACTTGAACTCCTCCGAAACGGCTCAATCGATTTTCGTGAAATTTTGTGTGCATATCGGGTAGGTCTGAGAATTGGCCAACATCTATCTTTCATACCTCTATTTTTTTTTTGACAATAAAAAAAAATGTATATGGTAAAACAACGTTTGCGGGGTCAGCTAGTATTAATATAATATTGTACCACATTCACACAACGCCATCTAGTCCCAAACTAAACAGAGCTTGTACTATGGCTACTAGACAACTGATATAAATACATACATACTTTTTTTTGCAAATACATACATACTATGCATAGAAACACCCAGACCAAATCAAACATTAAATGTTCATGCACACAAATGTTTGACTTGAGCGTGAATCGAACCTACGACTTTTGGAATAGCAGTCTATTACACAAACAACGAAATAAACTCACACTATGTCACCCCGATACTAACTTCGAACTTCGTCAAAGATTTAGTACTCGCAGTAACTCGCAGAAAATAAATTTTATTTAATACGTTTGTTGAAATAAAAATAAAATGAACTAGTACAAACAAACCTGTATTTTAATGACAGAGTTTAAAAATGTTGCTACTCCGATAAAAAAAAAATGATTTAATTAGTATTATAATCAAAATTACTAATATTTCAGTGTGTATTGTTCGTGGATGACTTGAGCATGCCCCAGAAGGAGCAGTACGGAGCTCAGCCGCCGCTGGAACTGCTGCGCCAGTGGATCGACCACGGCCACTGGTATGACCTGAAGGAAATGGTCAGACAGGAAGTAGTGGACGTGGTAAGATCTGGTTAAAACACTTTAAAAATCTTTTTCGTTATACATTTATTGACAAGTAACACACATGTTTTCACTTTATATAGTCGTGTAGACCTTAGATTGTCTGTTAAAATACTCCACGAAAAGATTTCAAATGCAAATATTTTTTTTAATAATCATTTATCGTTCCAATCTTAATACTTTTTTAGAATGTCCATTTAACACATAGTTTGAAATATGTTTAGAAATAGGGCCTTATTTTATTCATGTATTATGAAATAATATTATAAATTGTAACTAGCTGTAATTATGTAGATGTATTATTATTATATTTGTTTAAAGACAACTCCCGCATTAGGAATATAACCTGTGTCGCGGGGACTTTACAAACATACATGAAACGGACACAAAGAACACCCAGACTCAGAACAACAATTTGTGGATCACACAAAGTGTCTTCTTCGTAGTTTTAAGCGGCGTAGCGACCGCTTAAATCTGTGCAGTCAAAATGTATAGAGTTATGATACACAGATAATCATTAATTTTAAAACATGTAATAAAATAGATTTTATTTCAGATTCAGAATGTTTATTTGCATAAGACAGGTATTAATTACATGATATTCAATTTACAAACAGGTTCACTGTGCTTTACAGCTATGGGTGTGCAAATTTTCAATTTTGCCTGTGTTCTTTCAGCTCTTCGTGTCAGCCATGCTTCCCCCAGGTGGTGGTTCTAACCTGATCACAGGCAGGCTGACTAGACATATGCTGCTTGTTACCCTGGACTCGTTCGAAGACAACACTTTGAACAAGATCTTTGTAACTATTATGGACTGGCACTTGGCAAAGGGATTTCCGGAGGCTCTTCAGAGACAATCCAAGGTTCGTATTGTTTTACTTAGAGATATGTTTCACAAAATTTGTGTAGATGTTAGATATTTTTTACTGACTTTAAAAAAGGACCTCCTCCAGTCTTCGTTATTTTTGAACCGATTTGGAAAATTCTTTGGAATGGTATACTTACCGTTTGATCTCATTAGGGAATAAAGAACACAGTTTGTTACAATTCACCATGAAGTAGTCTACTGCTGGACATAGGCGTCTCCTTACAAAGGAAGTTTTAGCCTACAATACAACGCTGGCCAGACGTGTTGGTATAGGGTTTATGTCAAGTTTTCCTTCTGGTTGCAGTGTTCTTGTTCTGCAGAGTTTGCTCCCTTTGTTGTTCTTCCTTCCCTTTTTTTGTTGACGGGGTGGAAAATCCGTATCTCCGGCTCCTTGATGTAGGAGCCAGGAGTATGTGGTGTTTCCACTAAAAACAACCCGACGGCCGGTCTCAGGCGCCCTACTCCGAGGAGGACCCGGACCTTAATATTTCAGGTCCCCCCCGGATCGACGCCGCTCCCAGTAAAGCCCTATCCCGGGGAAGCTGCGGGCTTCCCCCTCCTATCGGCCCAATCGTTATAATATGTTGCGGCCCGATCCCTTTGTTTGTTTGCTCCCTTAGTCTACACTTACGACATTCATGGATGGATAGGAATGGTGACGCTCCGTATTCTTAATCTGTCACCACTCGGATATATTTCTTTTTTTAATTATTTTACTATTTCTAGAAGATAATAGCAGATTCTTAGCCAGAAAATGCTTACACTTATCCCTTAATCCTAAACTGCTAATTTTTATCGACTGAATATACTCACTGTTGTGTTAAACTTCTAGGCAATAGTCGGTGCCATAATGGAAGTGTACAAAACCGTTACTCTTCAATTCCTCCCGACGCCGAGCAAGTGCCACTATCTCTTCAACCTGCGGGACTTCGCGAGAGTCGTGAAGGGTATACTGCTGGTGCCCGCCACTCACATGAAGGAGCTGAACAAATTGGTCATACTTTGGATTCACGAGACCTACAGAGTTTTCTACGATAGACTCGTTGATGACACTGATAGGTGAGTCTTTTTTATCGTGTCATTTTTTTAGACTGTGTAATCATCTCTAATCACCAGAAATAATTCAACTGCATGTCTACGTGCTTGTTTACATACGTACGTGTCATTTTGAATCATAGTATGGTATGAACGATATTTTCAGTAATTAAAAGTAATTAAAATTCAAAAGGAAACACAGTCTTAAATTGTATGTAAATTCTATCGTATTTATTCTATGACACGGGGGGCAAATGAGCATACAAATTAGCTGCTGTTAATTGACTACCGCCACTCATGGACACCTGCAGTCACAAGAGCGTTGCCGCCCGTTAAGCTCCTCCCCCAGAAGCAGGGGGGAGGGGGGGTTGGCTCCAGTAACCTTACTCGGTGAAAAGCAACGTTAGAACACTTCAGTAGAACCTGGCCCATTTGTACCGAAACATAGCTCTCCTACGTTTTTAAATACGACTTTATTATTTGTTAACCAAGGTTCAGTCCTAACCGTGGATAACCTTTCAGGTTACGTCTGTTCGACATTGTGTACAAGTCGGTGTACGCGTACTTCCGCGTGCACTGCGACCAGGTGCTGACGGACATGGGGTACGTGCGCGAGGGGGAGAAGTGCGGCAACAGACACGCCGCCAACATATTCTTCGGCAACTACATGGAACCGGATGCTGATCCCAAAATATATGATCAGGTAAATATGAAGTAATCGAATTGACTGCACGGATGTTGCACTTAATGTTGTGTGTATGTATGAATGTATTTAATTATCTACATATAAAAAATGTAGTCTGTTTGTGTACGCCTCAAAAATTTAAAAAGCTCTGCATCGATTGAACTCAAAACATGACACGATATACGACCTGCCTTAAAGATGGTTTTTATAAGTTTCGTTCTGCATTTCTCATCAATGCAACAAAAATATGCCATGGGTACATAATATAGGGTACACCCTGCCAAGCTTCGCTGTGACATATTGTGCTTACATATATGTACACATATATAATTTACAGATTACATGTTTATATGTATTAGTTTATAAATATTTATGTAACGGCTGTACGCAACTGTACTCGTATTGTAAACTGCATACGTAAGAAATTGTAATTTATTTATTTATTTATACATCATGCACTTTTGACTTAATGCCTAAGGCATTCTGTACCAGTCAACCATTGGGTGATGCAGAGAGAACAGAAAGTAGGTGCATTCTTGTCTTGTAAGTTAGGCAGTCGACACCACACTCTATGTACGAAGTCTAAAGATTAAACACGTTATTAACGCATATCCTCTCTTTAATTAATCCGTCGCCATAGCACCCGCCACATGTTTTGCAAAGATTGTCTGCATATAATTTCAACTACTGTTTTATTTACCTTTATCGAAATCAAATGTTGTATGCTGTGTAAATATTTAATGATTCTTTTACACTTCACACCAAATCTATGAATGAATTCGTCTATTTATAGTCGTTTTATCCGTTCAGAGGGTGTCTTTTGCTTTCTAGCGATAACGCCGCCATTTGTGCTTGTTCAATAATTTGGTGCACTCTTTTAAAAAACAAAAAAGAATTGGTGTCCAATAAAGTTTTTTCTATTCTATATCTCTTTATCCAGGTGCTGGACTTGAACGACATGGCACAGAAAATGGAATACTATTTAGAAGAGTACAACGTGGTCTCGTCGTCTCCCATGTCGCTGGTGATGTTCAGATACGCGCTGGACCACATATCAAGATGCTGCCGCGTGCTGCTACAAGATAACGGTCTTATTTCAATATTCTATGATGATTTCAATATTCTATGATTCTTTTACCGATGTAGTGTAGCCTTTAGTGGTTATTGTAGATGTCGCTATTGTGTTATTTTTGGTTTGAATCTATTTTAGCGAATTATTTGTTTGATCCAGAGAAAAATGGGTTTGTATGCGTGTGATAATGGTCATTATTAGTGTATTGTTACAATTGTATAACATTTTACTAAAAACTTAAGTTTGTAGGTTCTTCAAAGAAACAATAGTTATTGCAATAATCAAGTCACAATAAAAACATTATACGCCCTTGAAACATGTGTTCCTCACATTCTCGTCGGATAAAATCTTGTTCGGCATTTATAAGTTTTTTTAACCCAGCGCTGGGCTGGTTCTAAAAAAATATCCGGCCGCACATCGTGATTGGGCCGTTTAGGAGCTTGCAGCTTTCCCTGAGATATGGGTTTTTAAATGCCGTGTCGATTTGGGGGGGGACTGTGAAATCACATGGTCCGGGTCCAGAGTAGGGCGCTTAAGATTGGCCGAAGGGTTGGTTTTAAGAGGAAATATACACCACATACTCTTAGCTCCTGCGTCCCCAAGGGATTGGCGATCCGAAGGGATCTTCCATCCTGTCACCAAAAAAAAGGTTGGTTCTAAAAAGACTTTGTTAGTCCCAAGTTGAACCAAGTGTCAATTAACATTTAAACAATTGAAAACAACCCAAACCAACTCATTTCGATTTCTGACAAATTGTGACACTTACAATGCTTTGATTTAATTTACTTTCATCAACATCATCAACAGCCTTTAACAGTCCACTGCTGGACACAGGCCTCTCCTTAGAAAGGAGGATTTGACCTACTATACGCTGACCAGACCCCGGTTGGTATAGGGCTTGTGTCAAGTTTTCCTTCTCTTTGCAGTGCTGTTGTCCTGCGCTGTTTGATCCCTTAGTCGTCTCTTACTTACCCACGGGATGAATAGGGGTGGTGACACTCCGTATTTTTAATCCGGTACCACACGGTGATTTACTTTACCTATATGGGTTTATTTACAAATATATTTATAAATAATTTGCAGGCAATTTGCTGTTAGTGGGTGTAGGCGGCAGTGGTCGAAGCAGTGCCGTTAAATTAGCTGCTAGCATTCTCGAAATGAATGTCATACAGGTATGTGATTCTTTAGGTAATAACGAAAATGTTATAAAAAACCATTTGAGAATAGAATCCATCAATAATTTCTCAAAATAAATGTCCATGAAAGCAATGCTTCTGCACAAATGGGTGGCGGTAGTCACTTACCATCTGAGGGCCTAGTGTGAGTTTATTTAACACTAGCTGGTACCCGCGACTTCGTTCGCGTGGAATTTGAAAAGCGCTACCTTAGTGTTGTATCATGGTACGCGACGGTCAATGAGGAAACCTCGATTCCCGGAGCGGGCAAAGTTTTATAGGGTTTTTCTGAGAGGAAAACTAGCCTAATTTACTCCTTATATAGACAGCTACCTAGTAGTAAAATATTATCAAAAACGGTTCTGTCGATTTGAAGATTACCCGGACCAAACAGATGGACAGACAAACATATAAACTGGTTTTTAGGCATGGGTATCATACAATTTGACGACCGAATGGCGTAGTGGTTTGTGTAACGGACTGCTATTCCAAAGGTCGCGGGTTCGATTCCCGCTCAAGTCAAACATTTATGTGCATGAACATTTAATGTTTGATTTGGTCTGGGTGTTTCTATGTATAATAAGTATGTATTTACAAAAAAAAGTATATATGTATTTATATCAGTTGTCTAGTACCCATAATACAAGCTCTGCTTAGTTTGGAACTAGATGGCGTTGTGTGAATGTGGTACAATATAAAAAAAAAAACATGTGAGCATGAATAAACCTATTATTTTAACATTACAAACAGACACTTCAATTTTATTTATTTGTATAGATTTACTCGATCGTCACGGTGACCGCGTTTGCCGTTGCGATTGGCCCACACTTAAATCTTAACCAATCACAACGCCAAACGCGCGCGTGGAGCTAGTTGATGTGAAATAAACTTATACTAGGCCCTCTGATAACCCGTCTGATTGTTCGCCCCCTATGCAATAAAAAAAAAAGCCGTGTGGTGTCGTTGGACACCCGATAGGAACTAAGTTGTTACGATCGAGTAAAACTGATTAGACACGATTTTAATTACAACGCCATCTATGAAAGCGGCTATTACCTACATATTTTTCAGTTGGTTTCTAATTAAAACAATTTATACATTGGTAAAATCTCCTCGAGAAATGATGTCGAATACAATATTTTTTGCTCAACCTAAGAACATAAATTTTAATTTTACTATTCGATAGATGGCGCTGAATGACTGACAAGTGACAATTCAAAATAAAAAGTGTCGTGACCAATTTTCGTAAGAATTTTTTCCGTCTAGCCCCCTTTCACAACGCGCGATAAGGAACTTCGTTCCAAAAAGTTAAGTTTACGTCACTAAAAATGTGTAAATATGTTAACAGATAGAAATATCACGAGTATACGGTCAGACGGAGTGGCGCGATGACATCAGAAAGCTCCTCATGAAGGCGGGCATCATCGGGAAGCCCCTGGTCTTCCTCTTCGCTGATAATCAAGTAATTTTCTTATAATTTTAGTGTATATATCGCTAGCTATAACGCTAATAACCAAACAGACTGTCTGTTTAAGAATGTGTTCAATGCCAGCTGCAACCTTCAATTTGTTGGTCCGATGCAATATGCCTGCACGGATGGTGCAGTGGTTTAAGCGGCCACCACACCGCTTCTTGCTACGCTGAGTGTTGTTGGTTCGATCCCCGCGTGGGACGACAATTGGTGTGATCTACAAATTGTCGTTCTGAGTCTGGCTGTGATTTATGTCCGTTTCGGTACCACGACCTTAAAGAAAACCGGTGTTAAGCATTACTCCCTTTGCTTTACCGGAGCCCAAAACCTTCAAATGATTGAGTCGAAAATCATTGAAATTTTCTAATGGAAAATTCATCATCTTTTTATAATTAGAATTTGAGGAATGATATCACAATGAGTAAACAGAACGTTTTACCAAAAACAATTTAGTAAATACCGTATACGGTCAAAAACTGCAATGTAATTAATCAAACAGCCGAAGTGCGCGGGGTATCCCCTCCGGCCGCCAACTTGTGTTAGTGTGCGTAGACTGTTTGCACGGAATACACATGTAGTTATTACTTTTGTGCGATACCTACAGGGAATCACCTTGACCTTTGACAGCTGATTGCATAAAAAGTTCCTTTCCCTTCATTCAAAGTTCATTTTCCTTTAGAAAATTCCAATGATTTTCGACTCAGAATGATGGTTTGAATCCAAATTTCAGCATTCGTTACGACGTCCCTTACACACTGTATATGAATCTTGAGTTATGACTTCATTACTGTCCCATCTCCTCCGTCAAAGAATGTTGTCTTCACATTCAAATGTTTTATAAGGCTGTTCCTCGTGTTCCTCTAGTGGACCAGACTAACCCAGAGATTGCTAGAATGTCGGCAATTTTTAATGAAATGAAATCTTTGTTCAGATAATGTACGAAGGTATGGTGGAAGATATCAACATGCTGCTGAATACCGGCGATATACCGAACTTGTACGGTATGGACGAGAAAGTGGAGATATTGGATAAGATGCAGACGGCGGTCAGGGATGCGGTGAGTTTCTTGATAACTAATCTTATCAGACCTAGACGGGCCCTATCGGTTTAGCGGTAAGCGATCCTGACTGCCGTGTGGTCTGTCCGTGTGGAAGGAAAACTTGACACAAACCAGAACGTCTGGCCAGCGTGGTATAATAGGCCAAAACCTCCTTTCTAAGTAGAGGCCTACGTCCAGCAGTGGACTTTTAAAGGCTGTTGATGAGATGATGATGATCCTGACTGCTATGCCAGAGGGCGTGGGTTCGATCCCCATCAGGACAAATATTGTGTGTGATGAGCACGATCATTTGTGTGTCTCGGTGTAATTCTTTTATGGTTTTGTATTTATTTAGAAACATAATATGCATATGTAAGTGTGTTTGTTTGGACTATATGTGTCCTGTTGATGGTAATAAGCTTGCGTCTACTTGCCCATTAGTTCAACTTGGAACTTAAATGGACTTAGGGCCGGTTTTTCAATCTCGGATAAACTGTTAGATAGCATTTATTCCATACAAGTAATGACAAGAAAAGAATGACACAAATGCTGTCAAATAGCTCGTGATCCTTTTCTAACGTATTACTAACTGTATAGCTGCATCTCGCTTGCGCAAATTTACAAAGAACTTAGCTATGAAAGATTATCTAGTAACTACCTGTCGGTTTACACCCGATTGAAAAGCAGAAAAAGTTTATTCGCTTGATAAACAGCAAGATAAATTTATTCTTGTGTGATCCACAAATTGTTGTTCTGAGTCCCCCGCAACACAGGATATATTCTTAATGCGGGAGTTGTCTTTAAAAAAAACCATGTTAGTTTTCTAACAGTATAACTGAGGATTAAAAAACCGGCCCTTAAAAAATTAAAATGTGGCATTTTAATAATCATCTGTTCCCTTTGTGTATTAAGACACGAGTCAGCAAGCAGTCAAGCAGTCTTATCATTATTTACACACATTTGGATTTCTGTAGAAACCTTCGTATGAGAATAATATAGAGAACTAGCTGACCCGGCAAACGTTGTATTGCAAAACAAAAAAAAATTAGGGATGGATCACCCTTACCATTGAGGGGTATGAAAAATAGATGTTCGCCGATTCTCAGACCTACCCGATGTGCACACAAAATTTCATGAGAATCGGTCAAGCCGTTTCGGAGGAGTACGGGAACGAACATTGTGACACGAGAATTTTATATATAAGGATGTACTTTTATAAAATTAAAAAAATAAGAGAACAAATTCGAACTATGGTTAAATGCTATTCAGTGAAGAGCCGCACCTCATCCTTGGTGTGCCTTTATCCACAAATAGAACGACTCTTTGTGTTGCGAGCGATATCATCCTCTGTTCTCTGCAAAAGAAAATCGACATTAAAGTCAGTGCGAAAACAATGTATAAATATTTTAAGAAAGTAATTAAATGACCTAAATTTGTTGTGGCTACGACAACTATGTATAATAGGTGATGCACATACCTACACAGAGCGCAGAGAAATTCACGATTCTGATAAAACCACGCCCATGTTTCATGCGCGCGCGCATGTCACTTGCGAGCCGTGAAAGGCAAATTGTACTATAAAGTCGTTTTTTAAATGTAGATATCATCGGCAGTGTACATAAACGATCTCAGTGGCGTGCAATGGGAGAGGCCTATGTCCAGCAGTGGACTGCGATAGGCTCATAATGATGATGTGTAGGAAATATCTGTACTCAAAAAGTTTTTTTTTTAATAGGGTCGAAAAATTGAGACCACCCCGCTAGCCATGTTCACCTTCTACGTAGAGAGAGTGAGAGCTAACCTTCGCATCGTCCTGGCTATGTCTCCTATTGGCGACTCTTTTAGGAACCGCCTCAGGATGTTTCCGTCTCTGATCAACTGCGCTACGATTGATTGGTAAGATGTCAGTTAATTTGTTAAATTATATTTAAAAAAAAAACTAAAAAACTAGCCGAACTAATAAGTAGAAAATATTTTTTTATAATTTCTAAAAGTAGTAGTAGTAGTCTAGTAAAAATACGTGGGGTGCTAGATCGCAATTGTTGTAAAAATATTGTATTGACAGATATTGGTAAAAGTAAAGTTATTATCAAATATCTTGAAAAGCACCCCGCTTTTATTTTTGCTTTTTTAGGCATTAATGATGATTATTTCCTCATTAAGACTTAAAAAGTAAGAAGAAAGTAAGTCACATATGTGTCAGCACACGTCTCTTAGTACGTAGCAAAAGACTGTATTACCATATTTTTAGGTATGGAAAAAGCCGTTAATCCTGAAGATCCTGCAAATTAAATTAAAATGTAATCGCAAACAATTTTTTACAATAAAATTCAATTTATTATACTAAAGAAAAAATGTAATGTCAATTCAAAAAAAGTAGTTACTTAAACTATGATTTGTGTAACGATGAACGTGTATAGGTTCACGGCGTGGCCGCCAGAGGCGCTGGAGGCGGTGGCGCGCATGTTCGTGGCGCGCATCGAGAACGTGGAGGAGGAGCTGCAGGAGGCCTGCGTCGAGATGTGCCAGCTCTTCCACATGACCGTCGTCAAGCTCAGTGCAGAGTACGTGACTTAACAAATGTTTCGAAAAATTTGGCATCGCCCACGTAGAAGTAATTTTAACATCTCTCGGCACCATTTTGTGAGAGATGCTTGGGTAGTAGATATATTATTTTGTTGTATCCCTTTTTTTTTTAACGTGTGGAAATCCCCTCGGACCGTCACCCCACCGGGTTTGCGGCGGGGTGGTGTGTCGGACTCGGACCGACTAAAACCACACGATGTGCCACTCTGCGCCTGTAACAGGAGGGATCCGGGAACTGCTGTTATTAAGACATCCGGACCCCTCCTAGCGCCGGCCCGCTCCAGTTGCGGGCTCCGTCTCAAAATTCTCCTCTCTTTGCGGCGTCCGCGTGTGCCGGACGTCGCCCGCTCGCGGCTGGCCAAACTAAGGCTTTGTTGTATCCCTAATGTATGAAAAATTACATTTATAAAAAAAATTATACTGTATGGGTATAAACCCTATTTTCACGGCGGCTATTTTTTTTGTGGCACAAACGAGCAGACGTGTCACCTGATGGTAAGTGACTGCCGCCGCCCATTGACACCTGTACCTCACGATTAACAAGTTCGCTGTTGCCCTGTGAGTAAAAAGAGGGTCAAGGAGAGGTTTGGGCTCTGGTTACCTCTCACTCGGTAAAAAATAACAAAAAACATTGCATAATACACATGTTTTAGTTTTTATGCGGAACAACGCCGGATGGTATACGTCACTCCGACCAGTTTCCTGGAGATGATCAAGGCCTTCCAGAATCTGTATGCTATGAAAGTCAACCAGATCACCAGCTCAAGGATCAGGTAATATATGTCTCAAAACTTATCCTGAATACGTTAAAATCACATGCTCTACTAAAATCATCATCATCATCATCAACAGCCTTTAATAGTCCACTGCTAGACATAAGCCTCTCCTTAGAAAGGGGTTTTTGGCCTACTATACCACGCTGGCCAGACGGGTTGGTATAGGGTTTGTTTGTTTTTTTACTTAGTCGGCTCTTACGACACCCACGGGATGAATAGGGATGGTGACACTCTGTATTCTTAAGCCGTCACCACACGGATCTACTAAGAACTAGAAAATAATATTGTCCCACGTTTTAGGTACGAAACTGGACTCGAACAGTTAGATTTTGCTGCAGGCCAGGTCGCCGTTATGCAACAGCAACTAAGAGACCTTCAACCATTGCTTGTGGAAACTTCAGATAAGACGGAGAAACTAATGATCAAGATCGAGCAGGATACTGTCGTGGTGGAGAAGCAGAAAGAAGTAAGACTTATTTTATTATATCCTGTATGTTTGTTGTGTGGAGTGCTTCGCTACTTACAACTGTACTAGAACACAGGAGGGGTTTACCTTTCCGATGACATTGATTACTAAAACTTATTTACCTTCAAAAAGTTGGAGGTGAAATATGGAATCAAACCCACATCACATCACATCAACAGCCTTTACTAGTCCACTGCTGGACTTAGGAAGAAAGGAAAGGAGGTTTTGGCCAGCTATACCACGCTGGCCAGACGGGTTGGTATAGTTTGTTTCAAGTTTTCCTTCTCTCTGCAGTGCTGTTGTTCTGCGTAGTTTGTTCCCTTAGTCGGCTGTTACGATACCCATGGGATGAATAGGGGAGGTGACACTCTGTATTCTTAATCCGTCACCACACGGATTATGTAAAACCCAATGCTTAGGCTATTGTTACTAATATAAGCTGATTAATTATTTTTCTGTTCCTGCTCTTATAAAATACTTAAATTCATTTCTTTAAAATCTTCTTATCCATCCATCTTTTCATCTGTCTTAATTCTCGCTTTGCTCAAGATAAAGATTGCTCTCAATTGACTGTTTTTTTTTTATTTTGAACCTAATTTCCATTGTATAATTTCGAGAGTCAAAATATATCCTTAAGGTGTTTTCTGTACTGTAATTATTTTTTTTTGTATTTCCGTCCGTCAGTAGTCCGTGATTATTACCGCTCCAGGTATAGAAAGTAACTTTGAGACGTTGACGATTAACGTAGTACTTATCCTACAGTTTTGAGTGCCCTCTGTTGTATAGTCGTGCTCCATATTTGTCCATATCATCACTTTTATTATTATTATTGATGAACAATGATGACCCGTACTTATTATCCTGCTATAGATTGTAGGAGCAGACGAAGCCCTGGCTAACGAAGCCGCCGCAGCAGCTCAAGCTATCAAAGACGATTGCGAATCTGACTTGGCTGAAGCAGTTCCTGCCCTCGAAGCGGCCTTAAACGCCCTTAACACCCTCAAACCAGCCGATATTACCCTCGTCAAGAGTATGAAGAACCCACCAGCTGGTGTCAAGCTGGTGATGGAAGCTGTTTGTGTGATGAAGGGTATCAAGGGTGATAGGAAAATGGATCCAAGCGGTAAGGTTTTTCAGGAATCATTTATGACACACATTTAGTAGATAACCTCTTTAAAGTCAATAACGGGAGTAAAATGAACTATACCAATAAAATTACATTGACAATATAAGTTGGACATTGACAGTGCTAGCGTCAACTTATGGAATTTCACTTTTTGAACAATTATGAGCTTTCTTGAAGTTCGAATTTAGACTATAATTTGCTATTTTAATTCGTTTTGTTTGTCTCACTGGCCAGTACAACTGTCCTTATATATTTGTGACTATATTAGGTATGTCGACTATATGTTTAGGTTACATTTTTAGCACCATTATTGATGTAGGTGTAATTTTCAAATTTGTAAAACATTGTTTAAAATGTGACGATGTAAAAAGTCTAAATGCGCTATATTATTCAGTCATTAATCGAATTATTATTCTAAAATGCTTGCTATATTTAAAATTTATCCTTCTGTATTCCCTCTCAAATTTGCAATGTCGGAAAGAGGCTACAAGTTGAGACTAATTATTATTATCAGACCATTTATGTACACTTGGTTGGCAAAAAAAAAGATAGATTTGACTTGAAAAAAAAACTAGTTTCTGCACTTCGTATGCCTGTTACGTACGTATACGTATTACTTTGTACGTATACCTACGCAAGTTTAAGTATTCCATATTTGACGTTGATCTTTACTTTAAAAAAATATTTTTTTTTCATAGGAAATTTTCAGTTTTACTTTGTCTAAAGTCGCAAATAAATATGTACTACTTAGTTATAAATTAAATTTAATATTATTTACAGGCAAAGCAATTGAAGACTTCTGGGGTCCGTCACAGAAGATGCTCGGTGACATGAAGTTCCTGGAAAGCTTGAAAAACTACGACAAGGATAACATACCACCGGCTACTATGAAGAAGATCAGAGATAAGTGAGTAACAGTTCGTAAACACACGTCCCATTTAAAAAAACATGTCCCTTTATCGGTTCCATGTACTTTTATATTTCGAAATCTCCCACTGTAACTATATGCGGTAAATTGCGACCCATAAATTTCGATACGACTAAATAATGTCTAAATATTAGCTTACGGAGCCTGTGGAGGAATTGGTGTCACGTCCGAAGTGATCATTCTCCACAGGCCACGGTCCAACAGGTAGAAAGCTGTCGGTATATCAACAGACGTGAGAACTTTTATTGCGCGATACAGAATCGTTGTGACGTCACAGTGTCTTCGATATTTGGAATATATAAAAAAAAAAGAAAATCGTCAAATACTAACCTAATGATTAAAATTTCATTTCATGTGAGAAGCATCACGATTCATGTATCTGCACTTGATTCCCTCCCCCAGGTATATCCCGGACCGCGAGTTCGACCCGGCTGTGATCGCCAAGGTGTCCTCAGCCTGCGAAGGTCTGTGTCGATGGGTGCGAGCCATGGACGTGTACGACAGAGTCATCAAGGTAAACTAATATGCGGCGAAAATTAATTTATTCAATTCTAATTTTAATAAGCCCAGTATTTTTAAATAAAGAAATCAAGGACAAATATAAAATGGTAATAACAATTCTATGTATATTTAGAGTGTGAATATTAAGATCCACCAATCAACTGCATAAGCTTATTTAGGCGTTTTATTCAAAGACTAGTAAGATATAAGACAGCAATAACATGAGTTATAATGCGTAATCTAGTTAAAATAAAAAATGTATTTCACATTAGGTACTTACACTACTAACCAAACTAGGCAAAACGCCTGTATTTTGGCTGTCAGTGTTCGGTCGTGGAAATTTACATATTAGTATTTGAAATCAGAATGAGTTATTTACATACACGTACAACGGCTCACGAATGTGTCAGGTGGTGGCCCCGAAGAAGGCGGCGCTGGCGGAGGCGGAGGCGGAGCTGCAGGCGCAGATGAACACGCTCAACGCCAAGCGGGCGCAGCTGCAGGCCGTCTTGGACAAACTACAGGTTAACTCAATACCCACTAACTATTATTAGATGGATAACTCTTTTCACATTTTTTCACTGACAAAATATGTTTATTACTTTTACCGCTCAAACGGCTGGACCATTTTTGATAAAATTTTGTATGCAGGTAGCTGACCCTGTAGACTAAAACTTGACTACTTTTTATTTTGAAAAAAATGTAGTATTCCAGTGGGATGAGCAAGGAATTTTTGGATCTGAAAGAAGAGTTCGTTATTTCTTCCAATATCAAATCGGCCGGGACCCTTCAAATTGAAAATCAACAGCAGACTATATGATTAGAAGAATGTTCTTGACTTATGATATTAATAACGAGCCTAATAGTCTCGTGGTCAGTGTACCTGACTGCTGAGCCAGACAGCATGGATTCAACTCCCAACCTGAATCATCATTTCAACTGAAAAACGTCCACTACCGGACATAGGCTTTCCCCAACGTTAGCCACAATAACCTGTGCTGCCCGCATCCAACCATTTCCCAACCTGAATACATCACGCCAAATAAATTAATATATTAAAAGAAGTATATATGTATTCAGAAATAACAGCAGCCTGGTTAACATAGTACAGGCTCGGCCTAGTTTTGGAATAGCAGACCGCCTGCTGGCCGCGTGTGAGACGTGTGTAACTACGAATGAAATGTAAAATATAAATTCAATTATCACTTTTGCTGAGTGACCGTATTGATAATTACGTTGATTGTTACAGTTAAATATTGATAAAAGGCTGTTTTATCTTATATCCCGTTACTAGGCGCTGAACGACGAGTTCGCTGAAATGACTCGCAAGAAGAAAGGGCTAGAAGACGAGATAGACCTGTGTTCTACTAAGCTGCAGCGTGCTGAGCAGCTCATTGGTGGACTTGGGGGGGAGAAGGCGAGGTGGACCGAGCTGGCGCACCAACTGCAAGTGCTGCTGTCCAACATTATTGGTAGGTGACACTCCTATAAATTAAACTTCTATAAATCATGATCAGATGAGTACCAGGAGTGCTTTATACATATAACTCTGTTGAGATGTGGTAACTTTAATGGTCGTAATGTTAAGGGCTTAAACGAACGGACGGAAGAGTTCTTCTGTTTTTTCTTGACTCCGTACAAGACAGCATGACCTCACTGGCTCGTGCGATAACTGAAAGCACTAATGAGTCTTATCACTGAGACCTTCCTGAGGTCATCACGTTGACTCTAGCCCACTGAGGCTCAGGTATTTCGTGGAGCTACCGTATTAGGTACTTCCTTGTATCATAGACAATTCTCCGCTACAATTCTGTCGTGTCTATATTAACTACATTAAAAGTTTCTAAATTTTATACACACAAATGTAATTTCAATAATTTTGGAAACTGTTGTGACATATCCAATACATAACAGCATAGGACTAATACCGGCCGCAACTTGCCGCCATAGTTCCACACCGCAAAATGTTCATCCTCACCACTAATTGGCCACTACTGTACGCTTTTCAAGACACTTATACTAACTTTTAAACTTTCGCGTTCCATGATAATTAATATTATTTAACGGGTATTAACGCGATCTCTTATTTAGGGTATTACATACCTCTGGTTTGCCTGACGTTTCGACCAGGTCCTGGCCAACATCTGGATGGAACATTTTGAAGAGGAGGCTTTAAATCTCGGCCCGAATACCGTTAAGCTATGGAAGCGATACGTGGATGACATTTTCAGTATCGTCAAAGGAAACAAACAAGAAGTGGATCAATATATACAACATCTTAACTCTATTCACCCCAAAATGAGGTTTACATATGAAATGGAGACGGACAGGTCGTTGTCCTTCTTAGATGTTAAAGTAGCCGTGAGATCGGATGGGTCCTTGTCACACTGTGTGTACCGTAAACCTACTCATACGGACAGATACCTACACGCCACGTCTCATCATCACCCCCGGCACTTGCAATCTGTTATGACTTCACTCAAAAACAGAGCTTACGATCTCTGTGACCCTGAACATTTAGAACAGGAGCTAAAACATGTCGTGTCGTAAACAACGTCACAATAATATTAATAATTTTCAAGACACATTTTGCCCCACACAACCAATCTGTGGAACAAGTTATCGTCAGCGGTATTTCCGGACCGATACGACCTTCAAACCTTTAAGAAAAGAGCGTACTCCTTCCTAAAAGGCCGGCAACGCGTTTGTGACTCCTGAGTTGCAGACGTTCAGGGCGGCGATAGTCACTTTCCATCAGGTGACCCGTCTGCTCGTCTGCCCCCTCTTCCATTAAAAAAAAAGCATTCCAAACCAAAATCCCATAAAAAAATCAGCTTTTTGCAAAAAATGCTATTTATGAAAGGTGAATAGACCTCTAGTAGTCTACATCGTAGTAGGCCAAAACCTCCTTTCTAAGGAGAGGCTTATGCCCAGCAGTGGACTATTAAAAGCTGTTAATGTGACGTGATGATGTGAGTCTACATCTCTTGATACTATTTCCAGGTGATGTGCTGCTGGCTGCCGGCTGCATAGCGTACCTCGGACCGTACACTGTTAACTATAGGAAGGATATAGTGGTCGTGTGGAACAAACGTGCTGTTGCACTTGGTGAGCTCTCTTACTACACAATAACACTTAGTTAACAGATGCTGTACTTTACAAAGTATATTTAGAATAATACACGTTTTATAAAGTGTGGGCAATATCGATCGCTGGACTAAACACACGACGCGTAGTAGTATAAAATCGCTGATTAGGTATAATATAATATAATAATATAATATTGTACCACATTCACACAACGCCATCTAGTCCCAAACTAAGCAGAGCTTGTATTATAGACAACTGATATAAATACATATATACTGCTTTTTTTTGTAAATACATACTTATTATACATATAAACACCCAGACCAAATCAAACATTAAATGCTCATGCACACAAATGTTTGACTTGAGCGGGAATCGAACCCGCGACCTTTGGAATAGCAGTCCGTTACACAAACCACTACGCCATTCGGTCGTCAGGTAAATCTGTAATACTTATCTCAGTGGAAATAAATCGGGTTTTACGTTAACTATAACACACTCTTATTTCATCTGAACATCACCTACAACGTCCAAACTTCCACTGCTCCAACAGCTATCTGATGTCACTGTACTTTATATATGACGGGTCTGGTTAGTCTGGTGGTTAGATCCTGACGGCTCAACCAGAGGTCAAAGGCTATTATTATTATTGACTGCACGGACTTGATTGCACGGACTTGATTGCACGGATGGCGTAGTGGTTTAAGCGGTCGCCACGCCGCTTCCTACTACGCAGAGTGTTGTGGGTTCAAACCCCACATGGGGCGACACTTTGTGTGATCGACAAATTGTTGTTCTGAGTCTGGGTGTTCTTTGTGTCCGTTTCATGTGTGTTTGTAAAGCCCCCGCGACCAAAGGAAAAAAAAAGAAAATTATTAGTAAGATTAAATCTAAGAGAGATAATGATATGTTTTGTTTGCAATATTTGACTATTTATTCCTAATTTCTATATTATAATGTCTGCATGGATGGCGTTGTGGTTTAAGCATTAGTCTCGCCGTTTTCTGCTGCGTTGAGTACTCAATCCTCACATGTGACGACACTTTGTGTAACCACAAATTGTTTTTGGGTGTGAGTCTCGGTGTTTTTTGTGTCCATTTCATGAATGTCTTTAAATGATATATTCCTAGTGCGGGCGTTGTCTAAAAAAATGTGTTTATCCCCTTAGTCAGCTCTTACTTACCCACGGGATGAATAGAGGTGGTGACATTTCGTATTCTTAATCCGTCACCACATGTTTATATATAGTAGAAATGCGCAAAGCTAAAATTAAACAATGTGCTGGAGAGTAAAATAAAAACCTGTTAAAACTACTACATAAAGCTATATTAAAGTCACATTAAATTCCAACTAACTAGGGATACGATGTTGTAAGCATCTGACAGAAACAAGGCACAATTTGCAATTTAATAAAAAAAAATACAATGAATTATGATCTGATTGCAGAAATACCCTGCTCGGAGCAGTTCTCTCTCATCACGACCCTGGGTGAGCCCGTGGTGATCCGCGCCTGGAATATTGCTGGACTGCCCGTGGATGCCTTCTCCATCGAGAACGGCATCATAGTGGAGAAGTCAAGGAGGTGGCCGCTCATGATTGACCCTCAAGGTAAGCCGATTTTTTTAAATGGGTGATTTAAGTTATTACGAACTAAAGATAGAGATAGGAGAAGATAGAGTGTGGCAAGGTCTGTGGCACATTGTAGTAGCATTAGTGAGAAATAAGGTACAAAACTGACGCAGAAATACGACGAGGTAAAAAAAATCTTTCAAGCGGAATGTATATCGTTGCTTGATCTCAATCGGTGTAGAAGTTTGAAGCATACACACACCAACTTAACATTTTATGTAATTCTATACATAAGGCAAAGACGAGCTGATACACTGGTTGAGTAGCAATAATTCAAGTATTATGGGTGAAAAGTTTTTCTGTTGTAAAATGGAACCTTAAGAAAATGATATTATATTATCTATACATTATAAAATTACTTGCCCTGATTGAATGACTGATCATTCAGAGCCTTAAATAAATAATTAATAATTTCAAGTGTGTAACCCCCCTGGGGGGAAATTTTGGGTAGCTAATGATGTTTATCTCTTATTTTACCCCTAAGGGATAAAATAAGAGATGAACGGTGTATTAACTTCGTTATTTTCAAGGTTAGAAATACGAAATAAGAAAGAAAGAAATAGTTAGTTAAACTAACGTTTGTTTGACCGCTCAGAACAAGCCAACAAATGGGTGAAGAACATGGAGCGAGAGAACCAGCTGAAAGTAATTAAGCTCACCGACAGCAACTACGTGAGAGTGCTGGAGAATTCCATCCAACTCGGCTATCCGGTCATACTCGAGAATATCAGGGAGATGCTGGATGCTGTACTGGAACCTGTGCTGCTTAGAAATGTATTCAGGTAGCATACAGTTTCACCTTATGTATATGCATCAACAATACACTACACTGCACGCGACTGCACGCTGAGTGTTGTCGATCCCCACACGGGACAACACTGTGTGATCCACAAATCGTTGGTCTGAGTCTGGGTGTTCTTTGTGTCCATTTCATATATGTTTGTAAAGTTCCCGGCGACAGGATATATTCCTTACTCGGGAGTTGTCATTTAAAAAAAAAACTACACTCACATTAACTACCTTTTGTAACTAAGAACGAGAGCCCCAGTACCCATACCTACGTAGTTTTCGTAAGAATAATTTCTTGGAACATGATTGGTCTGGGGGCGGGGCTTGATCGATGCGTCATTATTTTCTTAACGCGAATCTTCTATAGACAGCAAGTTGTTTTCCGATGCACAACTAAAATCGAACACTTCAATAATAAGTTTCGACTGCACGGATGGCGTAGTGGTTTAAGCGGTCACCTCGCCGCTTCCTACTACGCCGAGTGTTGTGGGTTCAAACCCCACATGGGACGACACTTTGTGTGATCCACAAATTGTTGTTCTGAGTCTGGGTGTTCTTTGTGTCCGTTTCATGTATGTTTGTAAAGTCCCCCGCGACACAGGAATGTATTCCTAATGCGGGAGTTGTCTTTTTAAAAGAATCAGAAACAAGTTAAATGTTTGCCATAGGTCCGGCGGTATAGACTGTCTGAAGTTTGGAGACAACATCCTGGAGTATAGTCACGACTTTAGGTTGTACATCACGACCAGGCTGAGCAACCCCCACTACCTGCCTGAAATCGCTGTTAAGGTAACTGTACAGTTATAATGGTACGTTCTTAAAAAATATAAATTACTTAGTTACTCAGTTCATCCGTGTTCATGGCGCTGCAAAAGTGCCGAAATATCGGCAACTAATATTAGAAAATGAACTTGATAAATATCCCAAGACCACTGACCGCCCGAGACCGGAATAGCTGACCCTCCTTGGGGGAGGCCTTCGTTCAGCAGCGGACGGGGATTTAGATTCACAAGTGCATTAGCGCCCTTTCAGTTCCTCCCCTCCCCACCGCACTCACTTGGTGAAAAGCAACGAAAGACCTACTTATTTCGGGTTTTGTGGGGCCGTGGTATGACTCCGTTTGAGCCGGACCCATATTCGCAGAAGCAGAGTTCTCTCGAAATTTAAAACACAGTTAAATAACATCACACTGTAAATTTACATAGTATGAACCTTGAGGAGATTTATTTAATTAAAATGCCTGAAAAAAATGGTACATTTATTGAAAACAGTGAAACTTCAAGTAAAGTTTGATCAAATCTTCTTTTCTGGGCGATAACATTAACACTCTTCAATAGGTCACTTGTATGTCCTTGCTCACAACAAATAATAAACATTTTTTTTAAAATACAGGTAACTTTACTGAACTTCGTCATAACACCTCAAGGGTTACAAGACCAACTCCTTGGTATAGTGGTGGCGCAGGACCGCCCTGAACTAGAGCTTAAGAAGAACCAGCTCATTGTGGAGGGTGCCAACAACAAGAGAACCCTGAAAGAGATTGAGGATCAAATTCTTGAGGTAATTGATGATGTCATACAGAAAGAAAAGTTAAGAGTTATTAATGCGATCAACAGTTCATCAGTGCTTTTTTTTTTAACGTCATCTCATGGTACCAAGTTTTTCTGGAGATTTGGTTAATGTATCTGTACTTCCTTAATCAGGTACTATCATCAGCCGGCAATATTCTAGAAGATGAATCAGCAAATCGGATCCTCTCCTCATCCAAAGTGTTGTCCATCGAAATTGAGGCAAAACAGGCGGCTGCTGCCATCACCGAGTTAGAGATAGACGAGGCCAGGCTTCTGTACGTGCCCGTCTCGTCTCACGGCTCGGTCTTGTTCTTCTGTATATCAGACTTGGCAAACATTGATCCCATGTACCAGTACTCTTTGGTTTGGTAAGTGAAGGAGAATATTAATTGAATGTAAGGTAAACCGTTCATTCACCACAAGTGACATCCGTTCAAGGGCATTAATTCACACTCTTCGTCATTGTAGAGGGACTATAGGCATTTTTTTTAAAGAACACACGTATTATGGATATATCCTGCGTCATGCGGGACTTTATAGATATACATGTAACGGACACAAAGAACACCCAGACTCAGAACAACAATTTGTGCATCATATAAAGTGTTGTCAGATATTGTCTCCAAGGGCGGCAACGCACTTGAGACTTTTGAGTTGGAGGTGTCCATCGGCGCGGTAGTTGCTTACCATCAGGTGACCCGTCTGCTAGTTTGCCCCCCTTATACCATAAGAAAAATGTGGGGATCGTACCGACAACACTTAGCTTTGTAGAAAGTGGCGAGGTGACCACTTAAACCGTTACGCCGTTCGTGCATTGAATTTAGTACGTGACTTTACATGTAATATGACGTAACATTAGACACTATCATATACCATGATCTCGATGCTTTATCATCATCATCATCAGCCTATCGCAGTCCACTGCTGGACATAGGCCTCTCCCATGGCCTCAATGCTTCTGTTTTACAAAAAGCTAATAGAACCCTGAATAGTGGTTTTCCAAGATCTGATAATAATGACGTACTGTACTTACTGTTCTATTCTTGTTGCTATAGACGTCGCCTCTCAATCTCGTTGGCAAAATTTATGGCATTTTTGGTAGACTTCAAACTTGTTAAATAACATACCATTTATGTTCTGGTGAAAACTTTGGACATGTGATGACGGATTAAGAATACGGAATGTTACCACCCCTATTCATCCCGAGGGTGTCGTGAGAGGCAACTAAGGGAGCAAACTTCACAGCACAACAGCACTGCAAAGCGAAGGAAAACTTGACACAAACCCAATACCAACCTGTCTCGCCAGTATAGTATGTGAAAACCTCCTTTCTAAGGAGATGTTTTTGTCCAGCAGTGGACTGTTAAGGGCTGGCAATGACGCAACGACTTGAAATGCCTAATTTTAATGTATATTTGGTAGGTTTATAAACCTGTATAATCAGGCGATCATAAACTCACCCAAGAGCGACATCCTAGAAGAGCGCATTGAAGGGCTGAACGCGTACTTCACAAGGAGCATCTATGAGAACGTGTGCCGCAGCCTCTTCGAGAAAGACAAGCTGATCTTCTCTCTCGTTCTCACGCTAGGAATTGCTAGAGCTAAGGTAAGTGTCGATTTTGTTAAATCAATCAGATCGTCATACGTCATAAGTAAAATCATAAATCTATATCCCTAAGGGGTAGCTACATATTGAAGTACCATTTGTGCCAACTGCAACACAACCCGTCATGACGTATCTTTATTCCTTCAGGGTACTTTAGACGACGAACTGGTAGCGTTCTTGCTGACGGGCGGCGTGGCCCTGGACAACCCGTACGAGAATCCAGCCCCCACCTGGCTTACCGATAAGTCCTGGTCAGAAATCGTGCGTTGCAGCAACATGAATGAGTACGTACTGTTTACTTAAGTTTTAAGTAAACAAAATAATAAAAATAAATATAAATAAATGTCTAAATAAATGTCTTAGCACATCCATCATGTCAACACATTAAAATATCTCTGGATAATTTCTTAGGCCAAAAACGGCCAACAGTTTCTATATAAAAAAAATTGGTGAAGAAACAGAAAGGCCAATTCGGCAAATATTTTGCTTTAACCAGCAAACACTTATCAAAGGGAACACCACACTCTTTTATACAATTAAGAAATTTATACCAATAAGTAACATGTATGTTATGATAGATAATTTTAATATAATTTAACCACCTCTAGAAAAGGGATACCCAAACTGTTATGGGCAAGATACCCCTTTTCCAAAATGAACTGATACCTCAGACCCTCATAGCCAAATTACTTTATAAATCCTAGCTTTAGTTTTTTTCTATTGATACAAAATACTTAGCAGTTCAAACCGTGGTATTAAATATAAACCAGTTTCTCATCGAAATTTAACAAAATAAATAGACATATTATTCAGTCTTGTAACAATTTGGTACACATAACACAACTTATCTTGAAAGTTTCAAATAAGAACTCGTGTTAATTAATAAAAGGGTGAGTTTTTAGACCTTGTCGACCCCGAAATCAGTTTTCGTCTCCTTCGTCTGCCTCTGGGAAATTGATTTCGACCCCAAGGGGTCCAATATCAACTTTGGGAATCAATGCTCTAAAGTTTATAAGAAGTAAAGTATTTTTTCCAACTCTCTTTTTCAAAATCAGAACTTGACATTCATTTTATTTATACAGATTAAAAGGTTTCAAAGAACATTTCGAGAAGAACCTGCCTTTATGGAAGGCATTCTACGACCTGTCCGCCCCTCACGAGAGCTCCTACCCGGAGCCGTTCGATGAGATCGAGGGCATCGCCAAACTGATAATACTCAGGTATATATTACAGTGTTTGATTCAATTCCCATGATCTATGTGACCTCGCAACCTACTCATAGAACAACGTATCTAGTAATACTAAGTGTAGAAAAATTGCTCCCCATAATTTTCACACCTTTGATCTAATTCTTTATACTACTTTCTTTTTACATTCTAGAAAACGCTTATATAATACCTACTAATATTACAAACTAGCATTTATTTAGCTTATGTGCTATTCCAGACTGATTAATACAGAACATAATATAATCCAGACTATAATTTATCTTTGTGTCAAATTTCTGCAGTCATTGAGTAACATACATCTATACATCCTCACAAACTTTTACTTTAATATTAATGGCATCCGAATGTGAGTTTATCAGTTTGAAACATTCACGCAAATGAAAACGATTATAGGGCCTAGTGTGAGCTTTTTTACATCAACTCGCTCTGGACGGCGAGGGCGTTTGGCGTTCCGCGATTGGTGAAGATTTCAGTGCGGGCTAATGGCGACACCGAACGCGATCACCTATCGATCGAGTAGATGTAAATTAAACTCACACTAGGCCTTTAGTGAAAAAAAGTCTTTCTAATTAAATTTTAGAATAAGATAGGTAAAAATAGGTAAAAAAAATTAGCAAGTATAATCATTATCCAGATGCATTCGTCCAGACAAGATGATTCCACTTGTGCAACAGTACGTGGTGTCTCAAATGGGCCAGACGTATATCGAACCTCCACCTTTCGACCTGGAGAAATCATACAACGACAGCAACTGCTGCTCCCCTCTCATCTTCATCCTGTCGCCGGGATCCGACCCCATGTCAGGGCTAGTCAAGTTCTCCATGGAGAAGAAGGTGTACAGCTTCGAGACAATATCGCTCGGACAAGGACAGGTGAGGGATAGAGACGTACTTTAGATGTGTAACAACTGTCCTCTTTCTTTTCTGCAATATGTGGGAGTGATTTCGTTGAAAAGGACGGAACTGTATAACAGATAGCCGGCAAAGCTCGCGCAGTTGGTTTTGAAAAATCAGGCCGTTTGGACTACAGAGCGTGGCAAAGAAACATACATGCATAGTAATACATACGACTGCCTTGGTGATGCAGTGGTAGCATATGCGACTACTGTGCTGAGGTCTCGGGTTCGATTTCCAGGTCGGAACAAATGTTTGTATGATCTGCAAATTCTTTTTTCGGAGTTTGGGTGTTTTCTATGTATAATATGTATGTGTTTACAAAAAAAAAGTATTCTAACAGTCAATCTAATTTTCGTAGTACAAGCTCTGCTTAGTTTGAAACTAGCTTGGCTAGACTGCACGGATGGCGTAATGGTTTAAGCGGTCGCAACGCCGCTTCCTACTACGCCGAGGGGTTCAAACCCCACATGGGACGACACTTTGTGTGATCCACAAATTGTTGTTCTGAGTCTGGGTGTTCTTTGTGATCGTTTCATGTATGTTTGTAAAGCCCCCCGCGGTACAGGACATATTCCTAATGCGGGAGCTGTCTTTAAAAAAAAGAAACGAAAAAGATTACGTTGTGTGTCAGATGTCCGATACATACATACCTACATACACTTTAAAAACAAGATCTTCCTTTTGGTACAGAAATATAAAAAGGTTAATTATGTTCCCTAATTATTCATCAACTTACTGTTCTAACGTACGTAATGTTCTCAATATTAGTTTGTTGTCTAACAGGGTCCCATCGCAGCGAACATGATCAATCAAGCTATCATCACTGGAGGGTGGGTGGTACTGCAGAATTGCCACGTGATGGACTCGTGGATGGGTGAGCTGGAACGAATTTGCGCCGAAGTGATCATACCGCAGTCTACTCATCACAACTTCCGCTGTTGGCTAACTTCGTACCCGAGCAAAGCTTTCCCTGTAACTGTGTTACAAAATGGTGTGTATAGACATTTTTTTCAATTGATTTTTGTATCTTCTTCTTTAATGTCGGAATTTCCTTTGGACCCTAAATGGGCAGAAGGCATCCACGGCCAGTCTCTATCTCGATTGGTTCCGAGACTCGTGCTTTATTTCGCTCTACGTCTTGCCGATGTGCCGAGTTTGCCTTGGTCGACCACGCTTGCGCCTTCTCTGGGAGTTTCAGTCCAGAGATACTTGGAGGTCCAGAGGTACTTGGAAATGTAATCGGTGTCCCTTCTGAGAATATGGCCAATCCAGCCCCATTTTTGGCGGTTAATCTGCTGGTCAATCGGGGTTTTCTGACAGCGTTCCAACAATTGTTGGTCTCGGCGCAGTATATGCCCAGAATTCGGTGAAGGCAACGGTTAATGAAGACCTGGAGCCGCTGCGAAGATTATTTTATGGAGTATGTCAAACAATTAGACCGATCACCTGTTGGTAAGAGACTAACGCCGCTCAATAATACCTGCAACTGCAGAAATAGGGGGGAGTTGAACCTGCATGGCTCTCCCACTTCAGAAATTCAGCAGTACCCACACCTACACGCTAGAGTATTTTAATGATAGAAGTTTTAAGTGTCAAATTCGATCTTTTGCGGTATCTTCAATATTATAAACATACGGATAGGAAGCTTCAAAAAACAATAAAATAATAAAAGTATAACCAGGCAATAGACCTTATTATTTTGACAAAACATTTTTGTTTTTGTTTCAGGTGTCAAAATGACTAACGAAGCACCGAAAGGACTGAAAAATAACATCTACCGTTCATACATCTCGGATCCAATCTGTGACCCCGAGTTCTACATCTCCTGCCCACGTACCGAGGACTGGCGGCGCTTGCTGTTCGCGCTGTGCTTCTTCCACGCCATCGTGCAGGAGCGCCGCGCCTTCGGCCCCCTCGGCTGGAACATACAGTACGAGTTCAACGAGAGCGACCTCCGCATCTGTATCATGCAGCTGCAGGTTCGTACCTGATACTATCATACTGTAGTCATAGTCCACTAATGAAGATGATGAAGAAGGCAACGAGATAATTCAACGATTTAGATTGATTTCAACAACTTCAATCAATATTGTTGCCTTAGATCTTAGACTCTCAAAGTGGAAAGTGTACTGGGCTGTCAATGTTGCGGGTAGAGGATTCGATTTCGGGACTAAAATATGACCGAGATCCCGGGACCCCGAGATCCGGGATCCCGGGATCTCGGTCATATTTTAGTCCCGAAATTTTCGGGATCAAATTTAATTAATCCCGGGATTTTGATACATTGATGTTTTGACAGCCATCTTGTCTACACAGCTGATTTCATTTGTTTTTGCTAATGACCGGTTCTGGATTATGCGTAAAAGTGTGTAATTTATAAAGTTTCTGGGCTATTTAATTAAAAAATATGAGTAGGTATTTATAAACATTGGTCTCTTAAGCATATAGTTTTTTTTTTATAGTTTATCTAAATAAGTCTAAAGAAGTTGATTTTTTGAAGTTTATTGTTAGTTTCATAAATTATTTACCGAAACACAAAACAAACTAGGCACTACTTTGTTTATTTTATAAGAAGAAAGTATAATTTTGTTTAACCGCCTTTTTGGAGATTTAAAACTTAAATATTCTATGTCCTCACAAAACTAAATGATAAACAAAAAAAATTGATTATTGTTACCACTTTTCATTGCCAAAACGATCCCGGGACTATCCCGGGATCACGAGATTAACTGTAGATAATCCCATAAGATCGAATCCTCTAGTTGCGGGCCTATACCCATATGACTATACGCTGGTTCAAATTATTGAAGAAGGAGTTACTTTGAAGTGATTGGCTTTCTACAATGCAGATTTATGTATTTTTTATTTCTGCGGCATATCATAGGCCTTTAATAGTCCACTGCTGGATATAGACCTTTCTTTAGAAACGAGGTTTTAGCCTACTATACCACGCTGGTCAAACGGGTTGGTATAGGGTTTGTTTCAAGATTTCCTTCTCTTTGCAGTGCTGTTGTCCTGCGTAGTTAGTTCCCTTAGTCGGCTCTTACGAAACCCACGGGATGAATAGGGATCGTGACACTCCGTATTCTTAATTCGTAAGCACCAGGAAAATACTGCAGTAAATCACAATCGTGGAAAAAAAGAAAAGGAAGGGAAAGAAAACTGACGATAAGCAATTCTTTTGTTGCTTCCCCTAAACTCCCTCCCCTAGGAGGGAGGGGCTCAAACTGTGGCAACTTGAGACTCTAGTTGTAGTTGTGTAGCTCAATAATTGGTTAAATACCTATTGTGATGAACTCATAAATTAAAAATAAAAAAATAAATGAAGCGGATGGAGCTTTTTTTTTTCGCTTTTACCCGATCATGATGTCACCGGGACCTTGTTTATCTATTATATAAGTAGTCTATATTTTTATATCTACACTATCCTTGTCAGATGGGTTTTCTGACATTCTATATCTTGGCTAGCCTTACGTATTCTATTTCCTTTAGTTTTAGGTACAATTTTCTTTAGATTAAATTAAATTTAATTTAATTAATTTAGCGGATGGGGCTTTTTACAGATGTTCCTAAGTGAGTACACGGAGACACCGTTCGACGCGCTCAACTACTTGGCCGGGGAGTGCAACTACGGTGGGAGAGTCACTGACGACAAGGACAGACGTCTCATTCTGTCTCTGTTGTCCATATTCTATAACGAGGAGGTCACTACGGACCCTGAGTACGTATTATTTGTTAACGTTCCCGTTGTAATTTCGGTTGCTAGTAATCCTTTTAATTAAAAAAAATATAACCCAGGAAGATAACACCGATGTTGAAATCTTACACACACAAAATAATAAAAAAAAACGATATATTAGTAAAGTATATTAGTAAAGTATATTAGTAAAGTATATTAGTAAAGTATATTAGTAAAGTATATTAGTAAAGTATATTAGTTGAGAGTTGAGACACCTATTGGAGGCTCTTGTGAGTGTGAGAGAGAGAGTGAGAGGACAGCAGGGGGACAGAAGGGAGATGGGAGAGGGTGGGGACATTACTTAGTTAGAGAGGGCTTATCCTTTGTCGGTCTTCAATTAGTAATATTTTTATCAACAGTTACTGGTTTTCACCGAGCGGTGACTACCGCATGCCACCCAGGTTGGACTATAACTCTGTTTTGGAACATATCAGAGCCCTGCCCATGATTGCCAAGCCTGAAGTGTTTGGCTTACATGAGAACGCTGACATCACCAAAGATAATAAAGAAACTGGTGCGGTATGTACCTACTACTTGTTTTTAGATACTTACTTTTGATTCATCAAAAGCCTTTAATAGTCCACTGCTAGACATAGGCCTCTCCTTAGAAAGTAGGTTTTGGCCTACTATACCACGCTGGCCAGACGGGTTGGTATAGAGTTTGTGTCAAGTTTTCCTTCTCTCGGCAGTGGTGTTGTCCTGCGTAGTTTGCTCCCTTAGTCGCCTCTTACGACACCCTCGGGATGAATAGGGGTGGTGCCAGTCTGTATTCTTAATCCGCCACACGGATACTAGTTTTGATTACAAAGTAAAAAAAAGCTGTCTCAACCAGCCCTATACCTATCGTATGTTTGAATAAAAACGATTGATCTTTTCGCCTCCAAATATTTCTTATGTTTGGCATAAACCTAAACAGTAACAGTTTTCTTCTAAAATGTACTCATATTAAGAGTCCAAATAATTGCCTTAATGACTACAAGCAATGTGATTAAACCTATGGATTGAACTGAAAACGTTTTCACGTCAAAATTATACTGGATGCTTTTGACTTGTAACGTCTCTTAACAACTTTAGGAGAATACGTCGTCAAACGTGAATAGGAGACTTGACATTAATTATGCCTTACTAACACCCGGTGTTTGAAAAGCTGATCAATATGTTGTCCTACTAACAACTTACGGGTAAATATTTTTTATTTTTCTGCGTCACTCTTTTCCTGCAGATATAAAATTCACCGTTGGTAATCGTTATCAAGCACATTACTAAAATCTTTTAAAATAAACTGAATATCTAGTCTTTTCATAATTACAGGAATTCAGTTATTTTCAAAGATTTTGTTTTATTGTTCATTATGTTACCCGCGGAGTCAAAATTGCGTTTGAAATAAGATTTTGCAGTAAAATTTTACAACTCATTTAACAGATATGAAGATCCAATCAAAGTACACAGACAAACCGCTGCTGTCTGTATTTGTAAATATGTGTGCTTGTTTGTGTCCACCAGCTCCTGTTCGGCACATTGCTGACCCAGACGTCAATAATGAGCAAGGGTGGTGGGGCCGAGGGCGGAGAGGGAGGCGGCGTCGTCGACATGACCAAGGACATGATATCCAGATTCCCCAAGTCTTACGATGTGTACGAAGTCTCCCTAAAGTATCCCGTGTTGTACTATAATAGCATGAACACTGTGCTCAAACAGGTGAGAAAACATTATGAACCGGTGGTGAACATTATGAACTGTGTGCTCTTGCACACAGCTGCTTTTAAATGAAAAGCAGCTGCCAAAATCCCTCCGTCCGTCGAAATAGTTTTGCGCTTTTCGTATTCTACTAACTATGTGTGACCAATGGCCAATGGTCAACTATTTGTGACAAAATCCCGATGATTTGTCACTGAACTGCCACTGATACAAATGTCGTCGGTGTCTTTGTAATAGTTTGGCAAACGGTACATTTTAAATTTGTAAGGCAAGGAAATATTATATTTTCCAAATATAGCATTGTTGTTAACGTTGATATCACTATTGATGAGCCATTGACGCTACATCGACAGTCTATTGACACTGTGAATGTATGTTAGTAGAATACCGATATTTTAAAGGTGTCAATGGCATCTCAATAGCATGTCAATAGAATGACAGTCGCTTATACCTAACATAAAATAGCAATATTGAGGCCCAGGTAGTATTCAGTGAGTCATTCATTAGCAGAAAACCCTATAATCTAGTTTTTGACAGTGTTCGAGATGACGGGCCTGCTGGTCTAGTAGTTAGCAATCTTGACTGCTAAGCCGGAGAGCCTGGGTTGGATTCCCACCTAGGACAAATATTGTGTCGTGAGCATGATCGGTTGTTCTGTGTCTGTGTGTAATTTTTTTAAAAGAATACTCCCGCATTAGGAAAATTAAATTCAAAAGTTTGGCAAAATGTGGTCGTTTTATAGGGGGGCCTCTATCTTCTTCGAGGATAAAAGACGCGAGTAAGTGATGACTTCGCAATGTGTAAACCGATTTCCATGTCTAAACTTTAATAAAATATTTCGTCTCTTAGGGTGGGAAATAAATGAAATTTAGTCGTGATAAGGAGAAGAATTGCTGTTAAATAATGAGGAAATCCTGTTTCTTTCAAACTGATAACTACACTTTAAAAGGTAAAAACACAATCCAAATTTGATGGAACATTTGTTCTTCAGGAGTTGATACGATACAACCGTCTAATCGCTGTGGTGAAGCGGACCCTCAACGGGGTATACTTGGCCGCCCAGGGCCTGGCAATTATGAGCGCTGAACTGGAACAGTGTAACAACGCGTTCATTAAAGGTATCGTCCCGGGGGTCTGGATGTCTAAGTCGTACCCCTCTATGAAGCCGCTCGGGTCTTATGTGGCTGATTTACTGGCAAGGTATGTGTTTGTATCTCAGTTTACATCAGGGTCAAATCCATACTAATATTATGAATGTTAAGTATGTCTGTCTGTCTGTCTGTTATCTCTTAACTCTTAAACCGCTGAACCGATTTAGATGACATTTGGTATGGAGATGGTCCGAACTCCGGGAAAGGACATTGGGTAGTTTTTATCCCTGAAATCATTCTCTAAGGGGGCAAAAATGGGAGTGGAGGTTTGTATGGGGAATCAATAACCGCTGAACCGATTCAGATGCAATTTGGTATGGAGATAATTTAGTTCTTGAGGAAAGACATAGGCGATAACCGACATTTACGCGGGTGGAGCCACAGGCTAAATCTAGTAACAGTATAACTGTGGGGAACTTTGCGAGATCGGCTTGACCGGAGTGATACCAGGGCCTCACAGGTAACTGGTGTTATATAATTATTTTTGTGCTTTTCACCGAGTGTCGAATGTAAATTCGGCGGTAGTTCTATAATAACAGGCCTGTGTCTAGTGGTTAGTGACCCTGACTGCTAAGCCGGAGGTCGTGGGTTCGCATACCATCCAGAACAAATAATAATAATAATATTCTACCACATTCACACAACGCCATCTAGTCCCAAATTAAGCAGAGCTTGTATTATGGCTACAAGACAACCAAACCAAACATTAAATGTTAATGCAGACAAATGTTTGACTTGAGCGGGAATCGAACCCTCGACTTTTGATATAGCAGTCCGTTACATAAACCCCTACGCCATCCGGTCGTCAGGGTCAAATATTGGGTCAGGCTTGTCTGGGTGTAATTTATCTATAATATTTATGTATTTAAAAATATATATGAATAGTCCCCAATACGTCACCTAATTTAATAAATGATTAGATATGTATTTATTAGATAATAGAGGAGCTATTTGCAGCAGAATATTTGTCGGACACAAAGATTTTCGAACTTGTTAGTAAATTAAGCGTAAATTAGACGCTTAATTTACTAAAATGGAATACGTATTTGTTAAAAAAGAAGTAATCACGAATTGGACACACTTTTCGTGCTACCGCTAAACAGCGGCACTTTCGACAATAGTCGTAATAAGAAAGTATTTGTGTGTGTGTGGTAGTGTAGTGGTACTTTAAAATGAAGCTACTGACAAAAATTCAGATATGTATTAATCATTTATTAATTGGGTGACGTACTGGGGACTAGTATGTTTATCAACAGTCTAGTTACAATAGTACAGGCTCTGCCTAGTTTAAGATCACACTGCCGTGTGAGAAGTGCCAAAATATCATTATTATAAAAAAACTTAGGTCACTAGACTTTATAATTTTTTTGTATCATCTGCCTATCCTTTTCCCAATTTTATTGGAAGTTGTCGCAGTATGTTTTATCCTTCGATGCTACTCTATCATTCGTCAGTTGACTGTTTACTCCCTTTTATATCCCCTCTCACAGTCTATACACCTCTTCTTTGGTCTTCCTCATCTTTTGTACCCTTCAACTCCCCTACCTAACACTTTCCTCGCCACATTTTCCTCATCATGTCCATACCAAGATAATCTATTACTTCTTAACTTTACATCCAGTGGCGCTGCAAGGTTAGAACGTAATTTACTTGAGAATTACACGGCATGGTACTATGGTATATGGAGATTTATCTGTGGTCCAGAAACACTTTTGTGATCTTTGAAGACGTGAAGTACATTAAGGATCCCATGTAGTCTGTAGAACAATGTCATCATATATTGCCTTGTATGGTATTCCTCTAAAATCCCAAGTTGTAACTATATTTGAGGATAGAGAAAGGTGGATGGTAAATAATACAAGAAACTAGTATATATTATAATTTTATATTACTATCACAAACAAGTCGACTACATCTACGTCATGTATATACGTCTAAAGAAGTGTTTGTCTGGGCACATGTGATATGCGACTGCAGTCTTTAATACATTGACGTTAAAGTATACAATTTTAAAGCAAGGTGATGCTGAAATAGTAAAATTTTATGATATGTTATCTCTGTCCAAAAAAAATATCATAGAAATGTTTTGTTTGAAAAATAAATGATCTTGGGTGTTTTGTAAAGATTCCTCTGCTTCAAATAAAAAAGAAACTAAAAAGTTTAATTTAAAAATGAATCTTAATTACCTAACCAAAATTTATGCATAATAAAATGTACTCCTTGCTAAGGAGAGGCCTCAGGGGAGGCCCAGCACTGGACTATTAAAGGTTCTTGATGATGATGATGGTGCGTTTTATATAGGTATCACATGTACCCAAAATAATAGGTACAAAAATGTGTACTCAGTCTGCGACAATTGTACTATCAATGCACTAATGTGAGATATTACATACAGCTCATTGAAGCTATAGGCCGCCAGAACTATTGACATTTACATTGTAAAACGTACTAACATACAGAGAAACACTCAAATAGCAATATTTATAATATAAATGCCCCATAGGGGACATCCTTAAATTGCACACATGATTAAAACCCTAAACAATATGAATACCATACACGATTTGTTTTAAAAACAGAGTAGTTCTACTAACTTTTATAGTGCATGCATGGCAATTCATGCAACGCATGCAGGCATGGATGCATATGCATTGAAGTAGGTTGCCATTGTAGGATATTTAATTCTCCACATGCTGACTATGGTGGATGACGTGTGACACCTGACATGTAGCATCGCGCGCATTTATTGGTTAAAATCATATTAGTTTGACCAATTGCGGTGGAGTTTCTCGGCTTCATGTGACATACTTTCACGAAATCACCACAAATTTCAGAAAAGCGAGATCAAAGTTTTCCATTGATACTTCAAAAAGAACATGTAATTAATTTTGTTTGTCTCTAAGTATTGAAATTCTTTGCTCATTACTTTATTTGTTCACGGAGTATCAGCACTAAAAGACTTCTGATAAAAGTAGACAGAACAGAATAACTGGGTAAGATTAACCCAAGGAGATATAAAATCTATAAACTGTAACCCCAGTTAGTTTGGGCTGGTTTTACATAGTTACATTTAGTTGGAAGTAGCATGTTACCCGGGAAGTGCGCAGTCCCGTGACAATCTTACAGTTTCCAAGTCTGGAGAAATTCGATTTTTTATAGCAGAAGTACTTACGATAACTTTTTTATATAGATTTGTTTTTTTTTTACTTATTTATTTAAAACATTTACAATGTCTTTACAGGATCCTTATTCCAAAACGATACTGTAATTAAAACCAGTAAGTACCAATTATTTTATAAAGAAAAATCATTTCCTGTAATACACCTTTGGGCAACTTCTTTGAAGTTCGGCAGTTCTTTTGATATACCGCACTTTATATTACTGGTTTGTTCCAATGTTACACATATTTTGAATTTTGGACTTTAGAGCTTAGTTCAGAAAGTAACTTTCTGAACATGTCTTTAGTATAGTTAAGCCTTTTTTGTATTAATATAAGTGTATATTTTTTACTTTAACTGAAAACCGAGTTGGGCCCACTGTTTAGTAGCCTACTTATATAATCAACTTTAGGTACAGTTTCATAGGTACTTACATTCAAAGTATAGACGAACCAAAAAGCAGGTAAGTTAAAATTTCCACACGTCTTATAAATAAAACACCACTTTTTAGCCCAATTTTCTCAAAACGTGTTTCCTTTAGTTAATTAACTGTTTCGTTTCTATATAACACATACCTATTAAATTAAAAACCTGGTCCTAAAAACACACGGAAAGACAGATGTGTTACCTTGTAACGTAGATTAAGTAATAGACATTAAATTTTATAGTAATAGCACAAACACTAAACACTTAAGAACATTTTAAACGGTTTTCGCCACATATTATACAACCACTGCGCATTTTTACACTAAACCGACATAGACAATACGACAATAAGTAACAATCGAATAGGCAAATAGTAGACATTTATATTTTTGACGTGACAACGTCTTATAATTCGATGGAGCCGGCTTCACGCACGAAAAAACATGACTCATGCGGCGTTACCTCGCTCTGAGGCGTTCCATTTAAGGCGTGAAGTGCAAGCGAGAGCGCGGAACGAGCGACAAAGAGGCACAATCGGCCTCCGCGTTCGGCAGCGTTCGACATCTGTCTCTCTCCTACTTGAGTGAGCGATGCGTCCGCGTGGACAGCTGCTACTCGAATACAATAATACATTTTTGAAAAATGCAACCATTCCATCAGTATTTTCTTATGACGTTGTCACGTTCAACTATCGTCAGTAAACCGACTTTACAGACAACCGATTTTTTATTAAAAGACACAACACAGTTAAGGCGAACACACAATGTGAGGAGCTTAAAAATAACAAGTAACTTTAGTTAAGAATTAGCTTAGCTCATACAAGAAACATGCGGTCTTTTACAAAGAAACAATCTAGAGTCCGATTCATATAAAAATTATAATAAAAGAGAGGTCATCTCATAAAAATAAGGGTTCATCTTTTGACTGCACGGATGGCGTAGCGGTTTAAGCGGTCGCCACGCCGCTCCCTACTACGCCGAGTGCTGTGGGTTCAAATCCCACATGGGACGACACTTTGTGTGATCCACAAATTGTTGTTCTGAGTCTGGGTGTACTTTGTGTCCGTTTCATGTATGTTTGTAAGATTCCCCGCGACACAGGATATATTCCTAATGCGGGAGTTGTCTTTTTTAAAAAGAAAAAAAAGAAAGAAAGAGATCTTATGGCTGGTCTCGTACAAGAGAAATTCTTAATGTACTTGTACCAATGCTTTTGTTTTTATATCCCTTATTATCATTACTAAAAAAAAAGAGAGATGGAATTTAGAAACTGATCATTTCGCTAGGACTCATGACTGGTTGTCGGGGCACCAGGGACTTCCTTCCTAGGGTATACCTGGTTCCCCGGCTATTAGTACCCGAGACGGCGTGCGGTTTTAGTCGGTTCGAGTCCGACATGCCACCGGTGGTATCCGAGGGGATTTCCGCACGGAAAAAAAAGGACTCATGACTGGGGGTTTTCTAAGTGCACATGTCTTCAGAATGTGTTAGAAACGTGACTTTTATACACCTTAAAACTTATGAGAAACGCCGAGGGCTGCATCTGAGATTCCTAGACCACATATTCCTCAAGCACTCACAAGGCTGTCTGTCCAGCATTTGTGGCTAAATTCAGGCACAAGAAGCTTAGGATAAAATATAATTTCTGTCTTATTTTCATGGGAGAGTCATGCCTTGCCACAAATAGGGGAAGGGGGGGGGGGGGCTCCAGACATCAACGTACTTGTGATAGTTAAAGGCGTTCGTGGGGGGCGGAAGTCATTTACCATTAGATAACCTGTATGCTCCATCGCCCTTATATACCATAAGAATATAAAAAAACACTTCACCACAACCATTTGCAACATCACACTTAAACAAAATGCGATATTTAAAAAGGATATACGGTTTTACTCACGTGTGGTTATTAGTATCGGACCCAGCTGGGGACCTGAAGGCCAAGTCTCGTAATAAAAGTTCGGTCAAAGTTGTGTGTTCCGATCAACTGTCTTCTGACCCTCAATTGGCCTTCTGATCTCGAAATACACAGGTAAAACTGTTTATCCTTTATAAATATGACAGCCATTCAGGAAGTATTTTAATCTAAACATTTTAGTTTGATAGTTTTTTTCAAGTTATTAAAGAGATGTCAGTATAATAATATTCTTACCTGGATTTAGTAAGACAACGGCTTTTATATCTTTGATCATTATTTTTAATTTAATAAGTTGACATAATATATAACACACGAATACTTTGTTACGCACATAGATCATGTAACTAGATCAGGCTTCGACCTAGTTCCTAAACAAGAACCTAGATGGCGTTAGGAGCAAACCCATCTACATCACCTTACAATATAACCTATAATTTTTTTTAATACAAATTTGTACAGGGAACTAGTGCGGAATGATATTATTTTAAGTACCGTATCTGCATGAAACACTTATTGCTGAGCTAACTTCGAACTAAGGTAGGTAATGGCTGTGTCTTTCAGATACAATAGCCAACTCAAAAATGCAAAGGATTTAAAACGTACCACGGGTGTTACTAAACATACAGTTACTATATAACACTCAGTTAGCCTTCTGGTATAGAATCAAGAATATTGAACGATTCATATTATTATGATGACACCAAAACAGTGCACAGATAAAATGCACGAGTAATAATTTCCACCACTCTCTGTGGAACGTCTATCCATCGTTAAAGCAGCGTCCACACTATGCCGGGCGAGGCCGAGCGGGCTGACCCGGGCGGCCTAAGCCGGGTTGGTGTGGACGCCCCGGGCGGCTTAAAAAGCCGGCCCGAGCCGAGCCGAGCCGATCCCAACCCGCAGAAAGTAGGTACAGATCAAAGGATGCCGGCCCGAGCCGAACGAAAATATGTAGTGGGGACGTGCCGAGCGGCACCGGGCGGCTTTAGTTGTCCAGTCTTGGTGTCGAATTGAAACTAATAGGTAGATATAACCCGGGCGGCCTCGTTTTCGGTGTGGACGTCGTGCCGGCCCGAACGAACCCGCCCGGCTTAGGCCGCCCGGGTCAGCCCGCCCGGCCTCGCCCGGCATACTCCGGCATAGTGTGGACGCTGCTTTAGACACTGCATGATATCGAAAGCCTATTAGGTAATATTTTTGAATTTAAAGCCCTTTTGATATGCCTACCCAAATCGATAACAAAAATATCACAACATTTCGAATTATATTTCCAACTAGTGCATCTAATACGTCGAATCATACTCAATCACTGGTTTTGGTTCCGTATTGTTTTCTAAGGCAATTTGTCAACAACTTATTAGATACGACAAGAATTGGTACACTGTTGTATAATTGTGTCGAGTGATTACTTTTGGTTAACAATCGGTCTAAAGATCCCTTCCGTGTTATTTTCTAGAATATCATTAAATAGGTATATTTTTGAAGATATTTTCACAGTTGTTTTATACACCCCGCACTAATCCCGTCCCTAATACTAAAATTCTAAATATATAAACTTAGTTATAAACATTTATATAGCACACGTGAATACTGACAGGTGATATTTGACACACATTCTATATATAGATTATTAAATTCGACTACATTCGCAACATCAGATATTCGAGTTGGTACCCTGACTTACTATTGTTCATTTAAGTTAAGAAAATAGGAACAATGTAACAAATAAACTTTTTGACCAATTAAATAAATTATCACGATACCACAACCCTCATTGCAGAATTTTATTCTCAAATGTATTGCCAAATGCTTCTCCACACATAACGAATATTAAATTAATCGAATAATATTCCGAAATTGCAAATGCCGTTTAAAACGGTGGGGGTTTCAATAATTATAATAATGGTTCACTATTTACTTAACCAAAATGAATGACGTCTAGAAAATACTATTAGTAAGACCAATCCAAAAAGGTTTTGTTATCTGACTAAAATTGCACTTTTAAACTCAAGAAGACATCTTAGACACTGGGCTTGGAGGTAGGCCTTCGTTCAACACTGACACACTGTATTCCTGAAAACTCAACCGTCGGCTTTCTTCGCAAGATCTAAGAGCTTGTTCATCAGCTCACCACCAAACGATTCCCTATATTTCTGACTTATGTTATTGAGAAGAGCGTAGGGAGTCTCGTAGTTCATGTTTTCTATACTCGAGAGGCTTGTGTCGTCATACTTTCTGCCCACGACTCTGAACCCTGCCGCAGACATTTCGATGCAGTAGTTGGTGTTCTCCAGGGTAGTCAAGTTGATAAAGATGCGTTGGTTGTTGCTAAGCAGAATCGGTGATATGCTCGCAGTCTTAACATGCTTTTTGATGTCACTGATGGCTGCGTCTGCTTCTTGGGGCCAGGTTTGCTCGTTAAGGACGTGTTCGGACATAATTCTGGAATAAGAAGCATGTGGGTTATGTACTTTCATGTGTTGTGTATGAGGTTTTCTTGAAAGAAATAACAATAACTAAACACACAAATAGATAAAGTAATTCTTTTATCATCTAATAATTGTTTTGGCTGTCAAATAAATTGTTACACTTACAAGTACTTATGTATTTTAATAAGTATTTTCAATAAAAAAATACTCTGTTAGTTCACGTGATTACCCCTCTGTTAGAACGTTAATGTTTATTGAGCATTGACAGATTGACCCCTAAATAAGGCTTTTTCCTACTGTTAAAAGTAAAAAAATATCCTTCAACAGACTTAAATTCCTTCAAGACTGGGTAGATGAAGGGCCTCCAATAGTCTTCTGGCTATCTGGCTTCTACTTCACGCAGTCGTTCCTGACGGGCGTACTCCAGAACTACTCAAGACACAACAGAATCCCCATTGACCAAGTGCATTTCGAGTTCCAAATCACGGGCATGGAGTCTGAATGTAGCGAGTTACCGGAATTCGGCGTTTATTGTAAGGTGAGTTGATTTGGACGAAATACTAACCGAGCAAATACGAGTATATTACGTAAGCAACTGATCGAACGATTTTTCGGGTGACATTTGTTTAGCTATAAAAAATACAGTTGAAGGATAAGATTTTGAGAGTTAAATATACAACACTTGCATTTGCTCTGTCGATGTTTTCCGTTACTCGTTCGATCAATATTAATCAGTCAACCATTCCCAAACTCTCATCTCGACTTAAGACAATAACAAAACTATTTTAAAACAACGCACATACACGTATAGTTCACCAATTATACGTCTAACGATATTTTTCTTTGTGAAATAGTTAATTAGTGAATATGATCCGGAAATCATAAAACAGTAAAAGTTTTAAATTCAGTTTTATCTTTTATTTTTAATTCTAAATTTGGCTGTGTACACAAACATTTTTGTTTTAAATTACAAAAAGCAATGTTAATTAATATATTTCATAGAGTAGATTTCGGATAGATCTGTCCATTTTTTATATCACGGCTTAAATGTTTGTTTAATTTAAACAATTGGGTATTCTGTACATCTAATTAGCCATTTGGTATGTTAATGTTGTATTTTTTTGTGTATTGTATACCTACCTGTAATATTGTGTATTAAATTTTTGCTCGCAAGCAGCAACCATTTGAAATGGATAAGCAGGGCCACGAACACAGTGTATTCTTATGGGTAAGTTGGTGTGTGTTTGGAATATGTCTCTGATATAATATCAGCGGAACGAGCTTTCACAAATCTAAATCTTTTAAATTTATAGTAAACTAGTTGGTACCTGACTCCGTTCGCGTTCGCGAATTCGCGCGTCTTAGTGGGTTCGATTGTGGGACCGGGCAAAATTTTAAAGGGTTTTTCTGAGAGGTAAAATAGCCTCTAAATTACTCCTGCTGGACACATCTGGTAGTAAAATATTATCAAAATCGGTCCAGCCGTTTAGAAGATTGCCGATTAGATAGATTGGTAAATCTTCTAAAAAAAAGACAGACAAAAAAAACTGGTTTTCAGGTATAGGTATCGTGCAAATAACCGCGTGAGCATGAAAAAAGCTTATTATTTTGACATTACAAACAAATTTTATTTATTTATATATATTATATAGTAAACGCTATTTTATAGTAAACGCTAAATATAGACACCTAGATTTGCTGCACCTAGCAAATTATAAATTAAATGACTGAGTCACTACCTATCAGGTCACCCGTCTGCTTGTCTTTATCACCCAGATCATTAAAAAAATACAGGCTTCATACCTCATCATCATCATGTCATTGGCCCGATTTCATTTAAGGTTGGCGAAACGTCTAACGGCAATGTAAAAAAAATTAAGCTGGTTTTTTAAATGCCGGCCGTCTGTCTGACGGTACAAAGGAAGAAGGTTACCGGACCCCAAACCTAGCCCCCCTCCCCCCCAGAGTTGCAGGTGGGCAGCGGTAGTCATATGACATTAAATGACCATCCTTGCAATAAAGTAATAGGCATAATATGTATATTATTATCTATTTTTACTAAATTTTTCATTACGCTATATATTTTGATAAATGCAGTATGATAGTGGCGCCATCTCGAGCCCTCGAGTGCGATCAGGTGTAGTACTAAAATAATATAATAATTCCACTTAAGTCATGCATTCATACATACATTCTAAGTACTAATTATAAGTTTAAGCTAATATACTGCACAGTGTGAGTTATTTCGCATCTTTCTTTATTTTTAATCATTACAGTTATACGCTTTAGAATGAATTCATAGATTGACGTCATCAACTCACTTTGAGTAAACATCTGTTATTCGGAAGGGTTCTAAAACAACATAATTCTTACAGGGCCTATTCCTGGAAGGAGCTCGATGGAATAGAGAGATCATGCAACTGGACGAGTCATATCCAAAGATACTGTTTGACACCATCCCAATTATATGGTTCCAACCAGCTCTCATCGTCAACTTCAATCCCCCGCCATGTTACTTCTGCCCTATCTACAAGACCAGCGAGAGAAAGGGCGTGTTGGCCACCACTGGACACTCCTCCAATTTTGTCATGTACATCACACTGCCCACTGACGTCAAGGAGAAACACTGGATAAATAGGGGGGTAGCTAGTTTGACACAGTTGGATGATTAGTGTGATATTTTTATTGGTACGTTTAATGATGACAAACTGGCTTTACAGAAAAACTGGTGTTAAGTATTCTTTTTTTGCTTTTCCCTGAGTGAGTTAGGTTCACATCAGATATATATATCAGATCAGATCATCAGATATACATATGAAAATCATTTCGTCACAACTTCGACTGATTTACAAAACCACTGCTACTTAACTATTATTATTACGCTAGCGCAAGACTCGCGAAAGGTCTATACAAAAAAAAAAAGATCGTAATCTTTGATAAAGGAAATTTTTATTGATTTTAATGAGACTTCTTTTTGTCTATGACGAAATCACAATCACCTGTGAAATCGTTGTGACTAAAACGAATCATCACATCAAATGAATATGATTTAAAAGTAGCAATAATTGCCATGTCTAATCAACAGCCTTTGATAGGAGAAACCTCCTTAGAAAGGAGGTTTTGGCCTACTATACCACACTCGCCGACGGGTCGGTATAGGGTTTCAAGTTTTCCTTCTCTTTGCAGTGCTGTTGTCCTGAGGAGTTTGGTCCCTTATTCGGCTCTTACAACACCCTTGGGATGATTAGGGGTGGTGACACTCTGTATTCTTAATCCCCACATGGACTAGGTTATTGGGGCTTAACTCATGGGCAGTGGTTGTCACTTAACATCAGGTGAGCCGTCTCCTCGTTTGGCCTCAATTTCATAAAAAAGTTACACCACTTCAGTCATAGAGCTAAATATTAGAATGTTTCAAATTACATCCAAGAGTTTTGAACAGGATATTCTTAATCTGAGTTTTAAAATTCAAGACATTAGTCATTACACAATTAAGTTAATGTCACCAAACTGTCTGTCGTTTTTTTAGAATATGTATTAAAAAATATAAATTATGATAATTAAATATACTCTATGAGTAAGGTGAGTTCAAGGTATTCTGGTCAATTAAATAAAATAAAAAATTGTCTACTGGCTGAACTGTACTCATTATTTGAAGTTTTTACTATTATATTAGTATTTAATTTTTAAAACATAATTACATTTTTGCATTACCTAACACTGTGCTCTAAAATGTCTACCAACTTTTTTTAGAAGATGGACATTCTGACTTGTATAAAATACTAAGTAAAAATCCCCTCTCTTCCTAGGTCATATAAAGAGTTTCCAACCGTTAAAAGCCAAAATGTATGTAAACCCATCCTGTTATGACATTCCTTTAGCCATATCTTAGCTCCATTATCAAATTAAAAGTACTGTAGTGCTCAATGAGACAATGGTATATATTGGGAACTTTTGAACAACAAACAAAAGAATGTATTTCATGGGAAAAAACAATTGTTACCGACATCTCTGTATATAAGTTTTCACGTCTGGCGGCACTCCTGTGAGTGCTACTGTCTTTTTTATGAAATGGGGGTCAAACAAGCAGTGGCTCCAAAATGGCACCTCAAACAAAACAAACTCGTAGGATAGATTCCTAGGTTTAAAATAAATTATTTCACCTGCATCATTAAATGTAACATTTTAAACTAGAGCCTGAATTGTCCCCCATTATGAATTAAATCTTTTTATTGTTTTGATGTCTTGATATCAACATTAAATAGAAATGATTTGACAATGGCTAGGTATGACGTCACAAAATAATATGTCATACAAAAGAGTACCTCATCTAGCGTTTGACGTTTAAAAAAAGATACCGATTTGACTTGACAGTCATCTACCTTATTATTACTACAACAAAATGGTTTCTATAAATTAAACGGCATCTGGATTTTAAGATATTCAATGTTGTGAGATGTTATGGGAACTATCAAGGTTTATACAACACAAAGATTCTTTGTTGTAACTCCTTAGAGTAGCTTAAATTTTCTAAAAAGTCATCCGATGAACTAAAAAATTTACTCAATTGGACAACCCGTCCTTTTGACTAAATTTTTTAGTTCATCGGAGTAGGCTCTAACTTAATTAAAGTAAACTTCTAAGAAACTGAGACTGCATTTAGAAACTACCGTTTTATGTTGCATTGACTTACGTAATTCTCATAAGTGAGTGCAATTTTATAAGTATTAGTAAGTACTTGATAGTCCAAATATTTTGGATTTATTTGAAGTTAATTAATTTTTTTTTTTTTAATTAATGACCTGATTAGGAGATTTCTTTATACTGCATTATATTTGAAATCAAATCAATACATGCTTTTTACATAGTATAGTGTTATTTACGTTGTATTATTATCTACTGTGATATTTGTAATTAAAATATGTTATATTATGTTTGGATGTTTCATTTCCTTTTTTAAGTTTTATTCAAATCCATGGATAACAGATTGGAATATAATTTGTTATTACTGAAAGTAACATGGTCCTTTGTTTAGATTCACACTATTTTTTTTTTTACCCAACTGTGCTCGAAGGAGCGTTGTGTTTTTTGAGTATATGTAATAGGTGTGTATATTTCTTGTACATGCTCTGTAGTTGTGAAATGGATTTTGACATTTAAAATGTCGGTAGATTTGTTGTGACTGGGTACTTAAAATGAAAAATTATAACCCCATTAATATTATTATTATATTATTAAGTATAACCCCAGTAATATATTATAAATATGTATTGTTTTATTATATATTTGTAATTCCTATGATAGTCAAAAGCAGATTTCAATTTGGTGTGACCATTTTTATTGTAATTTTCTGAATTTGTGTAGATTATTTTTTCTATTGTGGCAATTCTGAGGCTATGTTAAATACAAACAGAAATCCTATTATAGCACAAGGGAGTAGAATAAAAATCGTTACGACTAAGCATGATTAGTTGTCTTTATACAATGAGTCATTAAAATCAAAACAGGATTGCTTCAACACACATTATCATTCAAGTATAGGTGCACCAATGATCAAATATAGCTTAAATATTAGTAGCACATATGCGATAAAGGCTAATTCACGTCTGAATCATCGTATAGAATAAAATACTCCATGATTTTTTATACAAAACGAGAATGGTATAATAAGGTGTGAACCAATAAAGCGATGCATCATCGTTACTACACGGCAAAGATAAACAAAATAATAGGCTCACTAAAATAGTACTATCGGCTAAGTAATAGATGCTAATTCCTAATATTTTACTTTGTATCACGAGTAATGAGAAGGTAAATTCGAATTTCGCGGTTAAATTCTTACTTCCCACACTCACCTTTATTTCTGCGTTTATGTGGCCAACAACTTCAGTTTCAATGGGGGCCTAATATAATACTGAATAATTGCAAAGAAACGATTCCATTACATGACTTTGTATAAATTTTAACCAATTTGTAGTAAAAACTCAAAACCAAATGTCAACAAAGTTCATAGATTATAAGAATTCAATGGATGACGTCAGCGTATTTTCCTCTAGTGTTGCCAACAAGAGTCATCTGAGAAACAAATCGATTATTTTATTCCTTCATTGTCATTGCATAAAAAGTAATATTTTTCATCTACTTTAATTCTTATGTAAGTAAATTAAAAAAACTTTTACAAAAGTACCATTATTATGATAGTTTATTGACTGATGTAAAAACAGTTTAATATGACTAATCATAAAGCAGACAATTTTTTATTAGAGTACTAGACAATAGTATTAATAATAACATCATCAAAACACAAATTTTATTTCAGACTGAAAAATAAGTTAACATAGTTTTCTTGACGGTTTTCCTGTCAACTGTTAAATATAAAACAAAATGTAATATGTGGAGATGAAATAAACATTTTTATTATTATTATAGGCTTTGAAAGTTATCATCATCATGTTTTGAGCATGGAACTATTATTTGTGCATCTGTTTTAAAAAGTTACAGAATGCTTACTATACATACATTTTTGTATTTTTAATCGATATTTAAATAATCGATGGCCGTTGGGGAACAGTTTATCAGCATTGACATGGTTTCATTTCACACTGACTCATAAAGATCACAAAATGTATCTTGTGGTTCAGAAATAACGATTCATAATTTATTTACAGTAAATTTAAAGGAGTACAATTGAAAACCAAAAATTTACATTTATATAGTCATGTAAAAATCCGATAATTTTATATGCTTTTCATCAAAGAAATAGTCGTTTGAAAGGCTTTGCGTGGATTGAAACAATATGTTTACGATTTGTTGCTGTGTTGCCTAGATGGCGCGGCGAACTTGTAAACTGCGTATGCCGAACTGACGTTTTTGGTTATTTTTGTTCTCGCCTCGTGTTTACTTTAGTGTCTAATTTCGGTCCAATTGCGAAAATTCAGTTGTGTAACAACTAAAACGTTAATATTTCGTTCATATAAGTCATATACGTACTTTATAGTATCGATCCGCTGTTCCGGACTAGGTATATGTATACATTATTATCACGTGGTGGTGTGGTGGTTTATATAATTCTTGTTTACCGCACAAGTAGAAACTTTGCGCATGTGCGTCCCGTCAGTAACCTCAAATTGTAAAGGCACGGGTTCGGCAGGTTCCGGATATCCGGGTCGCGACGCGGCAGCGGTGGTTCTCGCGGCGGTATTGTGATGTGCCCTCGTGCAAAGCGTTCGCGCCCCGCGTGTGGACAGCGTTGGTGATATCGGTCCGCGCGTGCCTACCATGGCCCAGACTCAGTTTACGCGGAGCTCAGAGAGCGACGCGTGGGCGCTTCTCTCTCTGAAGTCACCCCCGTCGCCCTCCAAAGTGCAGTGGGCCCAGGAGCCTTCGCCGATTGCGATCGCGAGGCTCGACGGCCGCGACTTTGAGTACCTCATCCGCCAGAAGCGTGTTATCATCGGTCGGAACTCTAGCCGTGGACAAGTGGACGTTAACATGGGACACTCTAGTTTTATATCGCGGAGGCATTTGGAACTGTTCTATGACCACCCAGAGTTCTATCTGACGTGCAACAGTAAGAATGGCGTACTGGTGGACGGCGTGTTCCAGAGGAAGGGTTCTGCGGCGATGCTGCTGCCGAAAAGGTGAGTCCCGAATGTTTGACGGTACTAGCGCTCCGCCGGCTCCCTTTCTGGCTAACACTACATTTTGTTTGTAAACAAATCATATTGTTTATGTTCAACCCACCTGTTGTAGTTTTGTTTAAAAAAAAATAGTGTTCATTATGTTTGTTGACACATGTGGTTCAAGTTTAAGTTAATTATGTTCCTAGACTTGGAGTTATGAAACACAGTGTGGCCAAACATGCCTCTTGGATGTGTGTGAGATTGCGAATAACACACTACTACAGCCAATATGTGCATTGTACAGTGTCTGTGTATTGTTTATGGGGCCAATTGTCATTTGTTAATATTACCTTCCTTTTGCTCTACACCAGACTTAATAACATTAATTTCTGAGACACAAAATTTTTCAATTAGAAAGTCACATAATTTCTATTATTATGTCCTATAGTTAATGCTGTCAATGTTTTTTGACACCAAGCAAGAGGCTTATCAAGAGACTGTAAACAAAAACAGGCTTGCAATGTTACTATCAACATTGGTGCTTAATGAATAGTTTGATAATAATCATAATTGCCTCTGGTAGTTATTTTGACTTGGACAGTATTATAAGATAAGATACATCAAAACATTTGTATACTACATGATGCAATATTGTAGAAATGATTGAACTATAATGACTGCACTAATATTTATTAGCTATGTCACAGTTTCAAATCTCTTTGTGTATTAGTAATAAGGTGCACCTTATCAATAATATTTATCTTTGGGATAAAAGGAAGTGTGTGTCAATGTTTTAAATTTCTATTTTTTTTTAAATCTGTATGTGTGTGGAAGTGGTGTGTGTATCACCTTATGTTACCCCATGAAGTTCTAATAAGAAGTGATTCCTATTGTGCTTATAAGACAATGTTGATATAAGAAAAACAAATTCTGATAAAACAGATTATTTATCTCTATCATAACACTCCTGTTAATCAAATTACTAGAAGACTCGTTCTTTTGTGGTTTGGTGAAGGTTCACCAGAACTAAAATGTAATATGTTGGAACCAGTCAGTGAATAAGCATTGGCAATAATTGTTTACCATGATATTGTGATTATTCATATCAATAAACACCAATAACCTCTTACTCTTTGATATGGCTGTGTACTTGTTTGCCAACTTTGTGGTATATATTTGAAACAGCCAAACTTTCAAACTAAGAAACATTTATAAACTTAAAAGATTTTCCCAAAGTTTACATTTAATCTCTTTACACACTGTCCCTTTGAAATGCCACTACACTGTAACATGCTTTCACCGGTAAGTTCTGTACAGTGAAGCACATATCAGAGGTTCAGGAAATTAAATAAACAATACTGATTACTATTTTATTATTTTTCCTACAAGAAAAGAGCGTACTCCTAAAAGGCCGGCAACACGTTTGTGACTCCTGAGTTGCAGACGTTCATGGGCAGCGATTGTCACTTTCCATCAGGTGACCAGTCTGCTCGTCTGCCCCCTCTAGCATAAAAAAATTAAAGTTAAAGTAAATTAATACTCTGAAAACAATATTATATTGTTTTTAATATCTAATACTGAAATACAATATATCATCATCAACAGCCTATAACAGTCCACTGCTGGACATAGGCTTCTCCTTAGAAACAAGGTTATATACATTTTTTTTTTGTTTTTTAAAAAGACAACTCCCGCATTAGGAATATATTCCTGTGTCGCAGGGGACACGGGACTTTACAAACATTCATGAAACAAACTCAAAGAACACTCAGACTCAGAACCAGAAGTGGGGTTTGAACCCACAACATTCGGCGTAGTAGGAAGCAGGGTGGCGACCGCTTAAACCACTACGCCATCCGTGCAGTCATATACATTATAAATACTAATAATAATTAAATACATTATACTTAGTCTATAGAGCTTTTAGGAGTATAAACACATTCAAATGTGTTATTGATTTTAATTCAGTCATTAACTTATTCATTAAAGGTAGGACAAATGTGTTTTTGTAATCATACAAATCTAATATTAATGAAAAAGGAAAATAATAGTTTCTAATTTAAATCAAGTTATGATGAAATAAGAGAGTACATTTATTTTGTAGGTTTTTGTTTACTTAAAATGTCATCCTGTTTCCTTTTACAAAGCTACTATTTTAGTACAAAATAGCTTTTCTACTTCAAATTGCGTTTTACATGAAATAATGCTTAATTAGCTTATATCTGCAGCTTTACACACTGTTAATGACATTTTTGACCGTCACTTACTCTGACAAAAATATATGTATGCTATTCCTGATAAAATCTATGTCTGTGTCAAATTTCATGTAGATCTAAGATCCCTTAAGCCACCTATAGTCACAAACTTTAGTATTTATAATATTTGAAATATATCTGTTTTGTGTAGTTTTAATTTTTACTAAGAGTTTAAATTAATAAAGAATAGGCAATGTTGAGTCTTATAATGTAACTAAATTATAAATCAAGTATTAGCAACATTCACAACAACTTTTGAAAGTACACTATTCTCTAAGATTGTACAATCTATACCGGTTAGGTTTGAAGACTATGGCCTAATTGCTTTCTGATAACTATCAGCAATGTACACATCAGTCTGATCCCAAACTAGACAGAGCCTGTGCTATGGTAACCAGACAGTTGATAAACAAACTTATATATTTCATCATCATCAGCCTTTATTAGTCCACTGCTGTTCATGGGCCTGTTATTAAAAAGGAGGTCTTAGCCTACTATACCATGCTGGCCAGGCAGATTGGTATAGGGTTTGTGTCAAGTTTTTCTTTTCTTAGCCAGCTCTTATTATACTCCGTATTCTTAATTCCGTCACCACATGGACTTTAAGATGTTATAATCTGCACATACAGTGTAAATTAACATTTTGTATTGTACTATTGAAATAAGCAACTTCTTTTGAAATTGGTTTTTGGGGTCATGTTATAACATAAAATATTATACATTTCGGACCGGTGCACAAGGAAGGAAAATGTAATGAGGAAGCTGATCTAGTAAATGAGATCTTTATAAATACTTAAGTTACAAGTACTATAAATACATAATTTATTTGTAATTTGTAAGACTGAGCAAAAACTATATTTTTCAGAGTTTGTATGTAGAAGGTAATTTCCAGTGTGATTGTCAGTATTTCAATTTTTTTTTACCGTTATGCATACATACAGGAATTAATGTGATTTATAGAATCATTTTCATCATTCGATTTATTCTGAGTGTGTAGAAGTACAACTCCGAGTTTATCAATACTTTTGTCTTAGAAATTTTTCTTTATGTAGGTAACTTTAGAACAACTTACTTAAACTCGCTACTTTATATTATTTTTTTCCCTTTTTCTTTTTTTTGGCATGGCAAACCTCTTAATCCACTACACCACCTAAACAGTCAATTTCTGACTGGGTCTTTTTTTAATTCTTTCATTTATCTTTTTTAAAACCTGTTATTACAGGTCCTAAACCTACCAAAATAATAATGTGGCTTTCTATTTTATCCGCTATCTGTTCTACACATCATCAATCATCATCAACAGCCTTTAACAGTCCACTGCTGGACATAAGCCTCTCCTTAGAAAGGAGGTTTACACATGTAATTATCTAATAAACATTTGAAGTGAACACAATAATATTTAGTTAATGTATTTACTTAAAACATTTTCCTGAAGCCCTTCATTATATTGTGTTGTCTTGTAATTGCAGATTATAATAATATTATTACGTCACACAAATATCAATATTTCTGTCCTTTTCAATATTAAAAATTTTAATATGTAAAAAGATAAAAAAAGTTATTATAGGTAGGTAAGTGGTTTGTATCGTTTTTTGTATCTCTCCCAATCTCGCACCTCAGACTTTTCGAAAATAAAAATATGTGTCATCAATAATTACCTTTTTGTAAGGGGCTAAAAGCCTGATAAGGAAACTGGCATTTTTTATTGTTCTCAATAATGTAAAAAATAGCAACCAAGAGAGAATGCCTGCGTCTCACTCTCATCTAATTCAGTTTATAAAACCAGGGCCAATATCATAACTCTAATATCGAACCACAATAAGCATTGTGAAATATAATTGTAGCAATCACAGCGGATCACAGGCTGATTGTGACCATGGCCAATGCAATCTGGTCAAAACTCTAGGCAATTCAAGAGCGTATACCTATTACTTGCTCTTATTAATTCCCATACATATGTGTATACACAATTTTTTTATCTGTAGGATAAAAGTGTATGCTTAAAATTACAAAACGAACAGATCTAGGAGGTTTTTTAAGCAACAGCGTAAATAGCTGGATTGTTGACGGATTGTCGACATAGCACTATAATAAGTTTTGGTCAATCGACTTGAATTTGTGTGCAATCTTATGTTATTGTGCATACACGCATAGACACCCACGTGCACATACAAACAAACACATAAATATAAAGTCATTTCGTCACGGGTTATCGTCTGCGGTATTTCCGGACCGATACGACCTTCAAACCTTCAAGAAAAGAGCGTACTCCTTCCTAAAAGGCCGGCCATGCGTTTGTGACTCCTGAGTTGCAGGCCTCCATGGGCGGCGACAGTCACTTTCCATCAGGTGACCCGTCTGCTCGTCTGCCCCCGCTAACATATAGCTGTTCTATAGCTGGGTCATGTACTTTCTGTTTATAAGTTGGAGATACACTACTGTCCTGTTTCTTGTTGCGTCGCTTAAGCATGCGCAATACCTTGTAATAACGTGTTTTGAACTATACTAAATGTCTGAAAATAACGCGAGATGATGGGTGTAAAAATAAAAAATACCGATGCGATTGTAATTCAATTACTATGAGCCTGCATCACGAAGTCACAGCTCTCTGGAAAACCAAAAACTACAAGGAGGATGAAGTCGGCGTATTGTCGAGATCTTTACAAGAAGCCTGTATACAACTGTGGGCGCTTTAACACATGACTTTGACAACCGTGCGGATGGCGTTGTTGTTTCAGCGGTCACCTCGCCGCTTCCTATTTATTTC